TTAACAAAATTGATATTCGATTACTCGGAAAAAAAACATTTAATTTCTACTTTTCTGCGATTTAGAAAGATTAGTTCAGAAATGTACACGTATCTGTACAAATACTTGTTAAATGCAATCAAAACATCCTTGCAGAGGCGTGAAAATGATATCGTTAGTTTAACGAGGCGGTCAGCAGTTTGACACGCGTATGGGATTGACCACAGTCCTGTGTCATTTACGTCATTCGGCCTCTTATGATATTTAATCACCTTTAAATATTAGACAATTTGTAGCCGAAACTTGTTAATTATTAAAACGTAAATTTATACAGAATATTATGTTGTAGCTTTGTATTTTGCTACGAGCAGCGGTGGAAAAATTGATATCTGGCTATTCCGAAGAGAACAAGAGGGCCATGATGGCCCTGAGGTCGCTCACCTGTATATAGCCCCCCCCAACCCCCACCCCCCCCCCACCCCAAACGTTGCAGAGCCAATTTAACCCAAGGGCTTTTATTTGCAAAAACTTGGTAGACACCCATAAGAAGATGTTTCATGCTAAACATATATGCTCTAGCTCATTGGGCTTTTTAAAAGAAGATTTTTTTTAAGTTTTTACTATACACATATAGTTAAAAACAATGACACCCCTGGGGCTGGGCCAGTTTTGACCCCAGGGCTTTTATTTGAACAAACTTTGTAGACACTTACTAGAAGATGTTTCATGCTTAATATCTAAACTCTAGCTATTTGGGTTTTTTCAAAGAAGATTTAAAGTTTTTGCTAAACACATATAAAGAAAATCAATGACCCCAGGGGCGGGGCCAATTTTGACCCCTGGGCTTGTATTTGAACAAACTTGGTAGACACCTATTAGAACATGTTTGATGCTCAATATCTTAGCCATAGCTCTTTGAGTTCTTTAAAAGAAGATTTTTTAAGTTTTTACTATATGCATATAGGGAAAATCAATGACCCCCCGGGGTGGGGCCAATTTTCACCCCAGGGCTTTTATTTGAACAAACTTGGTAGACACCCATTAGAACATGTTTCATGCTAAATATCTTAGCTCTAGCTCTTTGGGTTCTTTAAAAGAAGATTTTTTAAGTTTTTACTATATGCATATAGGGAAAATCAATGACCCCCCGGGGCGGGGCCAATTTTGACCCCAGGGATTTTATTTGAACAAACTTGGTAGACACACACTAGAAGATGCTTCATGCCAAATATCTAAGCTCTAGCTCTTTGAGTTCTTTAAAAGAAGATTTTTAAGTTTTTACTATATGCATATAGGGAAAATCAATGACCCCCGGGGCGGGGCCAGTTTTCACCCCAGGGCTTTTATTTGAACAAACTTGGTAGACACCCATTAGAACATGTTTCATGCTAAATATCTTAGCTCTAGCTCTTTGGGTTCTTTAAAAGAAGATTTTTTAAGTTTTTACTATATGCATATAGGGAAAATCAATGACCCCCTGGGGCGGGGCCAATTTTGACCCCAGGGCTTTTATTTGAACAAACTTGGTAGACACTCACTAGAAGATGTTTCATGCCAAATATCTAAGCTCTAGCTCTTTGAGTTCTTTAAAAGAAGATTTTTTAAGTCTTTACTATATGCATATAGGGAAAATCAATGACCCCCCGGGGCGGGGCCAATTTTGACCCCAGGGCTTTTATTTGAACAAACTTGGTAGACACCCATTAGAACATGTTTCATGCTAAATATCTTAGCTCTAGCTCTTTGGGTTCTTTAAAAGAAGATTTTTTAAGTTTTTACTATATGCATATAGGGAAAATCAATGACCCCCCGGGGCGGGGCCAATTTTGACCCCAGGGCTTTTATTTGAACAAACTTGGTAGACACTCACTAGAAGATGTTTCATGCCAAATATCTAAGCTCTAGCTCTTATGGTTTTTTAAAAGAAGATATTTAAAGTTTTTTCTTTCGGTTGCCATGGCAACCAGAGTTTTGCATGGAATTAAATTCCTTGAACAATTTTTAAAGGTGACCACCAAAGGAACATTCCTGTGAAGTTTGGATGAAATTGGCTTAGTGGTTTATGAGGAGATGTCATTTAAAGTAAAAGTTTACGGACGGACGGACGGACGACGGACGGACGACGGACGGACGCCGGACGAAAAGCGATCACAAAAGCTCACCCTGTCACTTTGTGACAGGTGAGCTAAAAATGCATAGGCTCAGAAAGCTACTTCAACATATTTTTCCTTTTCGTTTGAATTACAAATGATTTTCATAATATTACACTTCTATAAGAAATTTCAGAAAATGAAATGTACCTGTCAAGAAATAAATTTATGACCGACGGATGAATACGTTTTTTTTTTTGCAAAACCAGCCACGCCTTTTATAATTTTCGTTTCCATTTCCAAATGCTACGTTTATACAACCAACGTCAAAAATAGTCTGGCACTTCCATCTGGTACTGTATTTGCCACTAACATAATACGGAATTTTCTATCCGTTGAAGCGTATTTGCGCTTCAAATTCATCCTGTATTTTAGGGGGAAAATTTGTATTCTTATGTTTATATTTATATATGTATTTCTTGCAGTCCTATCTATAGTTACGAATTCTATGAATTAAAATAGAAAACAAAAGTAGCATGCAGACGGTGTTGATATTGTGTGATAAAACTTTAAAGATCATTGGAAATCATCCGAGTAACCGAGTACTCGATTGGAAAAATGACCGAGTACTCGAGTATTGATTTTGGTATTCGTTGCCATCCCTAAAAAAAATATTTGTTTCTGAGGCATAATGTGACTTTAACATAACAAAGTAGTAAAAAGTAATGTTACATTATAAATCATATAAAATTATTATATATGTAAAGTATAATGAATGTACATAATACATATGTATTTAAAAACTATATATAACATGTATATCATAAAATAAACAGTAAAACTCACTGTTTGATTAAAAACAATAAAAAATATAGAACCTCATCACCAATACTATAAAAAATGTATAACAAAAACATATTTTAGATATAAAATTAACAAATATGCATTTCATAATTTCATAAATTTCTTTACATTTGAACACATCATGGAATGAAATTACACATGGAATGAACACAGTTTCATAAGGAATACTAGAAATGTGTCCATAGGACACGGATGCCCCCACACGCCACTGTTCTGTCAATCTTATGACTCTAGGTCAAATATTTTTTGGACTACATATGCCACAAGTTGAAAACAAAAAATCAACAAAGGGCCATTATTCTGTTTCTGTTTATTCTGTGCAAAAATTTCTTCCTTTACTGCCATCTACACATTAAGGTTGTTCATCCCTGGAAGTTTAAGCAAAATTTGCCATCCTGTTTAAGAGGAGTTGCGTTCACAAAATTTCTACAGAGTATATAGTGAAAAAATCAACAAAGGGCCATAATTCTGTTAAATTTGGTTGCAGCAAAAATTTCTTCCTTTACTGCCATCTACACATTAAGGTTGTTCATCCCTGGAAGTTTAAGCAAAATCTGCCATACGGTTTAAGAGAAGTTGCGTTCACAAAATTCGCAGCGAAAATTCCTTCTTTTACTACCATCTACAAATTAAGGTTGTTCATCCCTGGAAGTTTAAGCAAAATCTGCCATCCGGTTTAAGAGGAGTTGCGTTCACAAAATTTCTACATAGTATATAGTGAAAAAATCAACAAAGGGCCATAATTCTGTTAAATTTGGTCGCAGCAAAAATTCCTTCCTTTACTACCATCTACACATTAAGGTTGTTCATCCCTGAAAGTTTAAGCAAAATCTGCCATCCGGTTTAACAGGAGTTGCGTTCACAAGATTTCGGGACGTACGGACAGACGTACGGACGGACGGACAGACGGACACTCGGACGGACAAGTGCAACGCTATATGCTCCCACTCTGTGGGGGCATAAAAATATTAAATTTGGCAATTGTAGGATTTTTTTAAGGAGCATGGCAAACTTTATTGCAGTTAACATTTTTATGCCATTATCTAAAATTATGCATGTGATACAATGTGTCTCCAAATCTATGTAAGTATATATGAGCTGCGCCATGACAAAATCAACATAAAGGGTTTGCAACCAGCATGGATCCAGACCAGCCTGTGCATTCGCGCAGTCTGATCAGGATCCATGCTGTTCGCTTACAAACCTTATAACAAGTAGAGAAACTGATAGCGAACAGCATGGATCCTGATCAGACTGTGCGGATGTGCAGGCTGGTCTTGATCCATGCTGGACGCAAACCCATTATGTTGGTTTTGACATGACGCTGCTCAAATATATATATATGCGAAATAGTTTCATGATACTACAAAAATGATGCCACAAATAATAGCTGAACATGACAGCATGCTTGACTCGTCTCAGTGACTGATAGTAACAGAACAGTCCAGCAAAATTAGTAGATTTCTTTTTATTTTCAATCCCATTCAGAATTGTCAAAAAATAATTTCATAATCATGCCATAATTCTTTATTTTTTTATTTTCTCCGCATTTTTGTTTATGAGAAATCTAGAACACATGCTATTACTAATACCTTATTCACAGGGTTATGATTATTTTTCATTTGCTTTAAAAAAAAAAATTAATATTTTACAATCTAAATTTTAACTGGAGTCTGTGTTACATGGTATACTGTACATGTACTATGATGACTAATGACCTAATATTAATAATAAAAATCTTGTCTCTGAAACAATGTGTAACAACACAACAGATTTTTTTCTTCTTAATCTTGCCAATAATTCCTTAAATAAAAATTTGCCTTAGCAGCCTATAAGACTTTTCAACATACATGTACATGAAGTGTTAAGTCAGGTTTAGATCCATGTAACTGTTTTCCCATTCTTTCTTAATCTAGCTTGTGTATAAAGTTATGTCTGCAAGTTATTTCAACATAAAAAATTTAGTAAATTATTAGGTAAAGTGTCAAATAATTCAGCTGCTTTCTAGTTTCTTAAACTAGTCCTGATGAAACTAGTCCAGGTGTGTAAAGTGTTGCCTTAATTAAAGCTGTTTCAACATGTTGTATTGCCCGGTTTAATATTTGTCTGAAAATGGATTTCCACCAATCTCATGTTCCAACTCCATTACAATGTGAGTCACTACACTAGAATATGCCTGAAAAATATCATAAAAAGTACATTCTAACTTTTCCGCATAGTGTAAATAATTTACATCAAAGTTTGAAAACATCCTCCCTCCCCACATAAACAACACACACACACACATAAACAAAGCATAGCAAATCCAGTAGTCTTAAGATTTTCAGGTTTTATTTTAGTATGAGAAAAGGTATAAATTTATGAATTTATTTTCTTTATAATTATCTTTGATGCATTATAATTTATCCCAATTATGCATTATCCTCTAAATTAAGTTTTAACACATTGTATTTGATTTAAAGTTGATGAGTTGACACTTCTTCCATAGTTAGAAGGTTGTAGTTGGCAGCTCTTTGGTTTGCTCAAAGCAAAAAATTATAGTATTAGAATTATTGTTAGATAAGAGAGCAGTGTAGTGAATGTGTCTTCTTCTACTTAGGAATCGGGAGCTTGAGCTCTAAAAGGGCAACAATCATAACTATGTCCTCAGACACTGGTACTGGTTAATTCAAGGAAGCAAACTCCATAGTGGTTAAATAGGCTTCAAGCTCTTTTGACTTTTGATATTTTAAAAATGGAGATAAACTTATTGTTCAAAACTGGTCCCATTATGGTTGATCAATACAAACTATGTTAGGAAATAAAGAATTCTTAAATATCTTTTTCAGCATCAATTAGTATTGTACTGATTTTCTATAAATATGTACAAAAGCCACATTTTCTACAACATATCAATAACATACCTTGGAAGATGAGCTAGCCATGAATCTAATATAGACACCTGTGACAACAGCCTCGTTCACTGTGTACTTCAGGGGACTCACACTACAAATACAATCTGTGTCGTATCTTTCTCCTGTAATAATATAACATGTTTATTATAACAATGATTATAAAAAATATCTGACAGGTTATATGGCCCTATATAAATGGTTGTTTGGAAATAGCCATTTGGATTATATTGCAAACAACCATTTATATACGGCCATATAACCAGCAGTTACTTCCCCTAATCAGTTCAGGAACCACTGCCACCACAAGTAAAATTTGGCCATCACTTAGTCTATTTTATATCACTTTTAATCTTATAAGTACATGTAATATGTTCTATCACTTTAGATTTATTTCATTTTATTATTATTCTCAACAAACAATAAGTGAAAAATGAATGTAATAATTTTCATTTTGAAATATTAACTAAAGTATTTAAATGGCCCCCAATTTTAGTCACATAACATACATGTACCTACCATTGAGTGAGGTATATGAATATTATGATGGCAGTGGTTAACGTAGTAAGGCATGATGTATCCAGTGGGAGGAGTCTGGATGAATCCATTATGCAAATTAAAAATGTTAAAGAATAAAACATTATACAAACCTATAGACTGCTTCTTCCCTAATATTCTAGTTAAATTTGAGGCAGCTGATTTCATCTTGTCCCCGAGAATAATACAGCACCCTATCACCTGAAATAATCACATCAAATTATTTAAACAAATTAAAACTCCATGCCTTCTGATAATTGACTCTTACCATGCTAAATATCTTAAATGGACTTGCCCATCTTTCAATATGGACAAAAACCATTTATCTTTTTTAGTGAAAATTTCAAAAAAAGTACTGACCAAACAGTGCAGCCCATGATCAGATGGCACAGAAAATCTGGCTGGACTTGGTCTGCACTGGTTACATGAATACATCCTGTCACAGACAGGAAGCTTAAGATTCTATAAATTTTTACTGAAAAACAATTTAAAAATGTTTTAGAAATTATGCATAAATCCGAACATGTAATTGCATGTTTTATGTGTGACTTAAATGCAACCCAAAATATATCCTCTGATCCTGCAATCAGTCTCCATATGACAAGTTCTTTTCACGAGTTATACAATATACAGAATAAACAAAGAAGGAAATTGAATGTGCATGAAATGTTATCATACCTGCATGGATTTTACAGCATTTTGTATAGAGACAGGTCCAGTATCACACAGTAGATAGTTGTCACGATATACCAGTTTATCGTCTATATACACATCTGTCTTGTTCTGATAACTGATTTAAATGAAGAAACATTTTATCCCTATCAGTGCTATTTCACATTATATGTTATTTTGGTTTTGGAGTGATATATGTGGATATATTACCTGTTAAGATTTTATATCACCCGAGCCGTTATATCACTTCAAAACCAAAATAATAATTTTATTACCCTTCCCCTGCCGAGTTTGGACGATTTTTTTAAAAATCATTGCTGTTTCAAATGAAACGTCGAAATAAGATTCCCTTTAGGGTACCTCTTCGTCACAACATGACGTCACATAAATACATGACGTATTTTTCCCGTACCTAACGAATGTAAACAAGAGAAAAGGAGTAGTCTATTGAACGCTCTTTTTTGTAATTAATATCAAGCTTTGACAAGGTCATATTTGTTTTCAATACTGATGGTAATATGTATCATTACTCTACTTTGGGAAATATTTATCATTTGACAGTTAAAAAGTGCTTTTAAATCGGAATTTACACCGCGTAAAATCGAACCGTACGCGCATCACCTCAGCGCATGTTGTTTACAACGTTGGGTACCCAACGGGGAAATTTAGTGTGTATATTACCCGTCTGGCCCGGTTATATTAATTTCTTTCTGGTGATCAATATCCAATCAAAAAGGCGGAAAAAATCTGGAAGGGTAATAAACCAGTTTATCATCTATATACACATCTGTCTGATTCTGATAACTGAATAAAGAAACATTTTAACGCTATCAGTGCTATTTCTCATATACAAATATTGTGTATAAATTAACTCATTTGCTGCTGAGAATTAACATTGTTTGAATAAATAAACATGTGAAATTTTTAATCCTATCTCATTACAGACATAAAGTATAATTATTAATTGCTGCGAGAATTATAAATGTAAATTTATTTATTTATTTCTTAATTGTTTTTGTATTTGCCTGGAACATTTCTATGAATTACAGGAATTAATAACTAGAACAGATGCTTATTTTTCACTTTTTGTAAATAAATTTTATAAAACCTATACTTTTGTAGAAGAAAATTCCATAAAAAGGAGAAAGTCTTTACACATATTAAATTAAAACAAGAAACATGGCAATGCCATGAAAGCAGGTTTTCAATTATCACCATTGTAGATAAATATGTTGAAGTTGAAATACAAATACAAACAACAAACAATGTAACTATATGCAATGTAAATCATGAATAATGTAGGAGGAATTGCACACAGAAGAATTGTTCACTATAAACATGTATTCTGTATAAGGGAAAAAAACAAAGGGCCATAATTAGGTCAAAAATAATCCAATCACAAAGCCCCGACACTATGCACCAGGGCACTTGATGACAAAGCTTCTGTAAAAGTTAGAACAAAATCCATTGAGAAATGTAGGAGTTGAGCATAGAAGAAATTGTTCATTATATATTCTGTATAAGGAAAAAAAACAAAGGGCCATAATTAGGTCAAATATTATGCAATCACAAATCCCGACAATATGCGCCAGGGCACTTGATAAAAAAGCTTCTGTGAAAGTTTGGTCAAAATATGTTGAGAAATGTAGGAGTTGCGCACAGAAGAATTGTTCACTATATATTCTGTATAAGGAAACAAGAGGGCCATGATGGCCCTGAGGTCGCTCACCTGTATATAGCCCCCCCCCCCCCCGGGCCAATTTTTACCCAAGGGCTTTTATTTGTTTATTTGAACAGACTTGGTAGACACCCATAAGAAGATGTTTCATGCTAAAAATCTAAGTTCTAGCTCATTGGGCTTTTTAAAAGAAGATTTTTTAAGTTTTTACTATACACAGTATAGTTAAAAACAATGACACCCCTGGGGCGGGGCCAGTTTTGACCCTTGGGCTTTTATTTGAACAAACTTTGTAGATATTTACTAAAAGATGTTTCATGCTTAATATCTAAACTCTAGCTATTCGGGTTTTTTTCAAAGAAGATTTTTAAGTTTTTGCTATACACAAAAAAGGAAAATCAATGACCCCCGGGGCCGGGCCAATTTTGACCCTGGGGCTTTTATTTGAACAAACTTTGTAGACACTGATTAGAAGATGTTTCATGCTTAATATCTAAACTCTAGCTATATGGGATTTTTCAACGAAGATTTTTAAGTTTTTGCCATACACATATAAGGAAAATCAATGACCCCCTGGGGCCGGGCCAATTTTGACCCCAGGGCTTTTATTTGAACAAATTTGGTAGAAACCCATTAGAACATGTTTCATGCTAAATATCTTAGCTCTAGCTCTTTGGGTTCTTTAAAAGAAGATTGTTTAGGTTTTTACTATATGCATATAGGGAAAATCAATGACCCCCTGGGGCCGGGCCAATTTTGACCCCAGGGCTTCTATTTGAAGAAACTTGGTAGACACTCACTAGAAGATGTTTCATGCCAAATATCTTAGCTCTAGCTCTTTGGGTTCTTTAAAAGAAGATTTTTTAAAGTTTTTACAATATGCATATAGGGAAAATCTATGACCCCCTGGGGCGGGGCCAATTTTGACCCCAGGGCTTTTATTTGAATACACTTGGTAGACACTCACTAGAAGATGTTTCATGCTTAATATCTTAGCTCTAGCTCTTTGGGTTCTTTAAAAGAAGATTTTTTAAGTTTTTACTATATGCATATTGGGAAAATCAATGACCCCCTGGGTCGGGGCTAATTTTGACCCCAGGGCTTTTATTTGAACAAACTTGGTAGACATTCACTAGAAGATGTTTCATGCCAAATATCTAAGCTCTAGCTCTTAGGTTCTTTAAAAGAAGATATTTAAAGATTTTTCTTTCGGTTGCCATGGCAACCAGAGTTCTGCATAGAATTAAATTCTTTGAACAATTTTTAAAGGTGACCACCAAAGGAACATTCCTGTGAAGTTTGGATGAAATTGGCTCAGTGGTTTATGAGGAGATGTCATTTAAAGCAAAAGTTTACGGACGGACGGACGACGGACGGACGCCGGACGGACGGAAAGCGATCACAAAAGCTCACACTGTCACTTTGTGACAGGTGAGCTAAAAAAACAAAGGGACATAATTAGGTCAAATATTATCCAATCACAAAACCCTGACAATATGTGCAAGGGCACTTAATTACAAAGCTTGTGTGAAAGTTTGGTCAAAATCCATTGAGAAATGTAGGAGGAGTTGGGCACAGAAGAAATGGTTCACTATAAATTCTATATAAGGAAAAAAAACAAAGGGCCATAATTAGGTCAAATATTATCCAATCATAAAACCCCGACAATATGCGCCAGGGCACTTGATGACAAAGCTTCTGTGAAAGTTTCGTCAAAATCCATTGAGAAATGTAGGAGGAGTTGCGCACAGAAGAAATTGTTTACGCCCGCCCGCCCATCCGCCCGCCGACATACCTCAATCTAATAACCAGTTTTTTCCTTCGGAAAACCTGGTTAAAAACATTGTCTTCAAACAACTTTCAGTATATTATTTAACCAAACATTTCTTTTTCTCCAAATAAGAATCAAGTAAAGTATCACCTTTTAAGTTGCCACAGTTCATCTAAAGCCACTCTTCCTCCAATCAACCAATCCAGATAAACTAGGTTACCTCCACTGTTCATTCTAAATTCCTGGTTAATTACAAAAAATATAGTATATTAACCAATTTTATATTTCAAATACATGTACATGTACTAGTATCACAGTGTCTTTTCTAGGAGGGGGGATTCACTCATATATATTTTTGAGAATCCCCCCCCCCCCCCCTATTTTTTTTTCAGAGGCAGGGGAAATTTTACGAAAAGAAAGAAGGAAAAAGATCACAAATGTAATAAACTCTCCTTCTTTTTTTTAAAAATCCCCCCCCCCCTGTTTTTTTTTTAATTCTAGAATAGACACTGAGTATCATTAACTGCTACTAATATTGAACTAAATATTTAAAAAAAATCTATTTAATGTTATGTAATTTGAAAAAGATTTTTTTTCAAACCTTATGCTAAGAGCTTCCTACTGAATTTGTTCTATATCTAAGCACATTGAGAAGGTCTCTTTTATATTTTTCTGCACACACAAAGAGTGCTTCCCCTTTATAATTGTCTTAACATGCAGTGACTCCTGTTCATGATGATTTGAATATAGAGTAGTTTCCCTTTATGATTATCTGAACACATTGAGTTCTTTTCCTTTATAATTATCTAAACATACAAATTAGTTCCCATTTAATTGATTGTTCCACCAATTCTTTTGTAGCATAAATTGTTATAAAATATGACAAGGAAAACAAGTTCCCTACTTCCAGTCTTTCAATCATTTACCAGACAGGGGAGTACCTTGGCTTATTTTGAGCATACCCAAATTACAGTCCCTTGTTACTACCAGGTATTCAGGGGAAATATGAGAGATGAAATGTCATTAAAAATTTATCCTTATCTATAGTTATGAAAATAATATTAAGTATTGAATTGATTATTTACCTCTATTGTAATCAAGATGGTTAACATTTTTTTCTCTTTTTTTTTTCTTTTTCAATATCCTAAACATGAGATATAATCAAGGAAAATATTGCTTCAAAAATATTTACCATAAGAAAAAACTGGCCAATGATCTCTATTTTAATTAAGATGTTTACAACAAATTTTCGTTTCATTTTTTTTTTTTTTTTTTTTTTTTTTTTTTTTTTAACTTAACATACCTAAACATGAGATAAAATCAAGGAAAATATCACTTATCTGTATGACCATAAAAATAACACAACAGTTTAAATGCTTAAGTGTAACAATAATCTATAGCATCAAAACCACACATAAAATTTATTAATACGCGATCATTTAGGTCCCTAAAAATAATAATTTTAGAAGTGCATAATATGTCAATATGAGAGAATAATTGTTTTTAACAATTTTTCCTCAACTTTACTCTTTAAAATTCATCCGATATATTTTAGTTATATTATTACACAGTTAAAATTAATGCCTGACTAGTCCAGCAGAATTTTTGCAAAACCTTAGAAAAAAAGATAAATAACATAGGATTTTGTATTGCATACAAATATTTACAAATAAACAGGCAAAGTACGGTTTATTTAAAACAAGAGTGGAAACATATTTCAGTTTTGTAAAAAGTTTAAAATGAGGAAAATAGGGAAGAACATTCCCTCATATGGCTATACACTGTTCTTATTATAATTTTATCTCTGTTCTGTATGTATGTAAAGATGAGACTATGATAAAATACATAATAGATGTCATTGTTTGTAGAAATATGCAATTCATTTCTATACTATAAGTTTAAATAGCTTGCTATAGTGATGTATCTTGTAAATTTTCTATTTTAAGGGACTTCAATTAGACAAAAAAATGTTTATTTACAATAAAAGTTGAGTTCAGTTTGTGATGATAGTTGTGGGCAATTGTTTGCTGCTAAGATCAGATTTACAGGACCCCAAACTATTCTACACAATTTCAAATGAATGTAAGATGAAATGAATGTGACAGACTCATACATTGACAAACAATTACAGGATTAAATATGAAAAAGGCTGACTCAGATTCCCTTGTACTACAAAAGATACAGGCAAGACATAAATTTGTATACATAAAGTTCAGTGAAGTTTATAAGCATTATAACATTAACTATTCAAAGCAAAGGCCTACTCTATCTGAAAGAAAATGAAAATTTTCAAAATAGTGTAACACATCTTTACATTTTGTACGTCATTCCGTGGGCTCTGTAGAGGGGCCAAACATTTTGTTTTCTAAGTTTTAAAAATGCTTATCCTTGATAAAATCCGCATAGGGTGGTATAATTGAATTTTTATGGTAATTCAAACATTACCTACTTAAAAAATTGATTATTTGTATTAGAAAGAAAAAAACACAATAGAAAATTTCTCACTAAAATTTCTTCCAGTTGATATACCCAATGAATAAATACGAGTATATGTGCTTTACATACCTTTGATTGTATGAACATATATATGACAAAAGTTACGTTGTAAGCATACCTATGGAATCAATATGCAGCTATGCAACTATAGATCAGTCTACATCAATTTTTTTTATTTTTCACGTCATTTTTTAAATTTTATTCTCAAAAACTCTGTTCGTTTAATACGCCTGTGCGTATTAGTGTATCGGCAGGTATGCCAAATGAAAGGGTTATGGATCATATTTAAGTCCTGCCATAATTTGCCAAAAGTATGTGCCCTTGAGGATGAATGTTTTTTGACCATTGAAAGCAATAATGACCATTGCATTGAAAATCAAACTTAACTGTTAGATATACCTAAGATTAGGCATGCAGGCACATTTCTAATAGTTTACTATGTGATAACCAGAAGTATAAAATATCACAGAAAAACCTTATTTTATAATTTTATCAGCTATCTTTACCTGAGTTTGGATAAAGTTTGAATCTTTATAGCACACAACAGGGTCAGAGAGTACACAGAGTAGTCCCCCTTGATCTACTGCTCCTGAAGTTATTTGATGTGTTTGTAAGCCGTCTTCACAATGGTACACCTACAAACAAAAATCTCTTAAAGTGGCATGCTTCCGGATTCATGCTTATTTTCATGAGCAATCCATATAAATTACAAAACAGAGGTCAAAATATGCAAAAATGGCCCTTGATACATTAGTAACAAAGTAGAAATATGGTGATTAACACTAGAAATTTATCATTAGTCGAACATAACATGTAAATTATTATTTGAAAAATGAATCTTTTTATTTTTCTAAAAAACCTAGTATATTTTTCTCAAGTTTGATTTTCTTAAAATATTTTATCTGGAGGCATGCAGCTTTAACTGTTATTACACTTTCCTTAGCAAATTCAATCTTTTGAAAGTCCCCCCCCCCCTCCTGCCAACAAACCAGAGTTTTGATTTCTTATAATTTATTTCCTTGATATGGATAGACCTTAGTTTAGTATTCGAAGTGGCTTTAATTTTAAGAAAATATTAGAATTTCATTCACTCTTCAGCATACAAGTCATGAAGCTGAACATAAATAATTACAAGAAATTTAGTGGCTTATGACCATATAACACACACAAGTGAAAATTGTCATGCTTGTACCTTGGTAGATTCTTGTCCTGTTATGAGAGCTGCACACTGTTTCTTCACATGAAAATTCATCTGAATATTGTCACCACCGACTAATCCCCCTCCAAATGTAATGGGATATACCCAAATACAATTATTGTTGCTGGCATAAGCTGGAATCATTAATTTCAGCTGGAAGAATTTGATAAATAATTATCATTAATAAAGAATTATATGTATAATCATGTAAACATGAAGTTAGCAAAACACATTAATGTAAATTTAACAATTGATAACTAACCAAGAATTTACTATATTATATAATATATGTGAAAATATTTACTTGATACATCACCTTGTTGTTCTTTTTTCTTATAACTTAATGTATGTTGTTCAAGTAAACGTCAATGGTGACAGATTTGTGACATAGACAGTTTTCCAATTAGCGGAACAAATTAATGCAGTAAACCAGTGACTTATAAAATACAGACTTTATCTACATAACTTTTTTTTATGACAAAACTGTAAATCTGTAAATTGACTGTATTACATTATGATAGGGCGGGGTTTTAAAATCACACTAACACAGTACAAGTCATATGGCGATTTTCCAGCTTTACTGTACATTATTCAGGCACAAACTGGCATTTGAGTAGAACCACCAACCTTCAGTAAGCTAGCTGGATAGCTTACTCATGTGAAGAATCCAAAGATGCTGGCATGGCTTGAACCTACAGCAGTGAGAAAACATCATGAAAGTATTCTTTAAGTACCCCGGTAACTGTGCAAAAATTTCCCAATTATAGATGCAGGGGCTGTTCTATAAAATAGTACTGGGGTGAAAGTTCAAAAACAAATTAAAAGTGTGACTTTGATGATGTGATCTCATTTTTCAAGATGTTAAATCATTATTTTCAAAAATTAAAATGCACATTTTCAAAAATTAAACTGCCTATTTTCAAAAATTAAAATGCCCAACAGTAAAAGAAATTAAATACTTGAACACTTACTGGGTATGTATTTTTCAGAGTGGTAATGGAAGATTTAGCGTATTCATTTTCTGTTGGATTTCCATCTTTCTCAACAAATGTTTCTATAACTAGATGTGCCGATCCAGGAGTTTTCTTCATTTTGGTTGTAGCTTCAAGTGAACTTTCACTTTCATCATCACATCCAAATGTCTTTGTCATTCCCTGAGTTCTAATATTAAACAAACTAGCATTGTGTGGTGTGTGTAAGCAAATAATATATTAGAGCAAGGAAATAAAGAAAAATAAATTAAAATTTCGATTTACATACTATTCATAATTTTATTTCAAGTAAATTTCTTTGTTATCCTTTGCCAAAATTTCCATTTTACAAAGTATTCTTTATTTTTAAGAAATTTAAATTTCATATCTTTAGGGCTTTTGACATCAATTGAGTTCCTTTTAAAATTAAGATCTACCGTAAATCCCAATTTAACACCCCCACCCTAATTAATGCCCCACCCACTTTTGAAAACCACAGGTATAATTTAAACTAAGAAAATAACTGAAAATAAAGAAACTCTCTGACCATTTTCGCTATTTATATACAATATCATTCCATTTATGAAAATATCCCTGAATCAAAACTTAAACACGTACACTAAAACAGAGTGAAGTCCACTTGTAAACAGTAACTGTAAAAATAACACAAAAGGGTAAACATATTTACAATACACACACTACCGATAGAGCATTGTACTCTAGCGTGGACAACTACAGAGATCAGGAAGTGGGGTGTGTTGACACATTGTAAATAAGGCAAGCAGCATCAATGATATCAGATTGTCGGCAAGATCAAAGGTGTCAACTGCAAGGAAGTTTTGGGAGGAAAATTCGAGAGAGCTCACAGTGTAAATCAAAGGTGTCATTAGTTGACAGGATGGTGATGTGTTTAAACAGGAATTGTGTAGATTTTTTTACATCATTTGAAGAGAGAGAAAAGACAATCATTTTCACTACGCCTTTCCTTGTTGATCTCCTTTCCTTGTTGATCTCGTCTATTTTTTTATCTTTATTAAATGTTATGCCCCCAGGGTAGCCTAATTAATTTGGCGTGAACGGTTTGACCCATTTTACAGACTTTTTTTTTCTTACTGTCAAACCGTGAAAAAAGACAGCGCCCGTCCAAAATTATCTCGGTGTCTCTTTGACAAGTCTAATTAGTTGGACCAGCCCCCAGGGGTGCTAAATCAGGATTTTATGGTATTATTTTCGAATTTTCCATTTAAGTGTTTCTTTTCTTTCTTTTGTCCTCATTCTTTAAATATTCTTGCTGTTTCTAATGCACAAAAACATAAGACAAAGACAAGTTTTAGATATTTTTGGGATATTAAAGTATTTGTAGGGCGATTTCCCCGTGATAAAATTAACTGAGCACCGTGCAAATTTAAGCGCTCATGAACACAAATAAAACGAATTTAATCATACAAGAAATTGATTTTAGTGACAAAAATTCAAGTGGGAAATCAATATTTTACCAAAAAGTAGCAATTCAAATGCGCAATTTTCTATTGGTAGTTTAAAAGTTTTGACAACTTTTCACCGGAAGTTTACATTTATGCCAAAAGGTGCGATGATACTTTTTGACCCGTCATGTGCGCGTGCGCAATTTCACTAGCAACCGTGTAAACAAATGGCGAACATGTAGGCTTACTTTTTCATTAGTTGTATGCAGAGATTTACTTAGGAAAATGACTTTAAATCCGCTTGCAAATCCAAAAGGAATTAAATTATTGTGTGAACTTTGTCAGAAACCAGCATTTATCCAGTGCACAAAATGTAGAGTGACTTATTATTGGTGAGTAAAACAAATCGCGAAAATACATGTCATTTAGATTTCAAAAATAATAGTATCACATATATTTAAATATGTCATTCAAAACAGAATATTTGTTTACTCTGTAACTGATGAAATATGCCTAGCTTTGTAATAACTCTGTCCTGAGCAAAACATGCTCCAAATATGTCAAACTAAATAAGCATTTGGAAATTACATTTGTATTGTGAACAATGTGAAAATAAAATGCAATGTGGGACAAATTTGTTTTACACACACCATTAACCATAACATTGTTAAAATTACCCTCAGTTGGCTATGACTTGACACCATAAAGAGTTAAGCACTTTTTTAATTGTAAGTTTTACATATTATATACTGTGCTCCTCTTAGTTCACTGTACTTAACACTTTGAAGCAAGAAAGAAAAGAACACATAAAACTTACGGTACAAAAATTGTCATAAGCTGTAACATATATGAATTATCTGCTGTATGACATGAAGAAACAACAATATATTTAGTCAAAATCAGTTTTGTAGACCATATGTTGGCCATTTTGAAAACAGTATGTCATCATTTAAATCACGGTAATGGTGTTTTATTTCAGTGTTTTCATGTTTCAGGCAAAATTTCTACTTGTTAATTTGCATAATTTTAAATATTAAAAGTATCTTTACATTATACCTCAAAATTTATTTTTTCAACAAACAAGAACATTTAGAAAATGATGATTGTTTCAGAAGTATGCACAAATTTAATCATTGTTGCTTTTTGCAGAATTTTCTAAAATGTTGTTCTGTTTCACGTTAAAATCTATAGATTTGAAATATTTTGCACAAAAAATTTGTTGTTTAGGTGTTTGAATAAAATATGTCAATTCTGACCAATTTTAACACTGGTTACATAAAAATATGCCATTACCGTGAAATAAGTGATGGCGCAGAATTAGTGATATTGAGTAAATTACATAGAATCTAGTAGAGAAATCACAAATTATTACGAACAGTAGACCCTAATTTGAAACAGATAATTGAATGATAAACAAAAAATTATAGTGGTACAAATTTGTACAATGTAGCTGTTGCGTGTCCTAGTTACAGCAAGTACAGGTCCATTTCTATGTGCCAGTTATTTTTACTGAATATATTTCTTATTGCTTAAAAATCTTTGCTCATGAAAATTTCCTGATATTTGAAATCAATTGTAGTATAATATCCCATTGTTTTCTTTTGTAACGGACATCTCACAAGATTTTGTGACACAATATAAATGATTTCAATAATATGCTTCAAATTTGGAGATACATGTAAGATATGAATTTACTGTTTATTTTTTTGGCATTCAAACATTTCTTTTTGCACAATGTTAATATGTTCATAAAAATAATATTAATATGATTCCAATTATCATGCACATTTAACTTACCAGGAAGTTCACTTTCCCGCCACAATAAGCATTCCAAAATGTAGTTGATGATATTAAATTGTTTTTATCTGCAGTCAAATATAATTTATAGCTACATGTACAGTGAAATGATATTGTGAAATATTAGCTGTGAAATTATCAAAATATACTTGAATTTATTTCATATTTCAGTTATTAAACTGAAAACTTTGTAAGAAATGATTATGTTCTTGTTTTTATTACAGTGGTGTTGAACACCAGAAAGCAGACTGGCTTGGTATACATGAGAAAATATGTCAGAATCTTATTCCTCTAAGACAGAGTGCTCCATTTCTTCCTTCAGAAGAGGAGAGACAAAGCAGGGAAAGACAACTTCAGACTAAAAAGGTAAAAAAATGATGTTTACAAGAGACATACATATAAACAATCATGTAATTTTCAAACGAACTTAGTAAAGATGGGAATGAAGAACGTAATGTTTAACACCAGATAAAACTTGAACTAAAAAACTTAAACCAAATTTAATTAATCTACCAGTTTGGGTGATATCGTCACTTTTTAATTGAAATATTAATCTTACTATTTATCAGTTGTCAATGCTTGACACTTGTTTTTTTATTTTTATACATTAACATATTTGTATATACATGTAACTTTCTTACACTTCCAATTTGACTAGTGAATTTCTGTATTTCTTCTGACAGCGCACAATGATAGATCTCACAAGAACAACAGGTCAAAAATTATTGTTTGAGGGCAAACATGAACAAGCTGTCCCTGCTGCTATGCAGTCATTGAGGTTTGCCATAGATGTTCATGGTCTAGCGAGCATAGAACTTGTACCTTCATACCTCATCTTAGGTGAAGCAAGTATTGGTATGTACCTTACACTACTTTTCAAAATTCTCTGAATATCTATTGATGATAATTAAGTATATGCCTAGTGCAAATTTGCTGTCTTTAAATAATTTCTATTTTAGTGAAACAATTATTCTCATTTGAGCAGATCTGTTATTAATTAGCATTCCCATTTTTTAATCTTTTTGTTCAGATGAAGAAGTTGCTAACTGAAAATCTGTTTGCACATTATTAATTTGATTTAAATCCAGCAATGGATATTGGATACATTCTATTGTATGAAGCTTTCAATAAAATTTGTATGGGATCAGTGTTTCTACATAAGTTAAACCTGAAAGACCTCTATATGTGAAAAGAGATGGCAAAAACAATTGCCTGTATTGACCAGGTTGTCCCAGATACTGAGCTGAAGTTTTTCGATAGTTGTCAAAGTAAACTGCATCATTTGGTTTTGGCCATATATTTACATTGTTGATCATATGATGTTATTTTGCTATATGTATTTTACTTGAAATTATTTCAGGGCTTGGTAGATTAGAACAGGCTGAAGAATATTTGGCACAAGCTCAGTGGACTGTCTTGAAAACTCCTCAATGTTCAAATGCAATAAAATCTAAATTGTACAGAAATCTTGGTCTCCTATATGCTGCCAAAGGTGACTATGAAGATGCTTTGAGGCAACTTGCAAATGATGTAAGTCTTGAAAGTGATTGTCTAATATTTTAATTCAGGTTTCATTTATGATAATTCCTATGTGGCTTACCATGCAAATTCTCTTAATGGCGCTATCTGGGGCATCTTGAGCATTTTTATTGGAAATTTCAAAATATATGTGCTGACTGAATAATGAACAGTGCAGATCATGATCAAACGACATGGATGTGTCGGCTGATCTTGATCTGCACTAGTCACATAGGTAGATTCAGTTGCCAACAGCAAGGTTAAGGTTGATCAATTTTACTGTCATCATTAAATGTCCTTTATTGGTTATCCTTTTATACTTGAACTTCAATTCATGTACCATAATGACAATGATTTTCATCTCATATAACAGAGGCCTATAAAAGGCCTCCTCCTAATGGAAATTTTCTTTCAAGTCATTGATTTCCCAAACCTATGAACTTATAACAGCTATTTTACTTTCCAAAGTAATAATTTTAGCAGTCATTCTTCCTAAAACCAAGAGGTTAAGGCCTCTTCCCAATTAAGTGAGAAAAACTTATGATGAACTTTAAGGCTGTCTGCTTTTCAGTCTCTATATTTTTATCAGTACATGTATCAGTTTTCATTTTTGATCTGATCAGTTTTGAGATGTGTAATTTGAGCCGCATCATAACACAACCAGCATAATGGGCTTGCGACCAGCATGGATCCAGACCAGCCTGCGCATCCGCACAGTCTGATCAGGATCCATGCTGTTCGCTATCAGTTTCTCTACTTGTAATAGGGTTTCTAAGCGAACAGCATGGATCCTGATCAGACTGTGCGGATGCGCAGGCTGGTCTGGATCCATGCTGGGCGCAAACCCACTATGTTGGTTTTGTCATGACGCGGCTCATTTGTTGTTTTAGATATATCATGCCTCAGAAGAATTCGGTACACATGATATTCGAACATCAGGAGGTTACTATCACATGGGAAATGTATTCTTCCGACAAGGTAGAATGGATGTAGCTGACTCACTCTACAGACAGGTACGACAGAAAAACTTGATTTAGTGGATATTTTATTTATGATTTACTTATGTCTTTTATGATATATTGAAAAATATCAGTGATATAAAGTCTATGATATTTTCTTACTGTCTGAAAATGAAATCTATATAGAATTTCCTTCAGGTTCTATACATTCAATGTTAAAGACAACCTGTTGTTGCAACCTGAGTAACATTTTTGGTTGTATGTAATTTTGCATGATCTGAAATCAAACATAGGATTTGGTCAGGTTTAAAAACTGTTTGATGAGCTGTATTTATTATTCAAGAAATTATATATGAATAGCATGTTTCCGGAAATTTCCATTAGTTAGCTCATCTGGATCTTTGCTTCAGGTTCAACATATGAAATTAATAAAATGAGTTACAAATTGATAGGCGCTTTTGAATCAATTATTACTTATATAATTGGCAAACACAGAATCTTAATCCAAGACAATCAACGATAATCCCTACATGAGTGGTTTATTTTCTTTTTATTATTTTAGGTTACAGATATATGGTACACACATTTATATAGTATTGTTAAAGTGAGAACACGTACCCCACCCACACCTAAAGGTGTCGGACCACTAATTGTTGAGATGTTCGATGAGCAGGAAGATACTCTTGGTAAAGTTTCTTCATTATAACAGTTACACAAATATTTTTAGTTTTATATAATGTATAAGGGTTGTCTGTGGCCGAGTGGTTCAGGTGGTTGACATCAAACCACTAGCCTGTCACTGCTATGGGTTCAAATCCTGCCAGGGACTTTTAATTCTTTCATGTGAGGAAGCTATCCAGCTAGGATACGGGATGTTGTTGGTTCTTCACAGGTGCATGTTTATGCCTGAAATAATGCTCGGAGGAGCCCCTAAGGTCCTCTCCAGCAGCTAGAAAAGCTAGAATGTCGCCATATGACCTACATGGTGTTGGTTCCATGTAAAATCTAAAATGAAAATAAAATGAATATGGCAGTTAAATCTTTTTGCATTCCATATTTTAAAGTGAATGCATTGAAGTCTTTTTCAAATAAATTCACCCCTTAATCATTTTTTTTTAAGATTAGATAATTTATAGTCAGATTTACAAATTTATACAGCGACAATTACTTTTAATCACAAATTTCAATTTAATTCTTTAATTGAGTTTTACCTGTTTATTACAAAAAAAAATGTATTTTGACAGCTTTTTACTCTATAATGATTCTGTTGATGTCAAATTGTCAATTGGAGTTGTTTCCCTTTGTTTTTCAGATGAGGCTCAAGAAGCTGAGGCTGTTCAGGTATTGAATTCGGTGTTTGATATGAGAGAACACCAGACCAACAGACAACCAGAAGACATGGCTCGAGTCAGTCACGCCCTTGCCATGCTCTACTATGTACTCGGAGATATCAGCAAGGTACATTGTTTATAAGTCAATAATCATTGATTCAGAGATTTAGGTTTATTGCGTAAATTTTTTATGCATGCTGGTTGGAGAAATGTTTTAAGTTCTTAAACCCCTTAGACTGATTGGGACAACAGAGATTCTACAAATATGACAAGAACAGACAGGATCAGCCAGCACATCTGTCATGTTTTTTTGTTGTTTTTTTCATGGTCTGCACATAGCCCCTTGTAGCTTGAGGTATCAACATCGCAGCCACCGCCTAACCCTGGGTGATCATATGAGGTGGCTGAATGGGTTCAAATTATAGGAGTCTATGCATTTGCTAGCTCTAGCAGGTGGGGTGGTTTTGACCCCTGGTGTTCCCCTAAGTTTGCAACACCCAAGCCTTGAAGGTTTGCCAAAATCATCTTTCATGTTTGGCATCATATAGCCTTAATTGTGTTGGTGCCCCTTAAAAACCAAACAAACAAAGAGCTATTCACTCAGTATATGTTTTGAAATTTTCACTGAGAAATGAATAGCAATAGTTTAAAAAGAAAAGTGTATACAAGGTGGAAAATTACAACATGCTGACATAATAAAATTGTTATTGTAGTTTTGTGAAGCAAAATCATTAAAATCCAGTATGATTTGTTACATTCATTCTGTGAATGATTACACTTTATATATAAACCCTTACATTATTTTCAGGCAAAAGAGTTTGGAAGAAAAGCTGTTGTAGCCAGTGAAGGTCACCCAGATGATACTCTTTCTCGCTCCATCATTGAATTCATGAAAAATTGTGAGCGTGTACCAGTACAAGCTGTCTGAACATTCTCACTGCATTTATCAGCCAATCAAATCACAGCTTAGTAATTCTAGAAACAAGTCAGCCAATGAAATCACAGCTTATTTATGTCAATAAAATTTCAGCTGAGATAAATTGTATTTCAGCCAACCAAATTTAATTAGAAATATAGGTCAAAATGTTGTTAACCTGAAATTTATAAGGTTCTCTCCATTATATATATTTATTTAAAACTTGTGTAGCATTACTCTTCTATGTTACACTTACTGGTTATTGACACATTGATGCATTAATGTTGTTATGTCTTAATTTACTTCTATAAATGTGTCGATGTGACGTAAAACCCAAAAACAAACAAACAAAAAACTTCTATAAATATTTGTTGTTTTTTTTTAAGCAGAGATAGTTTCTTTTCTTTTTGAAATAATATGTAGCACGGAGACAAAAAAAAAAATAAAGGGTGCTGGAAAAATAAAACTGCTGACATTATATGTATGTGACTTGTTTAAAATATTTAATAATTTATCTATGAAAACCTGACTGTGTAGCAAGCCGTCCGATTGCAGACATAAATGTTCCAGTTCCCTGTTTACAAAGTATACCTGTGATAAAGCATCAGTGTTGTATTATAACTTTGTTATTTTATGCTTGTCTTATTATTCATTGAAAAAAAAATGCATAAAAATGTGAAAATATTAAAAATATGAAATAAAAACTGTTGGGAGTTTTCTTTCTGTCCTAGATAACATGATAAGACATGCTTTAATTTTTATGCCCCCACAAAGTATAGCATATAGCGTTGCACTTGTCCCTCCGTCTGTCCCGAAATCTTATGAAAGCAACTCCTCTTAAACCAGATGGCAGATTTTGCTTAAACTTCCAGGGATGAACAACCTTAATGTGTAGATGGTATTAAAGGAAGGAATTTTTGCTGCGACCAAATTTAACAGAATTATGGCCCTTTGTTGATTTTTTCACTATATACTATGTAGAAATTTTGTGAACGCAACTCCTCTTAAACCGGATGGCATATTTTGCTTAAACTTCCAGGGATGAACAACCTTAATGTATAGATGAAAGTAAAGGAAGGAATTTTTGGTGCGACCAAATTTAACAGAATTATGGCCCTTAGTTGATTTTTTCACTATATACCATATATATGTTGTCAGTGGGGGCATCTGTGTCCTTTGGACACAGTTCTAGTTTTTCTAAAAAAAGCACATAGTATGACCTTGATGTGTAGCTCACCTAGTGTTTTATAACATCAAAATACACCTGAATGTGTAAGAGTAAGCAGGAGTGTTTAGTCTTCTTCTGTTAAAGTGATAACAAATAAACACAAGTGTAGCATATTTAAGATTTGGTATGCAACACTATCAATTTGTGTAAATCAAATACCGGTTTTATTTTGATCAAGGCCTGAATTCTGCATAAGTAAGCTTTACTTCGCAGCAATACGTGAAGCTTAAGGCACAGAAGGTACTGATACATTAATGTTGGCAGCTTTTGTTACACAGCAAGTTCAAAAAGGGCCATAATTCTGTCAAAATCTTAGTTTTATGCCTTGGACAGTGACCTATTGTGTCCTTAAATGTAACAATTTCAACAATTTCCCTTCAGTAGTCTTGAAGATACCATCTTGCACACAAATCTTAACCAAAATGTGATGTTAACACCTGGGCGAGTACGAAAGCTCTCCCTCAAGAGCCTGGATAGTGTAGGAATTAATTTAGAGAAAGATTTCAGAACTCCTATGCTATGGTTCCCTTTTGCTTTGCTACACAGACCACTGCCATTACAAGTTTATTTAATTCAAAATTTTATAAAATTTGATACAGAAACATAATTTTATTGCGATACATATTATCATGCTGATACATTTAGACATGTACATTATGACTGTTATTCCTAATAAGGGAAAAGAAGGATGTTTGCAAATCTATAAATAAAAATGTTAAAAATATTGGCTGAAATTCTTTCAGTGTAGTAAGTTACATTTCATTCCTTCCATTAAAGATTAAATAATGCTTGTTTTTGTCACAAAAAGACATTTTCTACTGATACCATTTTCTTCTGCCCAATTTAAGTAACCTCCTTTTCATTTCTTATGATCATGTGAAGCAAAGTGAATCAAAACACTGAGGAGCTTGAAAGATATCATTGAAAATACATTAAATAAAGTTGTAGAAATTTACCCACAGTCATGATCCTAAAACATACATAAGCATTTAGTGATATCCTTCAGTAGTTTTGAAGAGTGATGTTTTATGCAAAACTTTATCTTCACAAAGGGGGCATAATTGTAATTTAGTCAAAATCCATGCTAAAGTTAAGGACCTTGGAAAATGACCCCAATAATGACATGTGTGACATTTCAAGTAAAGATATTAAGTGGCTGACATCACATGAAATTTGTTAAGACATTGCAGCTAAAAACACAAAAACAAGTAGAGTATAATTTTTATATATTTTTTATTCATAGACAAAGATTTAAAACATTTGTTATACAAAATATGTCATCTATATTTTGATATGTTTATTAATAATAAAGGACTAATTTATCATTCAGCAGTTTACAATATCATGAAATGCATAGAAATACTGATATGTGTTTATTATAGCAGGGACTTTAATATGAACATGGTATATTGAGGGCTTTGTGCAACATGACTGTAACTCATAGTACATATTAAGGAGTTACAACATATTTGCACCATTTTTGGTGATATGTTTACTTGGTTATGTAACATACATTTTCCTTCGGAGGAAATCAAGTACTCAATCAACATTATGGGATACATGATTACAATTAAGGGGGATAATTATGGACATCGATGTTACATGTATTTAATAAAATATGTGAACATGTATAATTATGTATCATAAAATTAAAAATAAAATTATACTTGTAATCAACGATTTTAGTTTTCAGTTTTGCTTGTTCTGTACTTTTCGATTTTATCATGTTAATTAAATGATGGTATATTACAACATCAATGAAACTACATAATTTATAAGATACATGTAATCTATTTTGAAAAAAAAATGAAAATAAAGTTCTACAATTAAAGATGATATTTAGATAAATTAAATTGACAAAGATAAGGAAAAAATACAGAAAAAAATGAAGTGTAAAAACTTAAAGACTACATTCCTAAAATATAAGATCAGTCTTGGTGTAAGATACATGAATTCTGATTGGTTAGTTTCATTTCCAAGTTTGAATTCAACCAATCAGATGCTTGAATTAATTATTTTTGTCTTTGTTCTAACCAGTACTTATGACCAAAACAAAAATTTACATAAAAGACCTATAACCCAAACTAAAACCCCCTATTCATTAACCTACTCACTAACACATATAATTTACGAAAAATATGGTACGAAAAAAAACACCAAACATGTATTTTTCTCAGAAACTACATAAAACAAAAATATGTATTATTTTCTAAGAAATACATCGCTGACAAACTTATCCAAATATGGGACAGTAGGAAAACAAGGGAGTCCATTTTCATATATCTTTGGGGGAGTCAGGAGTCTTATATTACAACCTATCATACCCTCTATTAATTATGAATGGAATGGTCTACAAAGCAAATTACATTATGTCATGATAAAAAAAAATTTTGAGGTAAAGAATAATTCGAAATTTAATAGAAAAAAATAATATTTTAAGCTATGGAATTTAAAAAAGATATTATGTATGTATACTTTGATTAAGTGTTGAAAATATAATAAATTATTATTAATGAGACAAAAAGATGTTTTAGTTTATAAAATATACAGGAAGGAACTTATGATTTTGAAACATTGTTAAATGTAGTTTGATTTTGTTACCGACAGTTAAATCAAATGAGCCGCGTCATGACAAAACCAACATAGTGCATTTGCGACCAGCATGGATACAGACCAGCCTCCGCATCCGGGCAGTCTGATCAGGATCTATGCTGTTCGCTTACCAACCCTACTCGAAGCAGAGAAACTGGAAGCGAATAGCATGGATCCTGATAAGACTGCGCGGATGCGCAGGCTGGTCTGGATCCATGCTGGTCGCAAACGCACTATGTTGGTTTTGTCAGGAAGCGGCTCAAATATAAAATACAATGCAACATACAAGCATGTTTTCTAGCTATTTAAACCTCAATTATAATATCATGTTAAATACAATCATCTCATACAAAGTTTACAACTCACTTAAGTAAGTAATCCTTGCAAAATAAATAAATGCATATCCATGTGAGGCCAAAAAACAAGAAAAGAGCTCTGTTCTCGACCTACAACAGAGAGGCAAGGAATTTCATATATATATATTTATATAAGAAGTTTGTTTCCTTATGTGGATCCAGAATTATATAACGCTACATTTCTGGGAAATTCTGTAAATAAATACAGTTATTTTAAGTATAATCTAAGCACATTTTTTAACATAACTGTATCAAAATATTTATTGGATTTTCCAGAAAGGTCTTTTTTATAATTACATATAAATATATATTTCATAGTGAAATGATATAAATTTTACAGTGAAGATTTTGAAAATGTGGTGAAACAAATAGAGTGTAAGGGTGACAATTACCATATTAAAGATGGTAGATTATAAGGAAAGACCTTGAACAGAACTCTTTTTTTTTTTTTTTGGCCTCATTAATGTGTTATAAAATGGTATTGGCACATGGTATTATATAAAAATACATGTATATGGTTAAAATAAAGAACATTCTAACAGATTAGAATAAACAAAATCAATATACAACAAGATATGTTTGTAAAACATGTATGCCCCCTATCAGCAGCCAATTAGTCATGTGATAAGGTTATTATGCATGACTTCTGACCCAGTGATCAAACAATTAATAAGGGTTATTAAGTATCTACTGGTCATGACCTTAACCTTTGACCCCTTGACCCAAAACTCAATAGGGGTCATCTGCTGGTCACGACCAATCATCATACAAAGTTTGAAGTTCCTAGGCCTAAGCGTTTTTAGTTAATTGATCGGAAACCGGTTTAACATACAAGGTCAATGTGACCTTGACCTTTGACCCCTTGACCCCAAAATCAATAGGTCATCTGCTGGTCATGACCAATCACCATACCATGTTTGAAGTTCCTAGGCCAAGGGTTCTTAAGTTATTGATTTGAAAGCATTTTTACCTACAACGTCAATGTGACCTTGCCCTTTGACCCCTTAACCCCAATATCAATAGGGGTCATCTACTGGTCATGACCAATCACCATACCAAGTTTGAAGTTCCTAGGCCTAAGGGTTCTTTAGTTATTGATCGGAAACCGTTTTTACCTAAGAGGTATTTGTGACCTTGACCTTTGACCCCTTGACCCCAAAATCAATAGGGGTCATCTACTGATCATGACCAATCACCATATCAAGTTTGAAGTCCCTAGGCCTAAGGGTTCTTTCGTTATTGATCGGAAACCGTTTTTACTACAAAGTCAATGTGACCTTGACCTTTGACCCCTTAACCCCAAAATCAATAGGGGTCATCTGCTGGTCATGACCAATCACCATACCAAGTTTGAAGTTCCTAGGCCTAAGGGTTCTTTCGTTATTGATCAGAAACCGTTTTTACCTACAAAGTCAAATGTGACCTTGACCTTTGACCCCTTAACCCCAAAATCAATAGGTGTCATTTGCTGGTCATGACCAATCACCATACCAAGTTTGAAGTTCCTAGGCCTAAGGGTTCTTTCGTTATTGATCGGAAACCGTTTTTACCTACAAAGTCAATGTGACCTTGACCTTTGACCCCTTAACCCCAAAATCAATAGGGGTCATTTGCTGGTCATGACCAATCACCATACCAAGTTTGAAGTTCCTAGACCTAAGGGTTCTTTTGTTATTGATCAGAAACTGTTTTTACCCAAGAGGTCAATGTGACCTTGACCTTTGACCCCAAAATCAATAGGGGTCATCTACTGATCATGACCAATCACCATACCAAGTTTTGAAGTTCCTAGGCTTAAAAGTTCTTTAGTTTTTGATCAGAAACCGTTATTGCTTACAAGGTCAATGTGACCTTGACCTTTGACCCCTTGACCCCAAAATCAATAGGGATCATATACTGATCATGACCAATCACCATACCAAATTTGAAGTTCCTAGGCCTTAAAGTTCTTTAGTTATTGATCAGAAACCGTTATTGCTTACAAGGTCAATGTGACCTTGACCTTTGACCCCTTGACCCCAAAATCAATAGGGATCATATACTGATCATGACCAATCACCATACCAAATTTGAAGTTCCTAGGCCTAAAGTTCTTTAGTTATTGATTGGAAACCGTTTTTGCTTACAAGGTCAATGTGACCTTGACCTTTGACCCCTTGACCCCAAAATCAATAGGGATCATCTACTGATCATGACCAATCACCATACAAAATTTGAAGTTCCTAGGCCTTAAGGTTCTTTAGTTATTGATCGGAAACTGTTTTTGCTTACAAGGTCAATGTGACCTTGACCTTTGACCCTTTGACCCCAAAATCAATAGGGGTCATCTACTGGTCATGACCAATCACCATACCAAGTTTGAAGTTCCTAGGCCTAAGGGTTCTTTAGTTATCACTCGGAAACCATTTGGTCTACGGACCAACGGACCGACGGACCGACAAGTGCAAAGCAATATACCCCCTTTTCTTCGAAATGGGGGCATAATTATGACTCTACTCAGCATGATTTTGTTACTTAAAAATAGAAAGTGAACAAAAATAAACACAAAAGAGCAAAACCCGTCTGCATAATCCAGGCTGCATATTCTGGGCCAATATTTATTCATACCAAAATAGAAAATAAATTATACCACGAAAATTCCTTTTATTGTCCAGGTATTTTTCATTATCAAATTTTAACACTTTTTTCTACACATGATGAATACAATTTGATGAAGTGTTTTACAGCCCTGTTTTTGCTGTTTTGGTGTGAAAAGTGAAAATTTACACATTTAATTGTCACACATATAAGTGTATTAAAATGGCATAATTTCTTATGGTCATAACTGAATCATATTCAGCAAGAACTTCAAATATTATGATCAAAATTTATCACAGTGTAAAATGTAAAACATTTTTGTCCGCTTAACATTCTGGTTTTTCAAAATTAAGTTTACCATGGCAACTTTTCTATATTGTTTACTCAATATATGATAAGTGACATGGTGCAAAATTAATTTTTATCGATAATTTTAACCGAATGCTTAAATGAACATTATATTGTTATATATATATGTGAATAGAATGAAATAAATAAACGTGGCAAAAATGGCCTTAGTAACAATAAGTATGTAAGTATATATGTATGTATGTATATCTAAATTTTAATACTATTTATGAACGATGGACGGTCATGTTTATATCACAATAAAATGTAAAAAATAAAAATGGTAAATAAATGCACTACCTTTTATCTAAGAATATACAAACAAATCATATCTAAGTTCAACGCAACACTGCCTCAAACCAGTAAGTTGTTAAATGATCAAGACATTGCAGTGTCATGCTGAACTTTGCTCATTCAAATATTTTTTTATGAAAACATATAATGTCTCCATTTTCTCTATTGTTCACATAATGGTTAAAAAAATAAATAAATGATAAATGTATAAATAAAATCAAACACTACGTCCCGAGTCAAGAATCAAAGTCGTCTGGATCAAAATCTGAGTCACTGTCAGTTTCATCCTTCTCACGAAACAGATCAATCGACTGACCCATTGACCCGATTCCCGACCCAATTCCTGAACCTCGTGTGTATGAATTAGAGAGAAAGCTAGTAAAATGCGTGTCAATTTCCGGTTCCTCCGGTGGGCTACGATAGTTTAATATAGAGTCTACTAAATTGTCTGGCTCCCAGCTTGAAGTGATACTGTTGCCAAGGCCACTACTGGTTGCTATGGTGATGCTATGTGGGTTATCACTAGGTGAGACTGGTCGCAACAAATTGCTCTAAAAATAGAAAAGAACAATAAATTACAGTTACATTAGTCATGTAAACAATACATAAGAATGACTAAACAGTATTTGCTGATATAGAATAATTGAAACTTAATTTCTAAGTAAAGAAAAGGAAAATTAAAATGTTAAACCATTTAGATAATGTTACAATTTAACTGTAAATTATATAAATCAAGTTTAAAAAATAACTTATTTTTTGTAAAACTTAATAGATACACATGCACATAATGTACATGTATATAAACCCATATCCTGCTGAAACTGAAAAAGATTTAAAATTTCTATTTTTATATCCCTAAAATTGACAGTGGACAGTTCCAAAAACTGGAGGTTGGACCAGTCTATATAAAAATTTCAGCAGGTTAAGGGTTAAAGATATTTAAGTCCTGAAAAGAATCTTAAAAGATATTGTAATCTTGGATACAAAATAAGCGTCTTTTATAGATATCCCATATATTTGTGCATACACTATATAAATTACATTGTACAATATTGTTATATATAGTGCATAATTTTCCTAAATACAAAATTATGAAGAAAAAACAACACTGACATATGATTTTATCCTAATATCAATCACAAGCAAATTGACAAAAATTAAGCTTATTTTATGTACCACATACATGTAGTTGTATTTCAAAGAATCCTCTCGGTATTAGATTTAGAATTGTATTTTAAGCTTCAGAAAGAAAAATTGTTCAGAGCTTTTTTTTAAAACAATCACTCTTGAAGCTGAGCCATTTAAGTGTAATATATGAATGCACAATGTTATTTGAGACCATAATTATACTGTAGTCCATGATAATGATCCACCAACCTTGGATAGAGGGTTTTGCATCCTTATCCCCTTTTGTTTCTGTATATTATATTTTAAATTTTTTTTGTATGATTTTGAGTAATATCAACACTTAAAAAACATATACCTGCACTGGTGGTGGAAGCCACAGATTTTATAGATCAAGGAAGACCCCCAAGAAGAGCCCTTCTGTGCTTTATTAAAGGCATGTACTAAAGTAAAACCACCAACCTTCAGATACTTATTATCATATGAAAGAAAAAGGTATGTCTTGTGACAAGATTTCAACAGGAAGCAGCATAACCATGAAGACAAGGTAAAATTTACATTCAATGGGCCACAGGTGTTCAATTACTGCAATAATTTAGTCCTTGAACATTTTGTCTATCCATGGACACTCTTCACCATACCCCATGCAATATAATATTATATTTGCTACAATCTAACATGCAAGGATCATATGTAACCAGTAAATACTGGGACATTTAAATACTGGTATTTTACTGCTTATTTTGGTACAGTCCATTCCGAGATGACCAATTGGATAAAGGTTATGCATCTAATAATTCAGAGTTCACATATGCATAATGAGTACTGAGAAATGTTTAAAAAGACTGCAGTGAGATTATTATTATTATAAATAATCTTTGATCTTTCTTCTTTGCACAGACTTGTTTCTATTCAGATAAAGTACATGTATCATAATTATCTTGGAAGAACCATTATGGCTCTAATAGTAAATATAGTTTGTTTTGTTTTTGTTTTTTTTAAAGAAATAACGAAATGCTCATAATATCTTACATTATCATATAAATCAGAAAAACAGATAAATTTTAAATAGAAACATATAAGAAACTTGAGCCCTATTACAGAAGTTTAAGCTCCATGGCCCTATGTATGTTGAAGTCATAAGTCAATTTATAACTCCAAGAATCGGATTCAAATGCATCAGTATAAAAAACTAGAAATGTGTCCATAGGACATGGGTGCCCCCACCGCGCCACTGTTCTGTCAATCTTTTTACTAAGTCAAGGGAAATAACTCTACAAATACTGGATAAATCCACAAGCGAAACCCCAGGTGCAAATCTAAATATGCTGAGCAACCTGCCCATAAGGTTTAATGACTATGTCAAATCCTTTTTGAGTAACTTGCGACACAAGTTGAAAATTGCAAAAATTTTCTAAGGGAAGGGCAATAACTCTAAAAATACTAAATAAATCCAGACAAAAATACCTGGTGCACAACTGCACATGCTGATCAATATTCCTTTAAAGTTACATGACTCTAGGTCAAATACTTTTTGAGTTACGTGCGACACATGTTGAAAATTGCAAAATTTTACTAAGTCAAGGGCAATAACTCTGAAAATACTAAAAATATCCAGACGAAAATACCCAGGTGCACAACAACACATGCTGATCAACATTCCTGTAAAGTTTCATGACTCTAGGTCAAAAACTTTTTGAGTTACATGCGACACAAGTTGAAAATTGCAAAATTTTACTAAGTCAAGGGCAATAACTCTGAAAATACTAAAAATATCCAGACGAAAATACCCAGGTGCACAAGTACACATGCTGATTAATATTCCTGTAAAGTTTCATGACTCTAGGTCAAATACTTTTTGAGTTACATGCGACACAAGTTGAAAATTGCAAAATTTTACTATGTCAAGGGCAATAACTCTGAAAATACTAAAAATATCCAGACGAAAATACCCAGGTGCACAACAACACATGCTGATCAACATTCCTGTAAAGTTTCATGACTGTAGGTCAAATACTTTTTGAGTTATGTGCGACACAAAAGTGAACGGACGGACATACCAAAATTTGATGTTAAGTATGAGGCAAATCAGCTCATAAACACCACCTGGACAAACGTCCATAAGCAAAATAAGCTCATAAAAACAAAAAAATAGCTCTTAATTTGAATTTTATAAGTTTTTGTTCTTTATTTAACTACGGAATGAAGCTCATAATAATCAAATGTTTGCTCGGATGGACGGACGGAAGGACGGACGGACAAGGGTAAATCTAAATGCCCGCCACTAACGCGGGGGCACAAAAATATCACTCTGTGTAAGATTCAAACTCATGCCTTCCGGTCTACAAACACATATTTTTAAATAAAAAACAATTTACGCCAATGAGCTAAAGAATAAATCCCCTGTTGCAGTTGGGATTGTGACGATACTTATTGACGTGGGTGAGTAATCAAATGTAACATCGAAGTTTGATATTTTAACCTATTAATGCTATTATTCTATTTTTCCAAAAGATATTGATACAAAGAAATAGTATTATGCATAAAACCCCTATCAAAAAGGTCACATTGGAATGGAATGTACACTTTCTTAACAGGAATACAAAACGTTTATTATAATATGGGACTGTTTACCAGCACTGGGGCTTATATCTGTATTCATACATCCTATATCCTTCAACCTGCAGTGAAAGTAGTTCCATAAAACATCTTGCGAATATAACAATGTAATGGGGACATTTTACTGAATTCTTTAGAGGTCAGTTATTTCAAATCGTCATATCAACAAAAATACGCTGTGGGGGGTTAGGACACAAATTCTGTGCATATAAATCACCATTGAATACATATTTTACACTGCAATGTGTAAAACATAAACAGGAAAAAAACAACACCTGAAAACTGTATAAATTTTAAAATCTACCTAGTCCAAAAACAAAATGTAAGCTACATTCTCTATAACTTCACTAAACCCTATTAGCTTCTAACTAGTACCTACTAGAATTCAACTTTAAATTCAACCAAAACTAACAAATTAGGTTGCAATTTTTCTATATTTTATCATCCCTTCAAAATGAAAACACCAAATCCCTTCTTTTTTTTTTTAATTATAGCATAGTTACATGATTGTATCAATTTTGTGCGGACAGCTGGGTCAGAACTGTTTGTTTCTAGTTTTAAGAAATTCAGTTGTCACAAAGAAATTTAACTTGCCAGAGGATCGCACCTGAGTGACCCTTGGATTATAAATCCTATGCTCTCCCTTTTGTGCTAATCGGACCGACTTAAGAATTAATTTTAAACCTTTTCAAATACTAAAACATGGAAACTACTGTTATTCTATCATATTTACTAAGAAAATAACAGAAACAAACAAAACTCACAATTTAATTAAGTAATTCTACAGCAATTTATATTACCACCCATTTATAACATAATTATATATTTCTACATTATGGCTAAAATAATTGAAAACTGAATTCAAGTAAGGATTTTATAAATGTAAACATAAATGTCAACTTATATATCAAGAAATAATGTAAAAATTGAATAATTTTGTATTTTTTTCATTGATCGACATCAAATTGAACATTAATCTTGAAAATTATTTCCAGCCCTGTCATGTCAAAAAACCTCAGTGGAGTTCCTTTCAAGTTTATCTAACATTAAAAGCTCATTATGACAATTTTTTTATGAAGATCTGACACATAAGCAGAACCATCAACCTTCTGATGGATTATAAGTTTCTTCACACAAAAAGATCAAATTTTCCGTTTCTGGAAAATTACTGTATGCACTTGCCCATAAGACAGCCTGCCTCAATAAGTCAGGCTAAGAATAAAACCCGCTGCCTATAAGTTGGGTTATGAATAAAATCCTTACTTGCACAAATAAATAAAACGCACAATACACAACAACTTTAATAGTCTACTATAATGATAAGATACACAATGTTGTTATAGCAACAGCAGATTCTTGAACTTACACTTTATAACAGATTCAGGCAACTGAAATAATCATATATTCTTAAAATTCATTTGAAAATTTCAGGTCCTTTACATCATATTTTTATAAATGAAACTACAGTTCTTTAATCTGTTGTTAGTACAAAAGTAAAAGTAATTCTAGTCTAAGGATAAATGTTATGAAAATAGGCACTTAATTAATAGTTAGGACATAAAGATCCTCTTAAATTCACATCTCCCGTCCTCAAAAGTTGAAAAGTTTAAACTAAAGTAAGGACTAGAACTCTGCATATATCACAAAGGGCCATAACTCTCCAAAAATCATCAATGACCCTAGTATGCAAACATCATTAAGGGCCATAACTCTGCAAAAATCACCAACAGGCCTATATATATATGCAAAAACTATCAAGGGAAATAATTCCACAAAAATAATCAAGGGCCTTAACCCTGAGTTATAAAAAACTGATTGTGCATGAAAAATTTCATTTTAATCCTTGTGAAGGAGATTCATATAAACTTTAAGTTTTCTACTCAATCCTGGGTGCAATATATGTATTGAGATTTTGTTTGAAAATATGGGAGAAGAAATAAATATTGTTTAAACCAAAACCCAAATAGGATTTCAATATTGTAATATTGTTTTCTTTAAGATTACTGAATATGGACAATTATTCATAGTACTCTTCAGTTGAGATAATCTCAGTTTCTGGACCAAAAATAATCATACTAATAGGCAACTCATATAAAGACAGGCATATATGTTATTCTACGTTTGAAAGAATCAGAGGGGATGGGAAAAATTGCTACATTTTTTCTCAAATCTACTTCCTTTTTTCAGAATCTACAACTTAAAATATGTGTACATTATTACGCTGACCACTTCACATTTCAATCAAAATTTAGCTTCTATAATAAATATCCAGTTGTGTTCCTTATAGCAAACATAAAATTAAACAGCAAATTTCAGGCCAGATATAATTCTAGTTAAACATTTTGCCTAAAAATTCAAGAGTCAAAGAAATATTTTTATTAGAAATTAATCTTTTAAGCACTGATTCAGTACATTAAGGTACTCTTTAAGAGTTAAGCATTTTATTAAAGTAAAAGAAGAAACAATACAGAAGCTAAATGATGAAGACTAAACACCAAAAGTGCAATGTTAGTTTTTGTTATTTTCCTATTACATCTATGTAACCTCTACATAAAGTCTATGTTATGTGTCTATGTTATGTCCATGTTACATTGATGTCATGTCAATGTTAAATCTATATTTATTAATTATGTTCTATGTTATACATGTCATGCCTAATTCATGTGCCTATGCAGTACATGTATTTGTGTCTCATCCATGAAACAGTAATGGCATGTATAATTTATTATCCCTTTGTTATATAAATGGCATGTCCATGTTACATTTATGTCGTATATTATGTCTATGTCACATTCATGGCATATCTTTGTTACATTTTGGACTTGCATATTATGTCTATGTTACATTTATGGCATGTGAAAGTTACATTTATGTCATGTTTATTATGTCTAAGCTTCAATACTGGCATGTCCATGTTACATTTATGTTTTGTCATGTACATTATGTCAATGCTACATTTACGTCATGCCAATGTTACATATTTGACATGTAAATTATATCTATGTTACATTTATGTCATGTCAATGTAACAGTTACATTTATTGCATTTCAATGCTATACAATGTATCTATATCATGTACATTTTGTCTATGTTACATTAATGTCATGCTAATGTTACATTTATGTCATGTATATTAAGTCTTTAATACATACATAACATATTTATGTTACATTTATTCTATGTCAATGTTACATTTATTCTATGTCCATGCTACATTTATGTCATGAATATTATGTCAATTTTAAATTTATAGTATGTCTATGTTACATTTATGTCTTGTCTATGTTACAAACATGTCAATCTATGTTACAGTTAAGGCATGTCAATGTCAAATTTACATGTATATTACAGTGTATGTCTATGTTTCAACAATGTCATATCTATGTTACAGATCAGGCATGTCAATGTCAAATTTATATTATGTCAATGTTGTATTGATGTCATGTCAATATTAAATCTATATCTTGTCTAATGTTACAAATGTTACAACTATAAAAGGTGGAAAAAAGGGGAGAGTCAGCCACTGTTTCTTTGAGGAGCTTACCTAAATAATTACAGACCACTGCAAATATACAATATTAATTTTGTTTTAAAAAATCTTTTTAACAAAAATCTTACAGGAATAAAGCCACAAAATAATGGAATCTATCCAAACTTTATATCGAAAAATTCTATAGTATAAAAAATAAGAGCTAAAAATAAAGTTTTTATAATTCTATATCCCTGTCAAAAAAATGAATCCTGATTTACCAATGTTTCTGATTTTTGGAATATTTAACCTGATTCTTATTTTATTCCTGAGACACTCCCCTTACTATCTGTACCCCTTACTTTTATGTTATTTAACAACTGAACTTCTGCAATCTAATGTTATTTCTTGTTGTTCTAGAATAACCATGCTTTAAACTTGTGTTCTTTGATTATTCCCTCTCATGTGCTGGTTAATGTTCTGTTGGGATTTTTTAACAATCAAGTGCACACTAAATTAGCATCCAACATAAATCAAGCAGAAACATGGCAAATTGATACAAATACAAATTTTCAATTTAAAATCAACTTATAATGTACAGGTTTTCTCTTTCGACTTTAAAATAATTCTGTTAACCTATTATTCATTTGAGTTAAAGAAATATACAAATAATATTGTAAGTGTTTGTAAAAGAACATGAAGCAACATTTGGCAACATTTATCTTTGAAATACACACACTCAAAAATGCTCTTAATTAATACATAGCTTGTTAATTATCACTCAATAGATACAAAACTTCATTCAAGATTTTAACGTCAATAAAACTAAGAGAAAGTAGAATTATATAAAATACTGCAGGAAAAACTTTGTTTGTTATCAAAATAATCAAAATATTTTTCGTACCTCTCGATCTTTGCCAATTTTATGCTCTTTTAATAATTTATCTAGGCCATGTTTCTGTTGTGTTATAGAATCTATGCGATCCTGTAGTCGCGTATTCTCTTCCTCCAAATATTTCGTCCGTACTTGAAGAATCGAGACCATACGTGACTTTTCCCGTACTTCTTCCTCCAACTCGTTCAACCTGTAATAGATGGGGAACGCTGAAAACAAAAGAAAAAACACAGCACCGTGTAAACAGGTTAAAGGGTTAGCATGCTGGACTGTCAAAATGGCAAAAGCACAACAAACAAACACAACTGCCAAACCTTTTTTTGTTTCCCCAAACACAACTTTTCAATTTAATCATGGTATCCCTAAAGAATTATTTAAATATATTAAAATCACCTTGGTACAACAAAAATAACAAAACTAACAGAAATACAGTGACTGTCACCAAAAAACTTAGATCGCATTTTGATTTTCTCTTCGTAATTACAATGTTATATTCAAATAATGTAATTTTCCTGCATTGAATTTCGAACTGTCCATTGTTTACAAGATTAAAACCTTGAAACCGCTGGAAACTAAAGTGATTAACCATTGTCATCAGTTTACAGCCATGCCAGTCTACACATTCATAGTCTTGACCAGACTTGATACTGTTGGTAGCTCAATTTTTTTATTCTGATATTGAAATCCCTTAAACTTCAAATGGACTGTTCCAAATTCAAAGCTGAGCAAGTCCATTATAGAAATTCAGCAGGTTAAGGGTTAAAATTAAAACAATTTAAACAAATTTATCAAGCTTCATTACCTAATAATATTACAGAATTCATTAATGACTTATTCCATGTATTATAACTTAATTTGCATTAAAAAAAATCGGCAAAAAAATATTAAACATAAAGTTATCTTTAATCAATAATAACCATAGTCAATTATTCAAAATGGCGTCTTTAATAATAAGGTTGGCAGTTGTGTGTAGACAATTTTTTTTACAAAATGTCCGTTTAAATTGTGATAATGTGCCAGATGTTAGTGTGGGTATAATTGAAGTTTTATTGCATATGTACATGCCATAAGAAGACTGACTAGGCCTGTTACAGTTTGATTTTGAGAAGTGTTTGCATAAGTGTTGCTGTGTAATAGCAAAACAAAAAACTTTTTTTCTCTTTTTTTTTGTTTTGGTGAGATTGACTTCCTTAAGTGGAATGATGGATGTGGCTAGGGCAAGGGATTGTTTTCTCTCTGTGAGAGGTGTGTCTAGGAAAGGGGGATTGTTTTCTCACTTGGAGAGGTGTGGCTAGGGAAGGGAGATTGTTTTTCTCACTGTGAGAGATGTGATGTAAGGAAAGGGGATTGCTTTCTTTCTGTGAGAGGTGTGGCTTCAGGGCAAGGGGAATGTTTTCTCACTATGAGATATGTGGTGTAGGGAAGGGGGATTGCTTTCTTTCTGTGAGAGGTGTGGCTTCAGGGCAAAGGGAATGTTTTCTCTCTGTGTGTTAGCGATTCGAGGAGGAAAATTGAGAGAGTAGCAGTTGTTTAAACTTGTGGAGATTTGGGAAAGCACATTGGTAAGGAAGCATTTGTTTAAAATTGCATACAAATTGAGCTTATCAGGTTTGCCAAATCATAGTATAACTTAATAGAACCTCTGTTCCTTGACACATCGGACATTGCCGAAACCTTCAAAACCCACATAAACTAAAATATTTCTTGCATATTGTTAAAACTATGAAACATTGAACCCCCAAAAAAACAAGTCTTTTATTTTTGTACGAAATAGAGAACAAAACATATACCTCTTCCTAATTAACATAACAGTCCAAATATTGACCAATAAGTCTTGACAATTATCAACAATAAACGTTTTTGTCATAAAAGTGTATTAATTTTTATAGAGGCATATTTTATATGTTTATATTCATCTAAATAGTGATTCTAATAGCTTAAATAGGGGGTTGAAAAAAATCGCTAAAGATTTTAAAGATGGATGTATGGGGGTTCTAAAGTGGTGTTTGGGAAGTGGGAGAGTTATAATACAACACAACTTGAAATATTGAATTTTCTTTGTGAAAATAATACTGTCATGTTGTGGAAGTAGGACTGAATGGTCAAATGTAGGATTGCTCTGAACGAGGGTTAAATGAGCCGCGTCACGACAAAACCAACAAAGTGCATTTGCGACCAGCATGGATCCAGACCAGCCTGCGCATCCGCGCAGTCTGATCAGGATCCATGCTGGTCGCTATCAGTTTCTCTACTTGTAATAGAGTTGGTAAGCGAACAGCATGGATCCTGATCAGACTGCGCGGATGCACAGGCTGGTCTGGATCCATGCTGGTCGCAAACCCATTATGTTGGTTTTGTCGTGACACGGCTCAAATATATTTTGAAAGATTTTGCAATGATTTATGCATTTTGAATTGCATTGTGGATAGGTAGTGAATACATTTGTTTAAATGTATATTGAAAAAATATCTGGAATACACTGCATTTTAAATATGCATAGCACCAAAAGTCAAGCTAATTATATACATATATAAGTAAATACCAGGTTCCCCGGCACATGCATAAGCAAAACATTTAATTTGTACACATTATGCAGCATATTACATAAAGCATTACATTTTGTACAACATGGCATATACATTTTACAAGTAATATAAATCTGGGTTTTATAGATACAACAAAGTTAAAATAAGGGGTAACATTGGGTAATAAAGCAAGCTCCGGGTTACAGGCAACATGTACAAAAATGTTATATCTGTTCAATGATCAGTTATTCTGTCTGGACAAAAACAATCATCATTTTTTAGGGAAAATTCACCAAAATTATATTATACATATTTATTATAGTTAGTTATTGTTATTTTGTGTTGGAAGCTGTAAGCTTATTGTAATACTCTTGAATCTTTTCCTAGAACTTACTTAAGTACTAAGCAATGAGTGTAAAATTTCTTGCTCCTAGAAACAACGGCTTGCCCTGTCGGGGGTTTGAAACCAACATAGCCAGCAATCTTTAGATTTCTTATCTGAGGCATTAACCACTAGGCCATGCTGCTCTTCAAAATATGTACTGACTGTCAATAGCTTACAGTGCAGACCATGATCAGAAAGGCATAGATGTGCCAGTTGATCTTGGTCTGCATTGTTCACATGGTTACAGTTGCCCCCCGCAGGGTAAGAGTAAAAAAAAATACTGGTATTAATCATAATACAGATATAACAATTTTTGTCTTATTTTAGCATTCTGTTTTCATACACATGTGCAACAAGGGATAAAAGCAAAAAATTATGAATGTTAACTGATTATGCAAACAGCACTCAAAAGTTCACCATAGCAATGCATACACCTAATAAAGTAGTATTTGACTTTTTTTTTGTTATAAATTTCATAAATACTTTCTCTGTCACTAAACTCTGAAAAATAAACTTTTAGCAACATCAAATATCAACATTATCTGAAAAGATGCATTTTAACAGGAGAGCTGTGAGTTAAGGACAGTGTGCTCGACTATTCTCAGTGCTTGATAGTAAAACAAGAGCCTAGATAATGTAATTTAAGAGCATAGATAATGTAATTTTTTTTAAGTACAAAAAGGGCTATAATTCTGTCAAAATCAATATTAGAGTTATGGGTCTTGGACAGTGAGCTTCTATTATGCTCTAAAATAAATGTGTGAAGTTTCAAACTATTCCTTTCAGGAGTTTTGGAGATACAGTGCTTAACTAGAACTTAACCACATTGTGACGTCGACACCTACAATAGATCTTCCTATTCTTTGAATTATCGAGCTAAAATTTATCTTAATAAATCTAAATAACTATGAAAGTTTCATAAAAAGAGAAATATAAGTAACTAAATATCGACCAAAACACCTTATTTTTTTTAATTGTTGCATACCAGTATATACTTATGCCAAAAGTAAAATAAGATCATTGTCCTAATTTTTCAATCAAATTGTCTCAGACTAAAAACAACATATACTTTTCTCCTTCTATTTAAAGTTAATAATCTATAATTTTCAAGATAACTTTTAAGACTAGGGAAAAGTACTATAAAGTTAGAAAAATATTATAAGATTAAATTTCGTCAACTTTACTATAGGATGGTCAAGATACTAACTGTGACAGTAACTCCCTTTTTTCGGACAAAAGCTGCTTATAATTTCCATCCATTTTATCCTTCCAGTCTAGTTCTTTACGTAGAGTTGCCCTCGTTAACCGTAAATCTTCATCCATCCGGTTCAACTGATCTTGAACTCGATGTTTTTCTTTTGTATAAAATTCTCTGGAAAAAAAAAATAGGCCGCAGATGATGAAAACTGTCAAAATTTAAAACTGATTTCAGAATGAACTGAAAACTTGATAAAATCTCTTGCAAAATAAATACATTGACATCTTTCCTTTATATTCCTTGAGCATGAAGAAATCATTTTTATAGACATAAATCTGTAAGATTCAAATTTTGAGGTGAGAACATTATTCTCATCTGAATTCTAAACAAATATCTAAAAAAATCTAAATAAAATCAAACAGAGCTGGAGAAAATTTGTTTAATTGTTTTAAGTTAAACAGACTTCTTATACACCAGATTCAATAAAATATCTTAGAATAATATCATTTTATGTTTAGAACAATATAAAGAATTAAAAAAAAAGGAAAGATTCAAATAAACCCATTTTTAAAACCATTTAAGAATATAAAATATGAAGACAAATATGTTTTGCATAGTTTCTATCCCAAATCATGTCTTGAGAACTTGAAATATATTACATGACTGTATTCTTAATGATATTATAGTTGTAATAAAAAACCAAATCTGCCAATGGTATCTACATATTTTACTATACCACAATCACCTCTAAATCTTTTTTTACAATAATTCTTGTAAATTTAAGTTTGATCCAGTAACATATCATAAAAGCAAAATACTTTATAGGACAAGTTATTTTTCTTATATTGGACATTTATGAATTTTAATTCCATAACAGTGAAAAAATGTCTTTGAAAGGAAATCATAACAGAAACAGAAGTAGACTAAGATTCACTGTGAAAATAAGCGCCTGCACATGTACCCACATTTCCTGACAAATTTATGAGCATAATATGATTCACAGTCATCTTTTAATGTACATAAACATTACACAGTTATTTAATGTAATAGCCAAGGGAAATCACCCCTACAGATTTCAACCAATATAGCTGATTATATCCCTTTGGTTACACAGATATAATTTCATGTACATATAGAGCTGCACAGTTGGTGTTTTACATTTAAATCAAGTTAGTTATAAATTGATGTACATAACTATGAAGTAACATTTTTTGAGCCCATTTAAATCTAAACATTGATTACTGGTGTAATTTTGAGTCGTAAACCAGTCCGAAATCTAAGCCTTCTATGCTCTAGTGCAGATGTCCTTACGATCACTACATAAATCTACCACTCGTAATTTAAATAAAAAGAAAACATTCTCAATTTTTTTCTGAGGGTCTCCATTTTTTTCTGAGGGTAAAAAGCTTCAAAATTTTTCCCAATTGAAAAAGTTAACAGACGGTCTTTTTGCATTTGAAAATTCGCAAGTTTGTCAGGATTTGCTGTGATACGCATTTATTTTCACAGTGAAGAGTAACGAAAAATAAACAAATAAACTAAGTTATTCGCCAAGCCACTCTGAGCAACTCGTAGCCAGAAAAAAAGACGCTAAAAATCAAACAGGTGTACGGAAAAGTACGGCTAAATGAGGTGATGATTATGACAAGAGAGGTTGTAAACATATGAGGCGCGTCATGGCAAAGCCAACATAATGGGTTTGCGACCAGCATGGATCCAGACCAGCCTGCGCATCTGCGCAGTCTGATCAGGATCCATGCTGTTCGCTTAACAACCCTATTACAAGTAGAGAAACTGATAGCGAACAGCATGGATCCTGATCAGACTGCGCGGATGCGCAGGCTGGTCTGGATCCATGCTGGTCGCAAACCCATTATGTTGGTTTTGTCGTGACGCGGCTCAAATAGCAATGTTACCCGGGGAGCTCATGATATTCTTGTTCAATGGCGTAGTAATTGTACATGTCATCGCCGCTAAACACAATAAAAATATAAATATATACCTTTTTTTTAGAAACACTGATAGAGAAATAAAATAATAAATATTATACAATGTAGCTGCAATCTTTGCCAATAGAAATTACGAGAAAAAATAAAGTTATTTTAATTCTATATTTTAATTATTATATTTCCGTTACAAGCCAGGAGTATTCTAAGCACCATTAATTTACTACCCAGTAAGTTTCGTTAACATAAATTTGGCAATATTCAAGGCCGTAAAATGCCTTTGGCAGATTTGGTTTAGTAAATGCATCTGATTTTATAATCAGGACAAAAATTAATGGTTAATGAAAAAAAAATCTGGTCATATTTTAAAATAATTAATAAATATTCAAGAAATTCATCCATCATATTTTATTTGTCAAACAATAGTATCAATTGCACTATTAACATTTTCTTGCCGGAATTTCAAACTCCAAGAAAGAACGCATAGTACATTTTTACTGCATACCATGAAAAATTTACAAACAAAAAAATATGCAATTTGATAAAAATAGATGTTAGGCTATTTTTCAAACATTGTTTTTGTTTAAAGCAGTTTGAATATACAGGCAGCATATCTGTTAATTAAACACTGAAATTCAATTTTATCACCATAGCAACAAGAATCATTCAATAGACAGGACATCACTGAACATGGACAGATGCATAGCTATTTGACAATGAAAACATTTGAGCCACGACAAGACAAAACCAACATAATGGGTTTGCGACCAGCATGGATCCAGACCAGCCTGCGCATCCGTGCAGTCTGATCAGGATCCATGCTGTTCGCTATCAGTTTATTTACTTGTTATAGTGTCTGTAAGCGAACAGCATGGATCCTGATCAGACTGCGCGGATGCGCAGGCTGGTCTGGATCCATGCTGGTCGCAAACTCACTATGTTGGTTTTGTCGTGACGCGGCTCATTTTATTGCAAAAACTATAAGTTAAATTCTGGTTTATTTATTTTTTTCTTTTTATCATGTCCTCACCGCAGAGTAAAATTTAGGACAAATTCAAAACCATTCTGCAAATGATGAAATAATTGAATTGTGAAGTGTGTGTTCTTTTTATTAAAACTTTTTATTTATCATACAAACTAATTAACAAATAAGCTTCAAAATCATTTAATAAATAAGCACTTTTCAATCAGTATATTGGTTTTAAACTTATGGTACAAAAATAGCATGCTTCATGCGAATGATGTGGTTTATTTTCCTGTGCCACAGTGGAAAGAGAATTGACAATTACAAAATTTAGTTGATTTTTACCATCTTAAAATAAATTGCCTTTTAAGAATAACTGTTTTTGCTCAATTAATGAAAATCCTATTATTTCAGCTATAACATTAGTATAACAGTTGAAAGACCATAGTTCAATTAATCAAACTACTCTAGAAAGACCATAGTTCAATTAATTAAATTGAAAATCTAGAAAGACCATAGTTCAATTAATTAAATTGAAAATCTAGAAAGACCATAAATCAATTAATTATTAACTGACAATTTAGAAAGACCATAGTACAATCAATTAAATTGAAAATCTAGAAAGACAATTGTTCAATTAATTAAATTGAAAATCTAGAAAGACAATAGTTCAATTAATTAAACTGACAATCTAGAAAGACCATAGTTCAATCAATAAAACTGACAATCTAGAAAAGACCATAGTTCAATTAATTAAATTCACAATCTATAACTAAAATCTGGTATGTTTAATGCTTTTTCGGAAACTTAAGTTACTGAACGATATAATGTTATTATGTACAATAATGAGTGATATTGTCTTATTTATCTCTCATGCAATGCATTATGGACTATTATAGCATAACTAGACAACAACAACAACATTCACATTTATGCGTAAATATTGTAAACGTTTCATTCTAGCTCAATACCTTGTACCCTCGTCATAGTCGCTGAAATATTGTTTATCTATATAATATACTACATAATAACATAGAATACATGTACTAGGAATAAATGTGACATGTCAGGGGTAAAAATGCCTGTTGGAAGTTTGAAGTAATAATAGTATGCCCCGTTTAAATAAATTATCATAATTATTATGAATTCCTATAATTCAAATGAAGTAAAATATCAATATCATTTACACAAGACTCGGGTCTCTTATTGCCCGACATGTCACATTATGTTTGTTTATCTATATATTACTGCATTATATATACACAATACTAGAAAAAAACATGATGTGTCAGGGGAAAAGATGCCCATCATGTGTTTGAAGTGACAATTGTATCGCCTTCATCCTAAATTCTTCTTTTTTTATCAATATTGATATTAATCCAAATGGAGCAAATATCAATTCTATTAAACCAAACTGGTCACCCTTTGGCCCAATACATCACATTTTGATATAAATATATACATGTTTTAATTATGTAAAATATATAGGAAATTCCGATACAAAATATTTTAACAAGCTGTGTCAAGCCATTATGGTCCTTGTTGAGTTAAAGTGATGTCAGGGAAAAGTGATGTTGTTATATGTTGCCAACATTTGTATTTTAATTGATAAATACGTCTATTTCATGAAATTTTCCACATGCTAACCATTTGAATTAATATTGAACCAAACTTGTGATTGTGGGTATGACTGTCAGCCAAAAAATTCAGCCAAAAAAATCAGCCAAAAAAATCAGCCAAAAAAAATCAGCGAAAAAATTCAGCCAAAAAGTTCAGATTTTCTAAGACAATGCACAAGGACCATATACCTAGATGCAGCTCATACAATGTACTGACATTCCACTGTATAAAAAATCATTTACTTAGTATACTGTAAAATCAGTTACAAGTCAAACTCCTTCAGGACATCAGGATGTGACAAATTTAATTATTATAAAGGCAGCTCATTAGTTTGCTATATCAATGGCAATATAACATAAACTTGGAATTAAAAAAAAAAAAACTACCTAATATTTTTGGTACACTACAGTTTTACTCTGCCATATCAATATACCTTTTCCCACCATCAAACTGTTTACTAATTCAAGCGATTAAATGATCAGAATCTTTCTCAAATTGGATTAGGAATTTGAATATATTTTTTTTAATACAATTTTCATCTTTTATGATATATAATATTAGACCGGTTTCAACCAACATGCAAGTTCAAGCTACATTAACATGCTATCTGAGGGTTCAATGTGACACAGTTAGATATCCTATTTTTAATCCTTAGCCTTTGTCATGTCCATGCAGTTTGTCCGTGCATCCATACAGCTCTACATAAATGATAACTTAATTTTTGTATTTTGATATCAAAATCCCTTAAACTTTAAATGGACTGTTCCAAATTCAAAGCAGGGCAAATCCATTGCAGGAAATAAGGAGGTTAGGGTAAAATACAACAGTGTCATACTGAAGCCTCAGATTTATGTAACCAATTCTGAATAATAAGGACAAGGCATTTCAAATTTTTTCCAATCATTCTCAATATAGAATTGTTCCCACAACATACTTTCGTAAATCACATGTTGTACATATCCCTAGATCACTGAAAAAAAGCAATTGTATTTAAACACATTTTGCTAAGCACTATCAAAAATTCAATTTAAAACACATTTAGGTGAACATGAATAAATTCAATTTGATGTCATATCAGAAACATCTATTGAATAGCTCGACAGTATTGAAAACTGGCAATGAACAAAATTATGTTATCTACAACTAACATTGTTAATTTTTATAATTATTTGAAGAATGTGGCCTTATCTCAACTTAATTACAACAATGAAGTTATTTCCCCTCAATTCTCTTCAAGAATAACATAATTTTTTTCAAATCAGCACATCATTTTAATAAGAAAATCAAGGAAGTGCACATGTATGACCATGTATTCTTAACATTTTTACAAAAACATTGTCATAGAAAATGGAAATTTCAGAAAAAAATGTCAAACAAATTCAAAACTCAATGTCTATGGACCTAACGCAAGACATATAGTCATAAAAGCAATAGGGTAAAATATTACTCAAGTAATAAGCCCCTTCTAGGAAATTTTATATGAATCTCCTACAATTATATTTTTAATGAAATAAATTTGGTTTATAAATAGAAAATGGATATTGAATACAATAAAATAATTAATAACAAGCAATTATCATAGTATTGCAAGCAATACATAAGTCCCCTACCGGTAAGAGCCCAAGCAACATTCTGAAGGGCCATTGGCCATTCACTTAGGTTCATATGTTAAGTGTTGAAAAAGTTCTTTAAAAGTGATCACACGAAACAGTTTTTATGTACAGACAGACGGACTGAAGGACACTCTAAAGTTATTTTTTAAACATCCCTGTTATCAAAATATAACATTTTTAAAATCCAATCATGATTGAAGAAGTTGGAGTAAAAATTACCAATTTCTCAAAAAAAAGTCTAAGTTCAAAAGGGGCATAATTCTGGAAATAGTCTTGCTAGAGTATTGAACACTCACAAATGTTGAGTGATAATAAGAAACATTTATCTGAAGTTTGAAGTAGATACATTCAGAAAAAGAAGTTATTAAAAAAACAATGTTTTTTTTCATGAAAATTTTAAGTTCAAGGGAGGTAATTCTGATAAATTTTGTGCTAGAGTTGTAAACCTTGTCACATATGATGTGGTTGATGATAAGCAATTTATACTTAAAGTTTGAAGAAAATACCTTAAGAAATAAAGAACTTATAGTGAAAAAACTTAAAAACTAGAATCAGAAATCTTGAAATTCAGTCTATTTGTTGCCATAGCAACCAGAATTTTCAATATAGGAAGGAAAGAAAAAGACGTGCATAATCTCCATACTGCCATCTATCCATATATCAAGTTTCATAAAAATATATTCAGTACTTTTTTCGTTATCGCGGGATCCAGGTTATGTGTAAAATTTGCCATATTTTCAGTCTATTTGTTGCCATAGCAACCAGAATTTTTAACATAGGAAGAAAAGAAAAAGACGTGCATAATCTCCATACTGCCATCTATCCATATATCAAGTTTCATTAAAATATTTTCAGTACTTTTTGCGTTATCGCGGGATCCAGTTTTGTGGACGGACGGACGGACAGACGGACGGACTGACGGACGGACAGACAGACGGACGGAGGGTAAACCTAAAGTCCCCTCCGGTAAACCGGTAGGGGACTAACAATTTTACATATGGTTATATACATTAACTATATCTAAGTTAATACACAATAATCAGCCTATCTATATTAAAGCCAAAAAAAAGGAAGGAAAGAAATCATATACAAATAGTATTATTATAAAATACATCACTATACATTATAATATAATAAGCAAATATAGAATATTGAGGCTACAACAGCATTTGCTATCCATTATCTTAAAATCAATGGAGGCTTTCATTAATTTTGCAAATATGTAAATTTTATCATCTAAATTGAGATTACAATACCCTTTTAACCCTTAGCATGCGATCAGAAACAATTTCTACAGTGCAGACCAAGAAAAGCTGAGGTCCATCCATGTTGCCTGATTATGGTCTGCACTGTTTGCTATTCAGTCAGTAGATATTCTTTTCTTAAAATTATGAATGGTTTTCACAAGATTGGAAGATGGGGCAAGACCAATTCAAACCATTTACCAATTTGTAAAGGTCAAAGAATACCAAATTTGTTACACACACAAATCCTTTTGCCTTTGCATAAAAAACTAATCATACAGCATCTAGTAATAGTTTCTAAGACATGTAAGTTATTTGTTTTGTAATGATATTTTTATCATTGTACTTGTCATACCTTGCTTTGAGAAGTTTTGATTTTGTCCGAACTTTCCTCTCCTCATACTTTCGGTCAATAATTTCTCGCCTCTCGTTCACTGTGAGTAACTCGTACTGCAAATCTTTTATGTCCTTTTGTAGCTTCAATATCTGCTCCATCATTGACCTTTTACCGACCTCTGTCATATGTTGTTGCTATGGAAACAATAATAATAAAGGTAAAGGTCAAGGTCAACAAAATGATTAAAGGTCACATCAAGGAAACAAAGGCATTTTACAAATATGAGTGAGTTGTGCTATAATGTGTAGTTTATTTTTTGAGAAAATTTCATTTTTTGTATGAAACATATCATTTCTTGTATGAAACATGTCATTTTTTGTATGAAACATATCATTTTTTGTATGAAACATGTCTTTTTTTTGTATGAAACATACCATTTTTTTGTATGAAAAAAAAAACAACAAAAAAAACAAAATAGTTCAAACATAGTGTTTGATTTAAATGTTTGAAAACTAAAGTGACCCTGAAAAGAACAAATAAATAAGAAAGTGGTAAATACCCAAAGAATGCTACAGAAAAGCTATATTCCATTTCTTTGCTATAGGAAAATGCTACTTAAAGATATATAAAGCATGCAATAGAGAAGGTGGATGGAAACATGCAATTATCTCAACAAAACTTACATTAAAATTGTAGATCAAAATACCATTTTTTACAAATTTACAAACACATATTGTGATAAAATAATGCAATATTACCAGAACCAAAGTTAAGAGTCCATGACAGTTCTTTATAAACAATTTTTTAGTATTAATACATTACATTTACATTTATACAAATTGCATGTTTATAAATTAGATTACTTTTCGACTGTCTTTAATATACATTAGACAGATAAAAGAAAAATCTTAACAAAATTGAAAATAAATTGGTGACCTAAAAAAAATTAAATTGATGTATTAGTTTCAAGATTTAAAAAACAAAACAAAATAACAATCTACTTTTTAAATGCAATATTTATAATATTTCATATAAAACTCATTAGTTCAGGGCACCCTATAAACCAGCGGCCAATGTAAGGTCCCTTACTAATCTAACATAGCCTCTGTTTTTTCCAAATTTCAAATACCGGTAAGTAATTCCCAAAAGCAGCCAATAAAACTACAGTTTCAACATCAGTGAAACAAGAATTGTTTTGTGACGGAATTTTGCAGGTTGTATGATCATATATTTGTATAGAAGGCATCCATAAGAAAGTTTTTCAACTTTTAACATTTTTTTCACACTTCCCTAAATGCTGAGTAATTTTTCCCAATTTATAACACAGCCCAAAATTTCCAAAAAAAACAAACTAGAAGGGTTGTGTAACCTTGCTCAAGGTAGGTAAAACAACACTAATGATGCTTGGTGATACAAAAATAAAACATTGTTACTGAGCAGAAAAGTTTTATATAGTATTCATATTTAATATGGCAATATATATGGCAATATTTACAGCTAAGTGCAGTGATATATACATGGCAAGATTAAATTGCTAACATGCTGCTAACTCAAAGAATATATTATTATATCAAAACATGCTGATAAATAAGCAATGATAATCACATAAAAAACTGTTTCCATAGTTTCAATGACACTTTGATAATTGTTATTTACAACAAAAATAACAACAACAACAATAACTGCAACATAAATGCTTAGCAACAAAGCTGAAGAAATTGGCAATGAATAAAATGGAGAGCATGAAATAATAAAACAAGCAAATAGCTAATAGTAATAAGCTCCCTTATTTTTTTACTGATTTTTTTACAAATAGCTGCTCCCTAGTTTTTTTTTATAAAAGGCTCAGTCCTTGATTTTCCCCCAATGGATGCTCCGTTATTTTTACTTATGGATACTCCTTAATTTTTTTCTAATGGATGCTCCCAGATATTTCCCAAAAAATGCCTTACTGATGCTAGCTGACTTTTTAACTAACAATTACTCCCTGATTTTGTTTTAACAAAGAAAGAAAACATGGCCTTACTATGAGGAAATTCAGGAATAAAAGTTTCAAGCCTAAGTAGTTGTCCTTGGCCTTAAAGAAATCAACTAGAATTAACTGAATTATTATTTAACTTTTGTGTCTGATAAATTGTTTCAAAATAACAATGCAATTGCCTATCATAACTCAGGAGCTCAAAGTAAATGTGTATGTATTGAATGTTCATAAATAAAATCGTGCAAAGCATGCATATGATGAACATTTTTCTTAACAAACATGTGCAAAACTACAGTGAGTTTCTTCTACTTCAGCTACTAATTTAAGCATTTGTTTGGGTTTTAGATCATTTTGCTTATTCAAAATTATTACAATTACATATTTAACTATAACTGATTCTTTGCTGTTATTGATAACACAGAAACAGACATAGTTTTTATAGATTGATTTTTTTAGTTTTTGCAAGTAATACCTTTTATAATTTTATTCATTGCACTACTTTTTTGTAAAGTTTATGAGATATTTGTTGCCCAAAAGCTTACCTTTAAAGACTTGAGAAGTAATATATAGATATACTAGTCCAAGAATAAAATCCAATCAAACCCATAATTCAGCTAAGGGAAAATGAAAGCTCTCTATACAATATACATGTAGATGGAATGCTTCAAAGCAGAGGTCAAGCTGACCTAGCAACAGTGACTAATGTGGTTACTATGGAAACTAAGATGATCTACATATATATGTACATGTTGCTAAGCAACAGTAACCTACCTCACTTATACTATTGGTCATCTTATTTGGCCAACTGTGACCGTTTTCCTAAGGTAGGCAAAAAATAGAAATGTTTGTTTCATGTTTTTGAATAAAAAAACATTTCTTGAGAAGAAATCATTATAAGAAAACAAAAAAAAATCAATAATTTTTTTAAAGGCATCAGAATGTTTCAGTGAAAAAATTCAGTGCTCAATAGATAATTAAAAAATTGCTTTTTTTAAAACTTATTCTGAGGATTAACATTTAGCATTTTACCATTAAATAAAAAGATACCATATTCACAGATGCTATTGTCTAGACCTCTTATGTCAACTTGATTCATGTGAAGTTGAATGTCAATGGACCCAAAAAAAAAGAGTGCAAAACTATAAAATGTTTAAGAAATAATATATCCCAAACAGTGATTTTATCGCTCAATAACATCACTGTTTGGAGTTCGGATGCGAGGAATTATATCACCAGGGCGTAGCCCGAGTGATATAATGATGCACATCCGAACCACAAACAGTGATGTTATCAAGCCATAAAATCACCAATTTGGATATATTATTTCGATTATAACACAACATCAACAAATAAATGTTGCCGTACTTGATAGATAAGCAAAATTGCGTCTGATTTGTTTCCGTACTTATTTTCCGCGCGTCGGATTTTTAGTGGTTACGTCACATGTCTAATGTCTAAATATAGAACGTCAAACTGTGCATCTGTTGCATAATAACACACACTTTCTGTTCTTCTATGTTCAATAGGGAAAAATGCGGGTCCTGTTAGATTAATTGATTTTCCATTTAATTGGACAATGAAACAACAAAATGAAAATACAAAATAAGTGTCTTAAAACAAAAACATAAAAAGTTTAAAAAAACATGTCAACCTGACATATCACATGCATCTTTTATATCTTTTTTTTGGGGGGGTGGGGGGATTCAGTCAAACTGACTTTGAGCTTGTCATTATATAATGGTATTGCTACAGATTTATCACTGAAGTAAAACAGGCAACCTCAGATGACCCTATGTGCTTTTACACAGGTAAATTGGCATCTTGGTTACAATAACCATTAGAATAACAAGAAAATACACTGACTTAGGATTTTATTGGCCCATTCTAATGCCTTCAAAAACAGTATCAGCCAAACTTCAATGGTGACTGATGAATTTAATTCTGAAGAGAAATCTCTTCAACAAATAAAAAAACTTCAAAACAGATTTAAAAGTGACAGTTTTAAACACACAGTAACACTTTTAACATGTTTATTCTTTTTTAGTACAAAGTTGACAATTTATAAGGTTGTAACGGTGTAAACAATAAAATTTAACCAATATCCTGCTGGAATGGTAGGTATAAGCCTTTGACCAGTATAGAGCCAGGCCAGCCTGCACATTCCTGCAGTCTTACTAGGCTCTATACTGTCCTGGTAGCTCAATTTTTGTATCTTGATATTGAAATCCTTTATAATTTAAAGGGACTCCACTGAGGGTTTTTTGACCTGAAAATAATTTTTTCGAGACTAATTTTTCCATTTGATGTAGATCTAGACCATTTACTCATGTTCAAAATTTCAGATTGTTCGCTCACTCCTTTTTTCCAGAATAATTATTCTTATTGTGAAAAATGATTCAAAATTAAAAAGTATTGCAATGCCTTTCACTCAAATCTGGCTAAAAATAGCACAAAAATATGATTACCTATTTCTAAGTACATTTAATAATATTTTGCATATCTTTCTATTTTAAGTGTCCTTGAAGTTGATCTCTATACGAAATTAATATTTTAATTTTTATGTCTTTAGGCTTTTGAACCTCAGTTGAGTTCCTTTAAATGGATTGGTCCAAAATTCAAATCCTTTAATACTTGAATGGACTGTTCCAAGTTCAAAGGTCAGTCAATCTGTTACACAATCTCAGCAGGTTAAAGGTTAACGAGTAGAAGTTAAAGGGGAAGAACTTGACAATATTACATACCATATTCGTATTAAATATCTGAAAATCAGTGCGCATATATTGTATATAATGTGTGTGCGTATACTAAATGCTGGATGATTAATTGAGACAGGTTTTAGCCAAACCTTGAAGGAATTAAAGTTATTTTTAGTAACAAAGCTAAGCGCACTTTGTCAAAGCTTAGTTTTGAAATGAGCTTTCTTTTGTCTTATTTAAAAAATATAATATCTATCTTTCTGTTTGATTTGCTCATTTGAAATTGTTTGAAAATTTTCTTATTTAAAAAAATTGCAAGAAATATCCAAAGGTATAGAGATATAGAAACTTGTCACTTTTTTTCTTTGATGTAAAAATGAATACTTTAAAAAATATATATTTTACATTATATGATTGAATCCCCTATCTAAAATAAATATAACAATTCCTTTTACTTATTAAAAGCTTTCATTATTTCCTAATCAAAAACATTATTTATGAATGTCAAAAAGGCAAAAACGGAGCAAAAAATTCAAACTATAACTTCTCTACATCAGTTAATCAAATAAATCATTCAGTAAAATTTAAAACTGCCTAAAAGTTAGAAAACTATTCTAAATCTACTTGTTTTCAGAAGGTTATTTATGTATATAATAAATTGATTTGACGCATACCATTTCAAATGCAGTTTGACTGCGGTCCTGCACTTCCTCCAGTTTAGATTCAAGGTCAAGGATCGTGTGTTGAAGCTCGCGATTTTGTTCGAGGACTTTACTTTCTCTCTGTCTCATCATAGAAACCTGCTGTTGTAACTCATGTACCGTCTGATCTAACAAATTCCTGTACAAAAAAATATACATTCATATAAATTATTCACGTCTGGTTTGGGTTTTAAAGCAGCATGCATCCAGATTCATGCTTACTCCATGAAAATGTTGAAAATGTATTTAAAAATAAAACATTGTAAAGTGAACAAAGAAAATCATTCACACATTGCACTTACAATCAACATTAATTACCAAAAAAATCTTTTATAACACTTCATACCTCTGCAGTTTTTCACCATCAAGCTGGTTCTTCAGTTGTGTCATCTTGTCTTTCTTATCTTGTAGATCTATTTTACTACTCTCAGCCTCGTAAACTTGTGACTGAAAAGAAATTTTAAACTATAAATCATAGATAGATTATGATTGAAGTCTTTGAGTTATCTAAATAGGACTTTAAAAGTTGTGTTATTTAAGGATATTTATCAATTTGGTTTGAAATTTAAAAAAATGCTCTAATCTCAAACTCAAATCTCAGGAATTTGATTGGTCAGCAACTGGCAGAGTTTACAATGATGAATAAAAAATCCTTACTGTAGGTTTGAGACGGAGCTCTGAAAATAAGTATAAAAACCTTAAAGGGACTCTCCATTGAGATCTTTTGACATGACAGAACTGGAAATAATTTTCCAAGATAAATACTCCATTTGATGAAGGTTTAGACCAATAACTTGTGTGCAAACTTTAAATCATTCACTTACTCCGTTTTTCCAGAATAATCATTCAAATTGTGAAAAATGACCCAAAATTGAAGTGTTGCAACGCTTTTCACTCAAATTTGATCAAGAAAAGATAAAAAATATGATTTTCAATATTTTTCTGAGTCACATTTGCCTTATTATCTTTTGCATAGCTTTTTGTTTTGAGTGTCCCTGCTGATCTATGTAAGGAATTCAAATTTTATATTTTCAGGTTTTTTAACCTCAGTGCAATTCCTTAAATGATAAAAATAAATTTACTTCATTAACTGATGTCTCAACTGTATATATACATTATACAACAAACAGTGTATTTAAGTTACCTGTAGGTTTTGAAGTTTCATTGAAGTCTCCTGAAGTTCCCTCTGTAAAGTGTCAGCCTGAAAGTATTGATAAACATCATGAATGTTTAACATCCTAGACTACAAACCTTTTCTCTCTTCCAGGAATATAATATCTTATAAACCCTTCTATTTCCTTTAAATTATCTTTAAAATGACAATAAACAAAACCATGTTTGCAAATCTTTATATATGATGTCCAGTTTAATGAATAAATTCAACCTATATCATATTTATAAAGATATTTATTTATACACCTATAGCCCAGAAAATGCTAAATAATAAAATCAAACAAAATTACACTTAAAATCAAATGTTATTTTAAATCTAAGATACCTGAGTAAGTGCAATTTAAAATGCAGATTTATCTTTATCTTGATTGGGAAGAAAGCATTTCTTGATTTGGAAGAAAGCATTAAATTTATTAAAAACCACTTTCAGAACCTCTCCTTTCTAGACATAGTAACCAGTACTATTAATTTTTCAAAATGAAGGTACCAAATTGTGACCCCTGTAGAGGTCAAACCTACAATCCTTGGTGTAAGGGATATAGGTGACCTTTTCACATGCCAGCATTCCCTAATTTCTTTCAGGCGAGCTTAGCAAAATAATCATATAATGTTATCATTCACCTAAAATCAACCATTGCCCATGAAATTTCTAAGTCCAATTTTCAAGTTTTTACAAAAATAAATAAATAAATGAAACAAAATAAATAAATAAAAAATCATACATGTACTAATGAAAAGACAATAATAACAAATTTAACATACTCTGTAAGGAAAGTCCTTTTTAAGATACATGAACTTGTACCTTGCTATCTTAGATGGTTTTGATGTACTCATAGTTCCAATATAGTTATATAATAAAATGAAAGAGTAATTTATCGAAAATATCACATCATTTTATGAAAGTAAGACTTATTTTTGCAACTATCAGCAATATATTTTAAAATCAATTTATAAAATTCTCAGTCAATGCAGTTGAACTATATAGCTAATAGTAAACTATTATTTAAATGTATCAATTAATTATGTATTAATTGTATAATCCTATAATAATGGTCAGGGATTAAATCTTGATCAAGTTAGCTAGGTCAGCTAAAAGTGTCTCAAAGGACAGAAGAGTCAATGACCTAAAAGTACCATGAAAATAGTGATAGGTATCATGGTTTAAAATGGTTTGGCTTTGTGCATCAGCAAATGGTTTGGCTTTGTGCATCAGTAAATGGTTTGGCTTTGTGCATCAGTAAATGGTTTGACTTTGTGCATCAGGAAATGGTTTGACTTTGTGCATCAGGAAATGGTTTGGCTTTGTGCATCAGTAAATGGTTTGGTTTTGTGCATCAGTAAATGGTTTGGTTTTTTGCATCAGTAAATGGCTTGGCTTTGTTCATTAGGAAATGGTTTGGCTTTGTGCATCAGTAAATGGTTTAGTTTTGTGTATCAGGAAATGGTTTGGCTATGTGCATCAGTAAATGGTTTTGCTTTGTGCATCAGTTAATGGTTTGACTTTGTGCATCAGTAAATGGTTTGGCTTTGTACATCAGGAAATGGTTTGACTTTGTGCATCAGGAAATGGTTTGGCTTTGTGCATCAGTAAATGGTTTGACTTTGTGCATCAGTAAATGGTTTGGCTTTGTGCATCAGGAAATGGTTTGGCTTTGTGCATCAGGACATGGTTTGGCTTTGTGCATCAGGAAATGGTTTGGCTTTGTGCATCAGGAAATGGTTTGGCTTTGTGCATCAGTAAATGGTTTGGCTTTGTGCATCAGTAAATGGTTTGGCTTTGTGCATCAGTAAATGGTTTGGTTTTGTGCATCAGTAAATGGTTTGACTTTGTACATCAGTAAATGGTTTGGCTTTGTACATAAGGAAATAGTTTTGGCATTGTGCATCAGTAAATGGTTTGGTTTTGTGCATCAGTAAATGGTTTGGCTTTGTGCATCAGAAATAATTTGGCGTTGTTGCATCAGTAAATGATTGGGATTGTGCATCAGTAAATGGTTTGACTTTGTACATCAGTAAATGGTTTGGCTTTGTGCATCAGTAAATGATTTGGCTTTGTGCATCATCAGTAAATGGTTTAGCTTTGTGCATCAGTAAATGGTTTGGCTTTGTGCATCAGGAAATGGTTTGACTTTGTACATCAGTAAATGGTTTGGCTTTGTACATCAGTAAATGGTTTGGCTTTGGGCATCAGTAAATGGTTTGGCTTTGTACATCAGTAAATGGTTTGACTTTGTACATTAGTATATGGTTTGGTTTTGTGCATCAGTAAAAGGTTTGGCTTTGTGCATCAGTAAATTGTTTGGCTTTGTGCATCAGGAAATGATTTGACTGTGCATCAGTAAATGGTTTGACTTTGTACATCAGTAAATTGTTTGGCTTTGTGCATCAGTAAATGATTTGGCTTTGTGCATCAGTAAATGGTTTGGCTTTGTACATCAGGAAATGATTTGGCTTTGTGCATCAGTAAATGGTTTGGCTTTGTGCATCAGGAAATGGTTTGGTTTTGTACATCAGAAAATAGGTTGGCTTTGAGCATCAGAAAATGGGTTGGCTTTGTACATCAGTAAATGGTTTGGCTTTGTGCATCAGTAAATGGTTTGGCTTTGTGCATCAGGAAATGGTTTAGCTTTGTACATCAGAAAATAGGTTGGCTTTGAGCATCAGAAAATGGGTTGGCTTTGTGCATAAGGAAATAGTTTGGCATTGTGCATCAGTAAATGGTTTGGCTTTGTGCATCAGTAATTGGTTTGGCTATGTACATCAGTAAGAGGTTTGTCTACAAAATCATAAAACATGTCTGTTCTTTTTCTTTTTAAAATTCCTACAATTGCCAGTCATTGCACTTATACTAATACTTAAACTACAATCATCTACATGTGGCATAAAATCATTTTTATTTTCTGTTAAATATCTAAAAATCATGAATCATAGTACAATGCATATCTCAATGAACAAATCACATCTTACTTTTCTTATTTGAGTACGTGTATTATAATTCCGTCACCAATTTTAATACAGTACATATTCTGATAAATTACTCCCCAACAAAACTGCTATGAAAATTTGAAAAAAAATGTATAAAACTTAAAAAGAAGTTTGTTAAAACCTTTCCAAATTTATATTAATCCATCATACCAGGTTTTGATAAATGTTACCTTTCGCATCCATGGACAATCAAGGTCAAAACTAAAATTTTTCTTATATTGGAAAGACTGTGTTCGGAATATCTAAAATGTAATGTGATCATTATTAAATATTTTTTATATACAATATGTCCCTTTTTTCATTGTAACTTCCTGAATATTTTTGGCAAATTAACAGTATTAATCATTCAAACACTTCAGGCAGTATAAGGTTAAACAATTTTGTTGTTCTGTAAATACAAACACACACCAAAACAATGGGATAATACACATCAAAACAAATGGATAATAAGTGTATATTATAAGCACACCATGAGTGTTAATAATGCACACAAACACAACATTTTATTTCTTCCTCCCAGATTTAAAACATGCTATATTATCATATTTTACAAGTACCATAATTCCAGCTATTGTATAGATTACAAAATATCAAACATTTATGCAACAAATACATATTTCAACCTTAAAAATTACACTGGAAATATTGTGAGTCTATAAATCACTGAATCTTGTATTGACATTTATATCATTAATATCTTTTTGTTCTTATCTTAATATTAAGAAGAAATCTTTTATACAGCTTTTGGTTTCATAATTAGAATTTTATGACACATGTCACTGATTGGTTAAGAACATATTTGAAACTGACCAATGACAGAAGTCTTATTTATGGACTGGTTATTAAAATGTCTAATTTCAAGACTGGTTATTGAAAGTCTTATTTCAAGATTGATTATTCAAATGACTATTGTTTTAAAATAATTATATTGCAGTGAGAGAGTTTATTCTTTCATTTATCAAGATCCATCTAAAGGGTGTCATATAAATATATATCTACGGGGTACACACAATTTCTATTCTAAAGGTGTGATTATCTAAATGTGTGCAAATATACAAAAACCTTTTCTTTTTATTTAAATATTCAGTTTTCTAAAAATTATATGCACATTAAATACGACAAGAGAACCTGTGAAACTAAGACATAAATTTTTTTAAAAAATCAAACATTATGAAAAAAATGCAGGACTCCCCCAGCTACCAGTCTTAATTTCAACATACAAACAAAAAAAATGAAGAAAAGCAACTCAACATATTTTAATCAACTTTTAAGATATATAAAGATTATAAACAAAAACAATTTAAAGGCTTGAAGGTTTACACATACTGCCAGTTAAGGCTTGTAAACATTTAAAAAAAGGCTTGTAAACTCATATAAAGGCTTGTAAAGGCTGTGAAGCATAATGGAAGTTACAAAAGCTTTAAAATGAATGGCAGAAATGATACAGAGTAGGCAGGTAATGAAGGGTGCTCTCCCCTTTTATATATTATTTTTCATGGACTTTCTTATTCTTTTTACTAGTAAAATTGATTGCCCTTTTTTCACAAAGTCTAAGGAATCCTTAAATTGAAGTTTACTTGTTTTATAGAATATTTGTGTTATATTTCTAAACTCTTTGAAACAAATAGTATTTTAAGACTCCTAACAAAAATAATTTTTATGAATTACACTTTAATAATGAAACAAATAATTTTTCATTATTTTAGAATTAATACTTGTTAATATCAACTAATCAAAATATTTCTGTGGACTGGTTCCACAATTTATTTTCTCACCAGACAGGTACTCAATAATCAGTCAAAAATGAATGCTTATATATTAAAATCCTTAACACAGTCTGAAAATTACATGTCTTATTGAATAAATAATATGAGCACCCCTCTTTTGGAAAGAAAGACTAACTATCTACTTACTTTATTTAGAAAAGGTTTAACTGTAAATCGCTTTAATAAAATAAAGATATATTAAAACAATTTTATACTTCAAATATGCCTGAATAATTCAAAATTTCTGATTATTATATTGTTTGTTAATAACTGATAGGAGAATATTTGTTTTTATATAGTAAGATATATTAAAAGCTTTAATATTAAGATATATTTTGCTGCAAATAATGCAATACGCTTCAAGGCTAATATCATTCCAGAAAGCACATCACTACGCCATATACACACATATATTTAATCATTACATATATCTAAGGCATAAACTGTTGTTGTTGTTTTTGTTGTCTTTTTAAAACATTTATCAGGATAAATTATGAACAGACTACTTTATATATATTATATATTACAACCATTCTAAATCATTCTATGTTATATAAGGGGTATATACAAGTTTTTTGTGGAGGGGGGGAGGAAGAAATAAAAAGTTTAAAAACAATAAAAAATTATACTTATAAATTGTTAAAACATTCCATTTTCAAGTGTTTTTTTCCTTCTGTCTTTCATATACTTTTAAAACATACATGTATCTATTAACTTTTTGCAGGTGTGGGTTTATGCTTAGAGTGTCAAGCCAGGTCATGACCTGTGCAACTTTCTTGCACAATCTTAATATTCTTAATATATTGAAACCCTTAGAATTATAATGGACAATTCCAAAATACAAAGTAAGACTAGTCTATTTCATGAATTAATGTGAGAAAGGGTTAAGAGGAAATCTTTTCTACAGATTTTGGTTTCATAATTTGAATTTGATGACAAATGTCACCGATTGGTTAAGCACATATCTGAAATTGACCAATCACAGAAGTCTTATATCGGGACTGGTTATTAAAATGTCTAATTTCAAAGTCAAAATATCCAAACTGTCAATGAAGAACTATAAATAAATGCATATATGTTGCTTTGCATAAAATTATCTTTATCTATCTCAAAAACATGACACGGACAAAATCTGATATTTTGAAAAAAATTAAAAGTAGATTCTGAAATAAATACGCGCTAGCAGCTAGCCAAGAAAGCGAATAACATTTCATAAAATGGAATGCTTTAGCAAGCTGTTTATATACACATTACAGTAAAGCACACATAAAAAAAAAATTACCCGTCTTTCTGCTGCGTCTGCTCGACTCTGTAACGCCTTCATCGTGGTATCGTGACTAGCCTTTGACTGAACATACGTGGTTTCTGCTTGACGCGCGGTACTGGATTTCTGAACATACAAGATTTATGTTTGTATTATAGTTATTTATTGGCATAGAACTACGAGTACAAGCTGACAAATTATTGTATTTTATATTTCTCGAAACCATGGAAATCATAAATTTCACAGATAAATTCATGAAATAAACCAGCAAGAAATTAATTCTGTAACATTTAATGAATAATTCAACCACTGTGGCCTAGAGGTTTGCGATTTTTTAAAACATCATCATTTTATGGTAAAGAAATGTAATGGTTATATGATATTGGTTATATTGCCGTGAAAAATGACATATTAATATACATATGTAAACTATAAACCAGATTTACCCTTTCAATGTCCTCCTCCAAGTTTCTCTTGGTGGATTCTAGACTAGCATTCTTCTCCATTAATGTTCGAACCTGATTCCATACCTACAATAAAGTAATTAACACATTTGAACTTAAAATTCATAAAAGTGGTATTATAAATAACAACAAATCATGGTGCCGCAAGCAATTTCATTGTCTTGTTGAGGTGAAAATAACAAGAAATATCACTATCTTGAAACACAAAAATATCCCTTCCTCTTTATTACCAATGTTAAGGTGAAATTTTCCAAATTTAGAAAAACATAGGCCTGAGAAGGTCTAGGTCATTTAGGGGTCAAGGTTACATTTTATTCAATGCATTGAAATAAAGTTTACACACATGTATCAAGTGTACAATAGAAAAGGTTTCAGCAACTGTACAGAATAAGACAGGTTAAATTGTAGGTAAAACAGACATACAAAAAGATAAGAAGGATAGCAACAATATTCCACCAATCTAATTATGCATGGGCATTAAAAAGAAAATAATTTTTTTTTTTTTTTTTGGTTAGGTTTTATGTCGCAACAACACAGTATAGGTAATATGGCACCATTCCAGCTATACTGGTGGAGGAAGACCTAAGGTATCCCTCTATTTATTATTTCACGCATGAATGAACACATGAGTAGAACCACCGATGTTCTGTAAGCTAGCTGAATAGCTTTCTCATATGAATCAATCCAAAGTCCGTTCGAGATCCGAACCAAATGCGGTGTGGGGCAAAAATTGAATAATTTGTTACAAAATATGACTTAATAAGCTTTATTTTGTATTTTGTTCTCCCTTAAAGCAACAATATACTGCATAAACACTTCTAAAGACTGTCTTAGAAACAATATACATGCAAAAGTTTATTTAAAGTACTAAGATACTAAGGGCCTGCATTGTCTCATTTTAACAAACATTGGTCAAAACTTCTTACTATAAGGGACATATTTTTCTATGAAATGCAAGTTTTCAATTTTTACCTTGGATATTTCTTGATCGAGGGATGTGTTACGGTTTTCAAGATCTGTGCGTATTTTCATTTCTGTTTGAAGCTGGGCTTCTAATCTCTCTACCTGTGCTTTAACTCTCTTTAACTCATGTTGTTTACTTAATATCTCCTGTACATTAATGGATATAGATGTTAGTTTGAAACCAGTTTTTGTCCAATAGGATTGCAGTATTTCAAATGAATCATAACATGTTAACTTTGATATAAATCAGCTAACCATTAATCTCCTGGTAATTAATACATGTAGATCTAAGTTTGAATAGCTTTCCCATATGAATCAATCCAAAGTTCCTTTTCGAGATCCAAACCCAATGCGGTGAGGGGCAAAAATTGAATAGAATGTTACAAAATATGACTTAATAAGCTTTATTTTGTATTTTGTTCATGCTGTAAGCAATTATATACAGCGTTAACACTTTAAAGACTGTCTTAGAAACAATCTAAATGCAAAATTTCTGTCACTAAGGGCCTGCATTTTACAATTTTAACAAATATACAAAGGTCAAAACTACTTACCGGTACAATAAGGGTCTTATTTTTCTATGAAATGCAATTTTTTTTATTCTTACCTTGGATATTTCTTGATCAAGGGATGTGTTACGATTCTCAAGATCTGTGCGTATTTTCATTTCTGTTTGTAGCTGGGCTTCCAGTCTCTCTACCTGTGCTTTAACTCTCTTTAACTCATGCTGTTTGCTTAATATCTCCTGTACATTAATAGATTTAGATGTTAGTTTGAAACCAGTTTTTGTCCAATAGGATTGCAGTATTTCAAATGAATCACAGCATGTTTACTTTGGTAAATCAGTTAACTATTCATCAGAATAATAAATAAACTGTTTATAAAAATAATCCTAAACACTATTTTGGTTAGCATTCATAATTATGTAAGAATTTAGCAAATTAAACTGGCCAAATGACCATTTTAATTTTGTAAATGCTTATTAATGAACACTATCCTATTCTAGAAATCAAATACTATATGACATCAAATGGTTTATCATTATTTACTGTAACAATAGGAAATTCCAACCATTGTTGCAGTGACATACAAGACTGAATGACCAAGATGTCACCAAGTGTCACACAGAAATTTTGCCTGCCTGACGATTGCATCAGCCTTGAAATACACATCTGATTTAACCATGGAAACAGCTATCGAATAAAGCAGGCACACTCAGTCATCACATTAAGTAAGAGCACCATCTTAGAGTAAAAAAAAAAGCGTCTAATGTACTAAATTACAAGATATACCTGGTCTTTTTCTCTAATTGTATTCTTTAGGTCTTTATTTTCTTTAGAGGCTGATTCTGCCTTGCCATTCAGCCTGTCGACCTCTTTACGATGATACATCTTAAGTTCATTTAGCTCCGCCTCCAATCTGGCAATGTTACTTTCTGACTTGGCCTGAATAGTTGAGAAATAAACATTTAACTTGAATAAATGTCTTTTAGTTGATATTTTCATAATAAAATTATTTCATTTCATTTAATGGTAACTGATAATAAAGATAAATACTTGTTTGTATATTATTAACAATTTTTTTGCATTAGCATGACATTTGAATATACAGTCGAGACTGTCATATGTGACTTTCCAAGGGATCTTCTGAAAAAGGTCACATATGACAGGGAGTCTCTTAATACAGTCTCAAAGAAAATTAAATTTAAATATCATCTATCTGTCTATATATCATTGTGACTTAAAGATCCTGTATGTTTTGTGATTGATATTGTCTGTTTACTACACTTGCAAAAAAATATATATATATGGATATAATTATGCAAATAAAACAATTTTCCAACATCAAAGAATATGTTAAATGTGTACTGCAAATATTTGTGCACATTATATTTAATCAATAAATTACATGCATTGATTTCTTATTGGAAAATTTGACCAAGAATTTAAAGAAAATAAAGTTCTAATTACCTCCCTTTAATGGCATTTATTTACATGAAATGTTAAATTGGGTGATATCTTTATAAATCATGCTTATTTGAACTTACAATATTGACAAATCTTAATTTGAGCATCATATTTATGAAATAAAACCATGAAAAAATTGTGTTACATATCCATATCCAAAGCTTTTTCTGGTTTGGTATCAATATTTTTTCCGTATTAATTATGCAGTCATAGAAAGGTAAATTAAAAAAAAATGCTGCTTAAAAAATCTTCCGTGAGCACTCTATAATAAAAAAAAAATCTAACACAAGTCTTAACCCAGTTTACTTGATGTACATTACACACACATCGATTACATCATGCTTACCATGAACAGACGCTACGTCACTTGATACCTGCATGTATACTGTGCAATTGAGAAAGAGGTGTGTAGACTTTGTTTGCTACTGGATTAAAATTGGACTAAATTATTTTGGCCCTCTGGGTGTTATAATAGGTATAAATTATCTTATTAACGGACAATTAAAAGGTGTGAAAGTCGTTAAAATCAGACCAAACATTGCACTGGGACCAGACAATTAGGGTCGCTTGTCACATATGACAGGGAGTCGTTTAATTCAGACCATTTATATAGGAAAATACGTTGGGAGGACTGAAACAAGGTCGGATAAGACAGGGAGTCGTTTAAATCAGGGGGTCGCTAAGGCAGTCTTGACTGTAGTTCTTAAATTTTAAGTTGTTCGCCATAGCGTAACTCTCTCATTTCCAAAGAGAAATTTTAAGACAAACTTTTGTTCACTTACAGACTGTCCCACTTTATCTGACTCCAATTTCAATAAATTATTTTGTTTCTTGGACAATTCTTCCCTGAGCTCTTTGATTCTATTGTTTGCCGTCTGCAGGTCAGACTCCATTTGCGTCATTTGCCAGCTTTTTTGCTCTTGACGATCAAGCGTGTCCTTCTTTTCACGCTTGAACGATTCTTCTGATTGCTCATATTTGACTAGGGTTTCCTGAAGCTGAAAGTTTTATTCCATGTGAATATAATCCAAGTTTCAACTCAAGTACATATTTATCAATATATATTATTTGAATATTACAATACTCACAAGGAAAATTTTTAAATTAAACACAAATTTGTGAAAGTTATGGATTAATTAATAATAAATTTACAATTTTCTTCTTATTGCATATTATCTGGTCCTATCAACAGAAGTCATGAATATCTCTTTTATATTCAAGTCATTTTTCAGCTTTTGCACATGTAATAAATACAGCGAAACAATGATTTGATGATTTTGATGAATGAAAAATACTGCAGTCCGACCTGAATCTGAGGTTATAAAAACTTTCCTAAGATCTCAAGTATTTGATTGCTCAGAAGGCTGGCACAGAAAGTGTACTGACTAATGAATGACAAATGAGATTTGAAACAGAGCCCAGAAATATTTTTATAATCTTGAGGTCAGAGCATATATCAGGCACCCAAAAAGAACTTAAACAAAGCTTTTGCATATTTGCTTCACAGACACAAACACATTTCTACAGGAATTAATGATTAATTCAAAACATTGAAACCATTAAGATTGATTCACTAACCTTATTAGCGAGTTCTCTATTGTCCAACTCAAGTTGTCTAGTTTGGTCTTCTTGCGCTCTAATTTTATCTAAATGCTGCTGTCGTTCTTCACCGTCATACTGTGCTGACGTGCGTAAATGCTCAAGTTCCCGACGTACACTGTCAAGGTCTTGTTTCATGCTTTCGTTGTCTTCAGATTTGTTTCCAAATTGTTTAGTTGTCTCTCGGAGAAGTTTTACTTCACGCATGAGTGAGTCGCGTTCTTTAGTAATTGTGTCTGCGCGATTCTGTGCCTCAGTTACTCGATCTTTCATTGCCTCAATTTGTTTCTCAAGATTCTGAAAAAACATGAATCATAAAATTATATATCTTCTAGAAAAATCTATGTATTTCTAATGAAAATATATCAAGAAAAGAGATTTTTAAATCTCCCCAAAATTTGCCAAAATGTTATATCCTCTTCTGCCCAAAGCAACACTTGTTGACTATTTCAATATGGAAATAAATATTCAACCACATTTATCATTTGTTCTTAATCACCAAATAAGCCTTACCACTAAGGCCCCCACGGTTACACGTTTAAATGGATCCGTTTCAATTTTCATTCGTAAACGTTTACGATAATTTTTACCGTTTAACCGAAATGACCATATTGTCTTTTAAAATATCTTAATCATTGACTGTATTCATGAATTATATCAATTCTTATTGGTTTGTTCCAAAGTAAAAAACGGAAAATACCTGTTTACAACCCTCCACACAGAATAACGGTGCAATAATCACTCGTGACATTTTTGGTAAAGTTGATTTTCCTTTGATCTTTCAAAAGAGCAAAATGAGGATACACTGCAGAAAATATGTGCCGACTCAATCGTGATGATCTTATTGTACATGTGTTAAAAATAGAAAGTAAGTCATCATTTGGCGACTTGAATAGTTGGTGTAGTATAGTACAAAGAGTACCACCGTTTAAACAGTATCGTTTCGGTTCTTAGCAATCGTGTAAACGTTTACAAAAAATTGTAAACGTGGGAGCCTTACTTACCACGCTAAATATCATCAATGGACTAACACCATCTTTAAATTTGGTCTGAACCATTCATTATTTTTAGGGAGAAAAGATTAAATAGCAGACAATGTAGACCATGATCAGACAGCACAGATATGTCTGCTGATCTAGGTCTGTACTGGTTGCCTGAGTAAAAGCAGTTGCCCACAGCAAGCTAACCATGATATACTTATAGAAAAAGGCCAAAGACAACTAAATGGCAACCTGCAATTTACCTCTGATTTCTGAGTTTCTAATCTTTGGGTTACATTGTCAGTCTCTAGTTTTGCTACAGCCTGTACCGTCTTCTGCTCTTCCTGTGTCAATCTTTCCTGGAGCTCTATCTGAGCGGCCATTGATTCTTCCTTGACCTGTTACCATAGTAACAAAGAATGTCTTATTATAAATATTTCAAACCATAAGACTGGGAAAATGCTTCAGAAAAAGATGAAAATTCACGTAAGATAATAAATGTACATGTTTCAAAATAGGTATTAAAATAACCTTCAATATAGATATTCTACTATTGAACAATAAAAAAACCCTGCAATTTCTAGATTTTAGCAAAAAAGAAACATCATATAAATTTTATATCATGTAAATAAACATAATATAAGAAACTGGTTATAGTAACCATGGCAAGGGTTACCATGGAAATAGTAACCTTAGATATTGATATCTTAACAAAAATTTATTTATAACAGACATCTATCAAGATTTGTGTTAAAAATCTAATTAAGAATTAAAAAAAGAATGCTAAGAAGTTATAACAACAGAATCTTTCTACAGTATCATTTAAACTACGAAAATGACATTTTAATTTTTCTAACAATTCTTATTACACATATTAAAGCTGCACACCTCAAGATGAGCAAAAATATTTCGATAAAACCAAACATGAGAAAAATTAACTAAGATTTTGGGAAAAGTATAAAGATTCAAAAAGCTTGTAATAATTTACATGTTATGTGCAATTAATGACAGATTTTTCAGTATTTATAACTATATTTCTACTGCGTTTCTAACGCAATTAAGGCTATTTTTTCATATTTTGACCACCTAATGGTAATTTACATGGGTTGTAAGTGTCATTGATATAATAGGTAATTTGCATTCATTTGGTAACTTCACAATATCATACTGTTAAATACATTTTCAAATTAGCATTAATCTGGAGGCGTGCTGCTTTAATATAATTATGTTTTTTTCAATTGTTGGCAAACTTTTTTTTTATACAGACACTTATGAAGCACTTATCATTTTGTTCCTAAGTTTCCTTTAGATTTGTTGGAAAATGTTAGAAAAGCACATAACAGTTAAATTACTCTCTACACCCATTTGTTCACTTCATCAAAAAGAAAGAAACAAAATTTTAAAATCAAAAATTTATCATATCAAGATAAGAGGAAAAAGAAAAACAAACAACCCTATATTAATAAACAAAGTATACATCATTCAACCCGTGGCAAAGAATACCACAAACATGTTACGAAAAATACTGCTTTTATCCATATCCTGCAGAGCTCCAGATAATTTTTTTGGCCAAGGGGTTTTTACCCCTCAAAATTTAGAGTGAGGAGTAAAATGCAAATTCTGAAAAACTTAAGGGGTAAAATCTGTCAAAAAAGCATTTTGCATTTTTTATAAACAAATTAAACTTATTGTTTTGTTTGTTTGTTTATTAATTTTCTTTTTTTAGAAAAACCTTTACAAATTAAATACTGATTTAATTAATGTGAAACAATACAAAACATGCCATGTAAAGTCAGACTTCCAGAGTATACTGGAACTCAAGTTTAGGATACACAGCAAAATTATCAGGGCTTCCATTTTCAAAATTTGGAAGTCAAAGACTTCAAAATCTCTGATATTGGAAGTCACATTGTATAGGTAAAGAAGAAAAAGTATTGATTTTCGGAAGTCACAGGCCAAAATGAAGGAGTAAATGACTCCCAAACTAGTGGAAGCCCTGAAATTATTTTATTTTCTAGGAGTCAATATTTTTCTTTCTTTATTTCTGTTGGCATGTACCTTATTATGTACTCCAGTTTGAACAATTATACTTGAAATTAGAATTAAAGAATCATAAACAAGATTTTTTTATCTTTAATTTTAAAAAAAGTATTGGTCTGAGAGAAAATTGTCCGTAACTGTAGACTGGGTACGAAAATATTGAGTACAAAACTGCTGGTGAAAAACATGTTATTTTGTTCCAACAACAAAAGTTAAAGAAATTAAAATATATTTTTGTTTTTATTGAGGCATAAGCATGTCAATAGATGCCTAATCAAACTTAATACTGTGTTAACTCCTACGATGATTATCTGGCACAAATTTCATCAATAATTTCACAGGTTGATCTACGGGAGTTACCTCCCTTCTGTATTTCCTGCTACTTTCGTTTTTAACATGCGTTGTTGACAACAGAATTTTTAGTTTTCAATGCAATAAAATGGAAATATATTGTATTTTTATGTTCAAAACATTTTCTTTCTACATATCAAATGTTTACACTTCTATTCTTTCACGCATAAATTTTGACATACGAGCGTATTTTAATTTTGTTGTGCGTAACTGTGACGCACGAATTTTGAAAGTGATGCGTATTTTAGATTTTCTATGCGTATTTTACGCTTATACGCACGCTATCTGGAGCTCTGTTAATATCCTAAGAGGATTGGGGAACCCCCTGAGACCTTCATATCAGCACCTCTGATGAGTTAATCAGTTGTTTACTAATTTTTGTCCCAGGTTAGTAATATTAGGGATTCTAAGACTAAAACACTAACTTATTTTTAAAATCATTTTTTGCATTTCCACGAAAATACCGAAAGTACCCATGGGCGGTTTATTGTATCTATAAAACATGATAATATCATTTCAACATTTCATATCTTTGTCAAAGTTGACAAAAAAAATTCCCACACAATAAAACAAATATCTGATACTTTTTATGGCCTTGACAAAAATATAGTCGAAAAGTATAAATATTTTACTGACCTTGACAAAAATAATGACATGTAGTTATTATCTTTGAAGTCCTAAATATCAATTGTATTTTGTGTTGCTTTTTGTTGTTTTTTTCTTTGTTTATTTTTTAATCAACAAAATGCCACTTTAATTTAAAGAAAACAACAAAACATTTTCAAAGTTTTAGAGAGATTCCTATTTCTAAGTTAGAGAAAGACAATCCAACACCATGCAGTCAATTTAATGACCTTGACCTAGTTACACACTGACCTTGCCAGAGATAAATTTACCACTTCCTTTGTGGTAAATTTGATTATGCTGAAATATCATATCAATATCATTGACATTCATAAAGAACAAAAAAAACAAGTATTACTATAAATCTCATTGCTGTAAAACAATTTTTAAAACAGAACGCCGAGCCGACTCTTTTTCACTTTTTATGTAAATTTCTTATTTTGAAAAATGTTGTCATATACATAAAGTAATTTAATCAAGTCAAGGTACTTACGCTCTTTAGATATTGCTATTACGCATTCAAATATGCAAAAGTCGTAACTCAATTAGCAATGGGATAAAAAAAGAAAATAATGTCACATGGAGTTTGCTTATTTAAACATTATTTTCTAATTTCTACCTGTATATTTGATTGTATGATAATTGAATACTCTTATAATGACAGGGTTCCACATCTAGCCACATATTCCCAGTATTTCTAGCAAACATACGATATGGAGATGCAAAATTTGAATTAAGAACTGCTTAATTAATTTTTAATTAAATCCTTATCAGTGTAAATTGATATTTAATGTGAATTGATATTTAATGAAAGGAACTATTTTCATACCTTTTCATAACTTTCTTGGGCAGCCTGAAGTTCATCTTGAGCTGCAAACAGGTCATCTTGGAGTGCATGAACACGATTTTCTAATGTCTTTACCTGTAATGTCAGACAATGTCTTATTAGGTCAATAGGCAGGTTTACAGGTCAAGAAAAAGATACCTCACTTAACAGATTCTGGAACAATTTTCATTTCTTAATAAACCTTTATATTATAACAAATATTTTGTACAAAATAAGGGAATAATTCTTGTGATGCACTCTTTTCTCACATGAAAACATCTTATAATTCTAAGATAATTTTGTGGTCAGACAATTGCAATAGCCTTTAGCAGTATTTCTTCAAATACATGGGTCTTAACTCAATCTCAAATACATGTAATATGTGGTGACATGGACAAGATGTTAACAAGTCAAAGTAGTAGTGTATGGATTGCTGACTGTGTTGGTAACCTTTAATGGGCAAGCTGTTGTTTCCTTGAGCAAGAAATTTTACAATTAATTATTCCTCAGTACTGGTTTTTTCCAGGAACAAATTAGAAAATATTCCTATAAGCTTTTAGCTTCCAACATGATCAAACAGATAAACTTTGTGTAAACTAAATTAGTTTTAAGTCCTTTAGCACTCATTATTGAACCAATTTTGAAGGTCACCAGTAAAATACCAAATACATATGCATGAAAACATTATTACAAGTGAAGTGAGAGTTGATTGAAACAAGTAAAAAAACACTGATACCTTTGATGTTAAAGTTTGTTGTATATTTTCGTGATCTAATCTCTGATCCTCGTACTGTTGTTCAAGGTCACGAAACCTCCTCTCTAGCTGTGTACGTGACTGTTTCTCCTGATCGAACAAGTCTCGAGAATCTTCTAGCTCAATCTTTACCGCCTCTAGCTCGTCGATTTCATCTTGCAGTTTTTCCGTATGCCTTTTCTGCATTGTTAATTGTTCCTCTAAATTCTCCTTTTCCTTTATAAGAGTTTCTAATTCTTTCACTTTCACTTCCATCTCTGATATAGAACTGGCTTTAGAATCAGATGCACGTGACACATCGTCAAGTTGCTGTTCTAAATCTAACACGCGGGAAGTAAGTTCTGAGTTTTCACTACGTTCCTGATCTACGACTGATTTAGCTTTACTTAATTCATTTAATGTTAATTGTAATTTTGCCTTTAAATCTTCAATTTCTTTCTTGTGTCTGAAAAGAAAAATATCACACATGTAATAAAGTCAGTTGGTTTTGTATAAATAACTGTAACTTGATAGGAGAGCTCTTTTATTTAATGACTACACCATTTTTTTCTAAAGTAAATTAGCCTTTACCATGCTGAAATAGAAAGAGGTAAGCATTTGTCGCCAGTAAAAAGCCAGGCCAGCCTGAATAACTGTATATCTGTGCAATATGACAAAGCTCTGCAGCTCAATTGTTTTTTGTATTTGATGCTGAAACCCTACATAGGCAGTTCCAAATTCAAAGCAAAGTAAAATCCATCACAAAATTGCAGCAAATGCAGGCTTAGAATAACAATAAATGCAACATTTTGATGAGGGAACGTTTTTTTTTCAATTTTCATTAGTTAAAAGAATAATATTATTTTATATTGTACATTGTACTTAATATTTTTATGGATTTAAAAAAAAGCATTAAGCCAACTTTTTCTTTAAAAATGTTTATACTAACTTTGATTCTGCCTCTTCATAGTCTTCAGTCTGGAATAAATACAAATGAAATTATTATTATCTTTATCAAACAAATGAAGACAACACTTTGATAAAATTACCAACAAACATATGAAATACTTATCAAAAATGGCATAAGCTATCTTTTGATATCAGAAAAAAATCAGCCATATTTGCAGCACAAAAATTTAAGAAAAGAACTGTGTAAAGAATAATCTTGTCTTCTGGCATTAGAGTATGGTATAAATTTCTACCATTTATAAAATGTTTCATTGTTAAAAGTAAAGTCTAAGCATGTGGTTAAAACATGAATAGATTTTAGGTATCTAAATTAAATGATTAATTGAAGTTTAATCATTAATAGCATTCCTCTATTTAAATATGTTTATTTGTTAATGGTTCTATACATAAAATTCATGCAGAGCAATATTTGCAATACATGCAGTTATCAATGAAATGAAGTGTGCATCTAAAATGACAATAATCACATAAACTGTTAAACTGCCCTTAATAAGTCATCAAACTAAATTTCATTTCAAAAGGCTAATTATAACTTGACCTCAGAACAAAACAAGCTAAACGACAACAATCCACCTCCTTGCAAAAGATAAACAACATAATATCAATGGTCAAAATGGCTCCCCTTGCCTTAACCCAGTAGTTTAAAATGATTTCCTATAACCAAGAATAATCCAACAGTTCATGAAGTATCATTAAGTACCTTTGATTTAAGCTTAGCTTGGAGGTCTTCCACTTCTTTTGTTAACTTTGAATTTTGGTCTCTCATATGGCTAGCAATAATCTGAAATTACAAAGGTGAAGGTTATAAAAGGTCAAGGTTATAAAAAAGGTGTCAAGGTCATAAATAAGGTCAGAAATAATAAAAAATTGATACTGAATATTGCAATGAATCAAACAAAACATATCCCTCACAAATTGACCAAAATCAACTACTCTCCTTAGTGGAATAACTAAATATCAAATTTGTCTCCTACAATGTAAAAAGTGAAAAGTTTATCATTTATACATCTTTGCACATTCAAAAACAGAGGGCCAACAATTACCTGATATCATTTGCAACCAACAGGCATTGGCAAATTAAATTAGTCAGGAAGTCTTGCTGTTATATCGATAATATAGTTAAATTAAACAGATTAGAGAAAATTTCTCGCGTCAAAACATTCAAACTAAGGTTTGAAGATCTAAAAATAATACATTTTCATACTTCTTGTTTTGGTATCCCTTATAACAAAATGAAATTTTGAAGTAAGTCGGTCAAAAGTTTAAAACCCTTATCAGACTGAATTAATGTGCAGACTGGTATGGCTCTATTCTGGTGGCAAAGGCTTATCATTTTTGGTTCTAGCAGAGTAATAGTGACATTAAGCTCATATTTTCATAGTCAAGTTGAGCTGAACTGAATCCATGCATTGTTTAATGTGAAATATTTTTTTTTTATTAAAAGGAATTATGGCAAAATGAAAACTTATTTTGACATTCAAACGTTCGCTCATTTATTACCTTAGATGGACATAATGTCACTTTAAAACACATTTGTTAGAATTAGTATCTATAAAGACCATAATTGTCTCACCTCTTGTTTAGCAATTCCTTGTGACTCTTTCTTTGTATTATTCAATTCATCCTCTAATGCTTCCAGTTTATTTAACAGTTCTTTATTTTCTTTATCCAGTTTTTCACTGTTATTAAATAGTTTCTCAAACTCCGTAGACTTTGTATCTAGCAATGTCCGAGTTTCCAATAATTCATTTTTCTGATCTACATACTCATCCTTTGCAGTCTTTATCAAATTCAATTCACTTTTCAATTCCTGAATTTCATTGGTCAACTTTATTTCAGTCTTACTTAATTCCAGTTTTTGATTGGCTACTTCATCCTTCTCTGCAACAACTTTGTCCATTTCATATTTTAGAGACTCCACCTGTGCTGATAGTTCTTTATTTTCAAATGTCAGTTTCTCTACACTTTCTTGATTAACTTTGGCACTTTCGGTTTTTAATGTACTGAACTCAGAAGTCATGGTGTCTAGCGTGTTTTGTAATTCGTTCTTTTCTTTTCGAAGATCCTCCATTTGTGACTGCAACACAAATTGGAAAATATCGCAATTCAATACAGGAATAACAATATGCAACACAACAAAACTGTCAATTAAACATTTTTCTTTCCCCAAACAGAATTTTTAAAGACTAAATCTTAGAATCTCACCACTAAAAGCAGTTTTACACAACAGAATGGGACTTTAGTAAGTACATGTAATTGAAATGTGATGTGACATCAAACTTAGGCATAAATCCAGAAATAATAATATCTCTAATAAAAGATTCATAGCAAATAGTTCTAAAAAATATACATTTATATATATACAAGTGATCATAACAGTATTTTTAACATAAGAAAACATTTTTTTTTTTATATTTCTGCACACAAAAAATATCATGTGTCAAATCTTTTCAAGTATCAAGTCTTTTAACTTACCACCTGTCCATAAAAGAATGCATCGAAAATAAAATGAAACCCACATTTTTATATTGCCTTGTATAACATATTATCATGCTACATTTATATTTAATACTTGTGTTGTATAAATGATATATTAAACCCTTAACCTGCTGAAACTGAAAGATTATATAAGGATCTTAACTGTTTACGGTGGTACGAGGCTCTGCCGAGTAAAATTTGCGCTAAACAGTTACCCTAGAGCTAGATATTCTTGTCTGTGACAACAGCCGGTGTTTGATTCTTTTTCTTGCATATGAAATATTAATCTTAATTAGGAAAGAAATTGCAAAAACTGATATTTTCATTAGGCACTTTCTGCTTGTAGTAGCTTATGAATTTACAACTCCATTATTAACGGAAAAATGACGTCATTCTGAGAATGCAATTCATTCACAAACGTTTGGCAGGAATGACATCATTTAAGGCATGCGACTTGTCTTAGACAGGTTTTTCTAGTACAGGTGTAAACAGAAGATAATCATATGCAAGAAAACAGCCTGTGCAACCAGTAAAGAGCCAGGTCTAAGCCTGCAGCAGTCGACTCTATACTGTTGGTACATTAAAATGTAGTTCAATTTTTTCAAATTTTGATATTGAAATCCCTTAAACTTTGAATTGAGTGTTCCAAATTCAAAGCAGGGTAAGTCGTTTACATAAGTTCAGCAGGCTGAGGGTCATTTCTAAGATTTCGACAATCAAAATCCCTCCAATTTACAATTGACTATTCCATTTTCAAAGTATGGCAAGTTCATTACACTAACTTAACATGGTTAGGAATAAATAGGTATATTTTCCTCCTCATCTGAAATCAATATGTCATAACCTCAAACATCTAAGCTATACTTTACTATCTACTTCACTTTTTCTTTTCAAAATGTACATGTACTTAAAACATGTTATATTATAGATAATATACTTCATATAATTTCCATTATTCTGTGTTTTACATATCTAATACAATAGTGATGAGTTTCCTTTTTAATATGGTATACAAGATTTATACTGAGGTAGGAATGATTGAAAATTATAAAGAAGGTTACAGAACAGAGAAACAAATTTTATTGAAATATTGAAGAAAATACTTGTATTAAAAATATAGAACAAGAAATGTATTTTTTCAAATATTACATAAACACTTCGAAAATCATTAACTTTTTTAGCCATGGCAACTGAAATCAATGGCATTTTGTTTTATTTTCTAAAAATAGACAAGGGCAATGAATAATTGCAATGGCAATGAATTTTTTTTTAGTGTCAAAATTCTCGAATTTTAGAAATTTAACAGTATGAAAAAAATCATAAAGAATTCATCATTTCGACAGCTGACTATAATATTATCAAGATCTTATCGTATATAATAAGTAAAAAAGAGGCGTTCATCAGACAGTTGTCATTGGTTTATCATAATTATGTGACCGTCTGCTACGAGCAATCCCACAATGCACTTGACCTTACTGCACTTGTTACAGAACATGATGACATGGTACATAATGATAATGTATGTCATTTTTAGTTAACAAATGAGGTTATTAAGCTGCACAGAACATGCTTTTGCACATCAAGCTGTTGTTTTATGGACAAACACATTACAGATTCATTACATCAAATAATCATTCAGCCAGATAAAAAAAAAATTAGAATCTGAAAGAAATATCTTACATTAAAATTTGCTTCATATTTTGCTATCAACTTTAAATTAACAGAGAGATTGAAAACTTATATCAAAGATGAACTTTCAAATTGAGTTTAAACATATGAAAAAGTACATATGAGCCACGTCACAACAACGTAATGCGTTTGCAACCAGCATGGATCCAGACCAGCCTGCGCAGATGCGCAGTCTGATCAGGATCCATGCTGTTCGCTTACATACACTATTACAAGTAGAGAAACTGATAGCGAACAGCATGGATCCTGATCAGACTGCGCAGGCTGGTCTGGATTCATGATGGTCGCAAACGCATTCATTGGTTTTGTCGTGACGCGGCTCATATTTCAAAGTTTCAAAAAGAAAAAAAATTCAAATTTCAAAGCTTTAAAACGAAAAAACAAAACAAAAACAGAACAGATACCATGACAACAGGAAGAGAATGATGCATTCTCTAATAGATGTCTTTCTTTCATTCATGGTTTTAAAATTTCTTTTTGCTACAATGTTAAAACTATTATAGAAAAATTGAGCAGAAATGAATTTATGAGAGAAAAATAGAAAAAAAGCATTTTCATGAAACTACTTTCAGATTCTGTAACTACCTACAAAATATAACAAATATAAGTAATATGTTCTATTCTAATAAAATAACATGCATTAAACATGCATTACATTACAGCAGCAGAAAGACTATATAACAAAGAATTTGATTGGTTGGTTATTTTTAGATACACTTTACATTAATTGGTTATTTTGACACGGCCAATTTCATTGGCTGACAAGCTTACCTTAATCTACCAATCAGCAGCAAGAGAAACAAAAATATGCAAATGAAGGCAATATGCTACATGGCACAAAGAGCATGTAATTGATACATAAGAAAAGCTTTTATATGCTGGATTACAAACTCCAACATCACATTGATAGCTTTAACATTTACAATGACACATTGATGATGGTAAGAAAATTGACATTCATAATTTTAACTACAATATTCATATACTTGTTTCTATAAAACTTACAATTCTAATGTATATACTTTTTCATAAAAAATAAAGTTAATAAATAAAAGCTACAAGACTATTATAGTATAAAATATCTTTAACAAAACAGCTCAATCTCTAGGTAGTTACAAAATTGTACAAAAAATCTTTTTTTGCCACTATCTTTTTGTCCGACAATAATGGAAGTTAGTAAATTTATTTGATACTTGAAGTCTCACATCAAAAGTGTTAAAGTCAAATTACTTTCCAACTGTACAGTGGAGGAGTATAAAAGGTGCCTTCCTCATCACAATATTAGTTTTAAATGAATACTGAGGTGGAAATATCAACATTCCACCAGTTATCTGGATAGCTTCCTGCTATTAGAATATTCTCTTTAAAGGAAAAATAGTAAATTTACAAGCTCAATTTAAATTTAAAATTATAATCAGGTAACTTTTTAATAATTGAACCTTACTCAAAAATCATAAAAAAAATAAATTTAAAGAATCTCTGTTTATACAATGATGTCACACTAGGAATATAATTACAAATGGTTGCTAGGATACAGACCTCTGTCTCATCAAGTTGTTGTTCTGTCTCCTCTAACTCTGCCTTTAAACTCTTGTTCTTCATCTGTAACTGTGACATCTTCAGCTGGGACTCCTCAGTATCTTTCTCCATGGTAACCACCTAAATTATTTAACCAATATAAAAATGTGTGCTATAGTTGAACATAATCATTTTTTTTTCATCTCTCAATAATAATCTCTTGTAGCTTTTCAAATACTGTACTATATAATTTATGAGGTCTTATTCGCAATCGTTCAATTTTCACTCATAACTGCGATTTCAATACCTTGCAATAATAAAAATGTTAGTCATTTCATCCCTTGGAAGCATTTTTAAATATGGAAAGTTTTTTCTACTGCTCAGAAATATAACTTTCAAAAATATATTATTCATTTTGTCATATTTTCTGGAAATTTTTGTACTCTGCCAAGTAGCCTTAACAAATCATATCTCTACTTGATTCACATCTATATTTTCTTTTCTCATGTCAACAGTACTCTATTATATTCCAAAAGTTGACTAGCAAATGTTAAACGTAACTTTTTCAGAATTTTTTTCACATATTGTGCACAAATATCAAAACAAAACTATGTAATTGTTTTGTATAACAACCATATCATAGCAATATGTTATCTTATAAACATAAGATACGACTGTTTAGTATATCAAAATTAACTCAGAGAAACTATTCTAGGAGCAGTCATATGGGTAATTCCAATCATATGACATATTTCTGGAGAAACAGGACAAATATCAATTAAATTATAAAATCCCAACAAACCTTTTCCTTCAATGTAGCTATTTCACTTTCTAATGTTTTTATTTTTGACTTGAAACCGAGAATTTCACCTTCAAGTTTGGTTTTCTCGGCAATAATTGAACGTAGAGCGACATCATTTGGTGATCTTGCAGGACTTGGAGGTCGTTGCCGTGGTGACGCTCTTGGATCTACAAAAATATATAACAAAAGTAAGAACCATTCAAACTTTGTAATTAAAATGTTAAAAAAGATTATCCAGTTCAATACACAATGATTTTATAGGGTAGCTTTTACAATAAAAGTTTCAGCCCTCACCTTAAAATATATTCATGATTTATTTATCAAAATATCTTTCAAATTCCTCTAATTTTTTTGACTATGTAATTAATTTTGTTGCAAAGTCAGCAAGAAACAACACTAAGTCAACACTAAGTCAGCAGAAAACAACACTATAATGTTTCACTGTGTAAAAAAAAAAACACTTCTGACACTAGAAACTTCCACTAAAAAAGTGATTACTCGGCCTTTTAAAGCTGTAGAAATTCCATTTACTATGTAAATACTTGTGTCAAATTACTGGAACATATCACTTTACAGTATCATATTTTCACTTAATATTTCACCGGTGAGCTTAAACAATAGGGTTACTATCAAAATTACAAAATCAAAATTTACAATCAATATACTGTATACTCTGAAGGTTTCAGGTCCTATGTGTAATAAGAAATCAGTTTTCATCATAATTTAGTTCTCTCAATCCTTAATCAGGTCAAAATGCAATTTATTAGCAGCTTAATGCCTGAAGTTTCAGAGTAGAGTTAAAGAGTTTAATTTTAAAGATACAATGAATTACTTCCCTTAGCAATTACTTTTATTGCTAATAAAGCAATGCTTAAGCATGCAAGAGGGATTTCAGCTTAGGCAACGGCTTTTAAGCAGCATAAAAATAAATCATAACTCATTTAAAGCTATGAAGTGAAATTTTAAGCAATAACAGACTTTGTCAGGCATTATATGATTCTCTATGATTAAATTATCTTCTTGCTGAAGATTTCATTTTAAACCCTTTTTCCGTTAAAGTTAATAAAAAAAGCCTCTTCTTAACACAGCCTCTGTTTAAATGCTTCTTTCAAAGGCTTACAAAATGAAAGTAGTGGCCAACAATTACTGCAAAACCAAGAAAGCACCAAAAGCACAAAATAGTAACATTTACCCAAAATTTCAATGAAAGAACACATCTAATTCCGACACCATATCTAACAACTTAAATGAGTTACTAATTTTTATCCTTAATGTCTTTCAATTACTTTATTAAAACTAAACTACCATAATAATGTATCACTGACAAAAAAGTTGACCAATTAAAGACTATGAACTTAACCAAGTGAAATATACCCCTCTCCCAATCATCAAATCCTGCATCCCCACCCCCATCTCAAAAACGATAGTCATCAATTTTATTCTATGATTACTAGCTGTTCCTAAGATAATGCTCTGAGAATTTCTGGTCATAGTTTTAATCTATATTTTAGCAATGACTCTAAATTATTATTATTATTATCATACTGTCTAAATTGTCCCCATCCATATCTTACATATAGAAAATTGTTAAGCATATTATTATGAGGGACTTTTTAGGGTATGTTTTAAGTTAAATAAGGGTCCATCCGCCCTTTCAGGCACTGAGAGTACAGACCCCTGACACGTTACAAATCATGTCCTTAAAGTTACATTTAATAAATTTCATAAAAAACTAAATAGCGACATTTCATTAATAAATTGGGTTTTATATCAACTCCAGGTCTTATTTTAGTGTCCAAACAACCAAAATGAGTTTTATTAGCATAAAATTAGGTAACCTCATTGTGGCGAAATGGGAAGTACAATTTCTGTTTGCATGAGAAACTCCGCCTTCGGATCATCCGTACATCAGTATTAAATCAACAAACATGACTAATTTAACGGTATATTTCCGCATCGTAACGGATGTTTTTATACAAATTTAATCTTTTTACGAGATGATTACTTTTACTGAACCCCAGGTTTAGTGCACCGTGAAGCTTAAACGGTTAAAGTGTGTTTGCACAAGAAAATATCACATTTGCTGTGTTCCGGATAGCAACTATAAAACTGTTACGTAGCGCATACACGAGCTCATTATAGTCTTCATTTGCATGTTAAAATTCGTATACGAACTTTAGTGTTACCGTGGGGTTTCCCGTTTAAAATCCTAATTTATGAACAATATTTGATGAGATTTACAACAAAACTATTAGACAGGTTAATGAAACTGTAGAATGTTTGATTTTTAGGCGGACGGCAAAATAATTTTACATATTTATTTAATGTAACTTTAAGTTGCCAAATGGTAACTTATTAATCTTAAATCCAGTAACTGCACTGAATGCGACAAAATGTATGTTATTTTCATATGTGGGGTTCTATGCTTGTTTTGTAACTTATTAATTAGTGAATTGTTATAATTTGTATACTATCTAAATGGACATCTTTGTTTATTTGTACCCATATAAAAGGATTCGATCCCGAGTAAGTGAATTATCAGCCATTTTGTCTGCATGAATTAATAATAACCTAAGTGCAAGCAATAATAGGAGAAAATAACATCACTCATAAAAAAAGTCATAATCCTTGTGAACAAAAAAACCAATTCATCATATCAAACATGATGTACAAAGTACAGTGCATGGGACGCAAATGCCGCAATCCAAAGTATGTGCGTTAAATTCATACTGACAAACTGAGTGTACAAACTTCTAAACTAGCGTACTGAGTCTGAATGATTAAGTCAGGTTTTGCAATATTATGAATTTAATAATTTCTTTGCATATCATGAATTAAATAATTCATTTGCATTATCATGAATTTAATCATTTCTTTGCATATTATGAATTAAATAATTTGAGCCGTGTCACAACAAAACCAACATAATGGTGCAACCAGCATGGATCCAGACCAGCCTGCACATCCGCGCAGTCTGATCAGGATACATGCTGTTCGCTAACAAACCCTATAACAAGTAGAGAAACACGGATGCGCAGGCTGGTCTGGATCCATGCTGGTCGCAAACCCATTATGTTGGTTTTGTCATGGCGCGGCTCATTTATTATTGTGAAGATGATGAATATTTATAAATATAATAGAGTGGAAAATACAAAGACAGAACTGAAATTTGATTAGTTCACAGACAAGAAAATAATAATGTTTTCTATTAAAACATTTAACATATCATAAAAGAATATCTAAATTTTTCATTATATTTCATTTCCCACCTACCAAATTTTAGTGCCAAAACTTATAAAGCATATTTTGTGAATGACAGAAATTAGCTCTTCACAAGACATTGTGGACCTATCACATCCCATTGGGTCTTACGTAGAGATCAGAGTTATTACATAATAGTCTACATAAAAATATTTACTAACTAATCTGTAACATAAAGAAGCCCTGGATGGAAATTTTTTCAATTTTTTTCCAAAAGCATGTGCATATTCTCAAAGCATATGTGCATATAATACTTTTTTTAAAACTGGAAACACCAGCTTAAAAAGCTTAAACCTGTAACCCCATGGTTAGCCATTGCTATCAGTATGGAGCTAGGCCAGCCTACAAATCCACATTGCAAATTGACCAGGCTCTTTACTTAATTGGTAACCCAATTTTTGCATTTTCAGATCAAAATCCCTTTAAACTTTGAATGGACTGTTCCAAATTCAAAGCAGGGCAATTCCATTATAGAAAATTTAGCAGGTCAAGGGCCAAATGCAAGCAATCTTGTGAAGAACTAAAAATAAATAAATAAAGTGATCACAGTCTACCAGACAAACCCAACTAAAATAAAACATGAACACAGTCTAATCTTTGTTTTGTTTATTTCCATACTACCAAACTTACATCTTGGGGAGACCAGACCTTTCATCAAGGGAGATAATGCATCCCCTTCTACATCGTCTGCTTTTAAAGGGAGATAATAAAAAATACATTTAAAACCCAGAATACAGACAAAAGCATTCAATTTACAGCAACATGTTGCCTATTTCAACCATAGAAGATATATATTTTTTTATTATTAATTTTCTAACCATGTTATAAAATAAAGAATTCTATCCAGATGAAAATTCATATCACCTAAATGAAACTGAAAACCCTAAAACACAGTGTAAACCTGCTACAAAATAACTTTTTAGTTCCCTTTTCTGACCCCTTCTCTTACCTTGGACTGTGATGGGTGACACAAGGGAGTTTATAAAAGTGTTGTATATCTCTAAATAGAAAAAAAAATGTTTTTTCTTACATTTTAACAAATCTTAGGGCATGAACAATGATGCATCACCCTTCCCAATCATAACATTCTTTTTGTCAATTTTATTTCTAACAAGAGCTGTCGGTAGGACAGCAACGCTCGACTATTCTTAGTGCTTGATAGTAAAAAAAATGCTTGATACAGTTACCTCCTCCTGTTTACAGGTTGGGGTCATGATGGTGAACAAGTGTGCAAAGTTTCAAAGCCATATGTCAATGGACTTTGAAAATATTTGAACTATTACAAAAACTTTAACGTAAATTCTAAGTCAAAAAGGGGCATAATTCTGTCAAAATGCTTGATAGAGTTACCTTCTCCTGTCTACAGGTTGGGGTCATGATGGTGAACAAGTGTGCAAAGTTTTCAAAGCCATATGTCAATGGACTTTGAAAATATTTGAACTATTACAAAAACTTTAACGTAAATTCTAAGTCGAAAAAGGGGCATAATTCTGTCAAAATGCTTGATAGAGTTACCTCCTCCTGTCTACAGGTTGGGGTCATGATGGTGAACAAGTGTGCAAAGTTTCAAAGCCATATGTCAATGGACTTTGAAAATATTTGAACTATTACAAAATCTTTAACATAAGTGGTTACGCCGACTCCGACGCTCGGGTGACTGCAATAGCTCTACTTATTCTTATCGAATAATCGAGCTAATAAAGTGTAAATAAATTTTATCATTTAAACAGTCAAGTGCCTTAGATAAATAGAGCACATTTAGACTTCTTATTGTTTTGGTATAAACATTGACGAAGGGGAATAATTCTGTAAAAGTCCTTGCTCGAGTTACAGGTCTTGGAAAAAAGACTTACCATTTTAATCCAAAAGACATATATGTAAAGTTTTTCAAATATAAATGTCTTCAGTGTATAATAAGATATGAAGTTAAGAACAAAACCTTTGCTGAAGCTGAATCACATAGGACTTAAGATAGCCCCACTTTTCTGCTATATAAAATATGAAATTATCTAATGCTGTTAAAAACTATTATATTTCTATAAAAAATTCAATATTAGAAACATGTGGCCATCAATTAGAACCACTGACAGAAATGCTAAGTTCATCTTCCTAATGTGAAATAACTCATTTTTTTCTGATCACTCTAAACCCAAAGCAGTAACTATAAACCTAAAGCAGCTTTAATGGGATTCATTCAACAGTAACTACAATAACTTGGCAATGGAGACGGAGGTAAACTACATAAGGAAATAACATTCATTACCTGATGATATATATAAACATCAAAATGATAAAAGACCCCTAAACCATCAAAACACTCTAATTAAAGGTACATTTTGGTGGTTTGGTGTCTTTTTACCCAAACTGGGTCAAAACTAACCCAAATACACTATCAAAGCACTATCAGACAGCCCCCTTTGATTTCATACTTCCATGGTCTCCTAATCCTACCCATATACAGCATTACTTCATGCAATAGTCAATAGGAAATGAGAGAAAAATAACAAAGCTTGACTCACCTGGGCTTACGAAACCTTCTTTTTCTTTCTCAAACTGTTCTTTCTCCTTTTTCCTTTCTTCTTCTAATTCTTTCATCTTTGTTTCCAGCTCTTCAATCTATAATTACATCAGCACATGGTGTGATTAATTAAAGCCAAGACAACAGAAGTCTCCTTATAATTATAACTGGTTTATCTTTATCTTTAATTTTCTTACTTTATGAATATCCCTTTATTCATTTCTTCTCTTTGTAAAATTAATGTCCCCTTTCAATATCTCATATGGGTACAACTCAAAGAAGGGAAAAATAATTTATTTTACACTGTAAAACCTATTTGACACTTAATTATTTCCTAACATAGGATAATTTGTGACAAGGCCTATAAATGGCCTCTTCCCAACAGAATTCTTTTTAAATCATGCAGTAATTTATCAAAAATCTGAACTAGCTTGTACCAGCTTTTATACTTCCCAAATTAGGAATTCTTGTGATAATTTTTCCCCAAATCAAGAGGCCTAAATCAAGAAGCTTATGCCTGTTCCCAATTTTACATATTATAAATATTAAGACAAATATAAATTTCAATAAAAGAACTAACATGTCAGTCCTTGTTTGTGTCCAAAATGCCGCTTTCTCTTCACAGACTTATACAAACTATATATATATATATTTATAAGAACAAAATAAAAGAGCACATAATTCCTGCTTTAAATTGATTACATTATCATCTACATTATAAAATATGTATTTTAAACAGTAAGGTATGTAAGAACAAAATACAGTAGTCACAGAATTTTCAAATATATCACAATTATTTCAATATACCACTTCAATACGGGGACTGTTTATCAACATTTACTTTCAAAAGCGCAAAAACTTTTTACAGTTGTCCACTATTTAACCAAGCTATCAGCAAAAATAGGTAAATATTTGTACATCGGGGATATTGGATCGTATTCCTGTTATTTTCTAATTTACCATAATCTAAAACATCGGCCGATTCTATACGCAGATAGTGTTCAAAGCATTTTTGTTATGTTTTTTTTAATACATATCAAAATGTAAACTTAATATTATACGTAATAAATCGTAATCTTTTAGCAATATTGCGTAGACATTGCACGATAATACTTATGGGTGTTGGTTCTAATTCGATCCTTAATCTAATTTCGATAAATAACTCATCTGTCCAGATCAGATATGGCAGGAAAAAACATTATAAATCAACATTCCTTAAGTTTGTCATTTAAAGCCCATGACTGCATTGAAATGACATCAACAAGCTGTGTAATCTGTAGACAATTTATTTAACATTTAGTCTAGCCTTTAAAATGTAAATAAAATTTTCATCTGTGCCAAAACGACCAAAAACAGTGTTTCAGTCCAGCTAAAAATCTAGAAAACATTGATGTTTAATGTTCTATGACAAGTATAAGCAAATGTTTTCTTCTCACAAAGATTTTAAGGAATATAGATTCTATTGAATTTTTGTATTTATTCAAATAATGACCTCACAGTAGAAAACACCCTCTAATATTTGACAACAAGAGCTGTTGGCTAGGCCATTCCCAGTGCTTGATAGTAAAACAAGAGCCTGAATGTTGTTGAAATTTTCTTAGTTCAAAAAGAGCCACAATTCTGTTAAAATGCATCTTAAATAAGTGTGTGAAGTTTAAATTTTCTTCAGTATTTTTTGAGATATCAACTTGCATGCAAAAACTTCATCAAAATATGATGTCTGCACCTAGGTGAGTACAATAGCTCTCCCTATTGTTGGAATAGTAGAGCTAAAACTGTGCCATCAATCTAAGGTTTTATGAGAACTGTCGAAAGGTGGCAAATGACTGACTTCTGGTTTTATTACCATATTACCTGAAAATAAGTCAAATTTTACTGATTAATTAGGGTTTGTAATCTTTGAGTAATTGTTAATTTATCTGATAAACACTAATTTGTTTGCTTCTACCAATACAACCACTGCAAACCTGAAAGATCAATTGGCACATCCATGCTGACTGATCATAGTATGCATTATTCGCTGAACATATTTTCAAAAATTTCCCTTTCAATGATAGACTGCAAAATTTACATGTTCATTTAGAAAAAATTAGCATGGCGGGGTTAAGCGCCTAAATAATAAAACAAACATACTCTTCTTTAATCACAGTTTAAAACTTCAGAATGTCAATTGTCATAATGTCATAAAGACGATAATGCCATACCTGCTTATTCAATCCTTAAATTATGAAAGAAATTTCAAACTGGGTCAAATTCTTTTTTTTCTTTTTTTTTTGCAAATCATTATCTTTGGTCGAAACTCAAACGTTATGATAAATACATATTTAGATGAATCAAGCAGATCTAGATAACGATACAAAATAATCTAGGTCCGGGGGGAAAAAATGTAAACATCATGATGAAAAGTTAAAATAAACCGTACAATGCAAATTTGCGGGACGATTTTGTTACGTGAATAGATGTCAAAAACATGATTTCTATTAACTTTTTCTTTAAGCGTTATTGAATAAATGAAGACTTCTATTTATGACTTGTGTTTTTATTGTATCAGTCAATTGTACAAAAACTTAATGGCTATTTTAAAATTCAAAAGTTGAAAATTAAAAAAAATAATTACATTGAAATTGTTGCTCTATAGATCATAAGGTGAAGTTTGTATTTAAAAATCTAAATTACAATCATAAGAAATTCAATTTCTTTTTTACAATTTGAGTAAATTGTAAATTTTTTTTCAACATTCCGTTTTGATAGTAAAATTAATGTATCGTGTATTTTTTAACAAGATTTTCAACTGTTAGCCTGTACCATGCTAAATATCTTTAAATGGACTTTTCTGTCTTTCAATCTGGACAAAACCATTCATCTGTTTAGGGAAAATTTCAAAATACGTACAGACAAAGTAGCAAACAGTACAGACCACAGATTTTTTTTTTAATTTCACATACGATAAATACATGTATATTGTCCTCATCAATTTCCCCTTGTACACTTAATTACCAACACACAAAAATCAGATTTAGATTTACAGTCAAATGTTTTGAGTACGAAACAAAAACATTTCAAACAATACTATTGATCTCTGGTATTTCAATTGTTTGACGAATAGTCTATAACAATATTAAATGAGACTAACTAACGGTAATTATTTATACATCAGTTCTGTTTTAAGCACTTTAAAGATCAGTTACAAGAACACAATAAAAGTCTTAAAATTATGTATCGATCACAGGTATTTTATGTCAATTTTTGACAAAGTTTATTAGTTGCTATATACTTGTTTTACTATGGTATTTAATAAATAATGCTGGTTTATGTTTTGTTTAAAGGCCCATGCTGCAAGAAGATAATAACATAATTCTGAAAATCTAAACCTCTAAGCACTGTTTAAAGCCCCATGCTGCATTTAGACAAATACAATTTAAATACTATTAGAACTTTCAAAAAGTAACAGCACAAAATTTTACAGTCATTAATTGATAAGCAATTTTCTCTCACTTTAAATGTTTCTTGAAAGTTAATTGCTGACAATCATTTCAAAATGATGACTACTTTTATTATGGTATATTAAAAGAATGATCTTTACATTTAACATAAAAAAAAATCAAGAATTCAGCATGAACTTACTTTAAAATTTATAGTTTATGACAACATACAATTAAACTTTGTTTACAATAATACTTTGTTTACATATATTTTGTAACATTTCCTCATAGTCAAAGCATGCCATTATTTCAGGCAAATAAATTTTTTTCAAATGGATATTTAAATATATCATTTTCAAAGCAAACGGCACTTGACCCCCTTGTGTCCTCTCCGCACTTTCACTACGAGGCCGCTGGTGGTGACAATTACTTGTTTGTTAAGGATATGAAATGTTTGCAAACTACTTCGTTGATCAATAATTAACAAAACATTATTTTGTACATGCTTCCTTTCTGCCTTTAAACACGTCAATGATCGGGAACTGTTTGTACACGTTACCTAATTTAACCCTAAATGCTGATACTTTATTGTCCGACCTTCGTTTCTTTTTGAAATGTAATTTTTTTCCGAAAGAAATCGCAAATAACAAATAGTTCCCCCCTTCTAATTAAAAGTGTTTCTATATTAAGGTGAATAAGGAACTGCGTAAAAAGTAAATATTAACAACAGTAAAAACGTAAAGTCAACTCGGGTCACAATCAAAAGGTTACTAACTGGTCAATTTTTCTTTTTGTTTTGAACAATAGATTCAAAATATTTGAATATTAAAGTCAACATCTTTACTGAAACTCTGTAATTATGTAACAAAAATCATTTTTATGAATTGTGGAATGCTTTTATCTGGTGTGAATAGTGACTTTAGAAAAAAAGAAATTCTGTTCAAAAGTTTTAGTTGATGAAATATTTTAATCTTTTCTGCAAAAATATATAAATGATATAACTTTCGAGCATTAAACAAATTCAAATTAGCTGTGCAAAATGACATATATAATTAAATGACAGATTTAGCAATGGTGGTCGCAAAAGTATTAAATGATAGCAAATATGTGAGCCCATGGTAGATTGCAGAATAATGATAATTTCTTCTTAACCCCTGCCCCAACCCCTCTAATTTGAATAACAGATTGGTCTTGCTTAGAATGAATAAGGTAAATCCCTCCTGTAGAAAAGTGCCTATCAAAACACTTAAACGTTGTGTAGCCAGCAGTAAACAACCTGAATAGATTTATATTATTATTCTAAAATTGCATAAAATAAAAAATAACATTCTGAAAAACAGTTATTGATGGTATTGTAATTTGCTACACATTCATTAAGTCACCATCTCAGAGTGTCCCTTGTGTTATAAACTTTTATATTAGCAGAGGAAGTATGGTGCAGGGTACAGCCACTGGATTCCTTGTAAGACAGTTGTGAGTATAAATCCCATCAAGATCAATTTCCACAATGCCCACTGCTGAGCATCATCAGATACCCACGGCTGATTAACATGTAACATATAACAACTGATAAATAAATGTTAATGATTCCATCATAGGTATCCAACAATGACTGCTGCGATTTCTGGCCATGACACAGCCAAAAAGAAGTTAACTGGACTTAATTAAGTGTACGTCATTGGTTCCAAATAAAAAGGAGTTAGACATTAATAAAATACAATGTAAAACAAAAACAAAGGAAACAATTACAGATTAAACAACAATTGTCAAAGGCATGCCAACTCAATGATTTAGCCTGTATGAACTGTATCAAAAGCTTACATGAAAATAAAAACAACGTATCTTGCCAAGTGAATTTTCATTTTTCGTTTCTGGGATTGTTAACAGAAAACGCCTACTTTCTTATATGACATCAAATACATATTTAAATTTCCACAAACAATAATTATGATAACCAGTCAAATGTCAGACATTGAAAAAAAAATTGTAAAGAGATACTTGTAAAATTAATTGGCAGAAACACGTTGAAGTTCAAATCTTTTATTTTTAGGAGTCTTATACAAGCCCCCTTTACGTCACTTCATATCGAGTCTTTTTATGATAAACAGTATTATACCTGTCAAAAAAACTTATTGAATAAAGTCTTGATGAAATGGAATATGTATAAATCATTATTAGCAGACGCACTTTGGAGGTCAACTTTTTTATTTCAAGTGCATCTTGCACGCTTCAAATATATAACATAAGTGATTTTACGTATTGGCAAAAAAATCTTAACTAATATAACATAATACATGTAATATCAACAGTAGACGCACTTTTGAGGTCAACTATTTTCACTTTATAGAAGCCCCCTTTACGTCACTTTACATCAAGTGTGTCAACACAAAGATTAGCAGTATTACCACCTGTCAAAAGTAAATTAACAAGAGCTGTCCGTAAGACAGCGCGCTCGACTTTTTTAGTGCTTGCCTATAATACAAAACATTGACAGTTAAGGGCCATAATTCAAATAAAATCTTTGACAGAATTACCTTCTCCTGGACATGTTTGGGAATCATGATTGTAAACAAGTATTCCAACTTTCAAATTAATATCTCAAACAGTTCAGTCAAAAAGTGGACTGGTACAAAAAACTTAACCAAGATTCTAAGTCGATAAAAGGCCTTAATTTTTAAAACAAATCCTTGACAGAGTTACCTTCTCTTGCGTACAGATGGGGGTAATGATGTGAAATAGCATTAAAAGTTTCAAAGCAATATCTCAAAGGGTTATTTAACTTAAGGCAATAAGTGGATTTTACCCATATTCAATGTATTTTCTAAGTCAAAAAGGGGCATAATTCTGTCAAAAACCTTGACAGAGTTATGTCCTCTTGTCTGTTGATGAAGGTCGTGATGGTAAACAAGTATGGTCAGTTTCAAAGCAATACCTCCAATGGTTTTGAAATAAAGTGAGGTGGTACAAAAAACTTAACCAAGCTCAATACACTTTCTAAGTCAAAAAAGGGCCATAATTCTGTCAAAAACCTTGACAGAGTTATGTACTCTTGTCTGTAGATGGAGGTTATGATGGTGAACAAGTATGGTAAGTTTCAAAGCCATACTTGTAATACTTCTGAAATAAAGTGGGGTGGTACGAAAAACTTAACCAAGGTGTGACGCCAACGCTAACGCTAACGCCGACGCCGACGCCGGGGCGAGTAGGATAGCTCCCCTTTTCATAGAAAAGTCGAGCTAAAAATCAACAAGCCCACGCACTAGGAAGATTATCTGATTTTTTACTTCAAGTATATCAAACAGGCCTCAAAGTATATGAAAACCAGCCCTTGATCTTTGCATATCACTTTCAGTGAGTAAAACTGGAAAGAAAATCTTAATGGATACAATATCAGCAGTCGCCCTTTCAAAGTCAACTTTTAAAGTATATTAAAACTGGGAACAGAAAACTTTTTTTCTTCATTTTTGAGTATATAGTTCGAGCATTCTTTAGGTCACTTTAAATCAAGCTTGCCTAAGCCCCAAATGATGACCTATCAAAAAAAAATTTAAAATCAAAGCACAGACACAGTTTTAATCTTTAACTTTTTTCTTCATGCATATTCTACAAGCTATAAAGTATTATCCTATGTCACTTGTTTTTTGTTGTTTTCATTTGGTTGACGTTTTTAAATGCCGATTTTTTAATGCACAAGTTTGGTCATGTTTCAGCGGTCGGTTCAGTGAACCAGTTTTCTCCGATAACTAACCAGTAATAACCAATTTCTCCAGATTAACAGACTAAGTACTAACAGAATCAACAGTGAGGGACAAATGACCATTGACCTTGATCAATTTTGGCACTTAAATAAACATTCTAAAAAATCAACATAAGAAGCAAATATTTAAGGTTAATCATTTTATTCACTTTTCGGAACAACAAATAAGCTACATTAAGTCATTGTATATCAAATCATGTCAGCTGCGATGATAATAAACTATCTACGTCTACACAAATCACCCTTAATCCCCCCCTAAATGGACAGATACACTTCAAACAGAAGTCAGTACTGATACGAAACAAAACAGTTTTAAGTGGAAACAGCTATTTGAAATGGAAATTTGGCCAATAGAATAAATACAAAGCACTTAAGAATATAGACCCGTTGAGAGATTTATCCGATGGCATAATAACGTTAAAGTGAAATTTACAGAGGCTTGTATAATCCCTATAAACATGGATACTAAAACGAATTTAGGTATTTCATAGAAAATGTCACTTTTGAAGATTTCTGATTGCATACTTCTGATAGGGTACTTGAAACCTTACTTCAAATATTGACGCTGTGTTTATGTGGTAATCGATTGAAAATGATTTCTATTTCTAGATTTTATTGGATTATTTTTCTTCTCCTGTTTAAAACATGCATTAAATTGCATTCCATGTTAAGTGTATTTTCACTTTATGCACAATTATTTAAGAAAAAGGAATGCCACACCCAGAGTGTCTAGAGTCCTTACATTTTTGTGACTAACCAATATTAAAGCCCAATAATGTGATAGTTCTGTTTAGGAACAAAATCTGCCTGCAATATTACAAAGTTGCAGTGTATGGGCATTAAAGCTGGAATTTCATCCTCTAAATTATAAGCACAAAGGTACATTGTCTTTACCAGGGGCTTCAAAAACCAAACGTCATACTCTTAAACACTACAATCACAAAGGGGTTCAAGAATATGGTTAAAGTTATTTATAGTAACAAACCTGTTTCTTCGATGATGCCAACTCATCCTCTAATCTCTGATTCTCGTCCATCACGACGTTAATTTCCTCCTCGTGCTCACGCTTAATTTGCTCGATTTCCGACTTTGTCGCCTCGCGAGCCTGATCAATTTCTTCTTGTAACTCTTCTCTCTCGCGATCTATGGTTCGCTGAAGATCTTCAGATATCCTGCCGTCAGATAACGCCGAGACGCTGCGACCTTGCTCGGCTTCGAGCTCGTCAAGGAGCCTTGCTCGCTCGACAAGTAGAAATGCAATTTGTTCACTGGTTGGGGCTTGTGCTATTTCCTCCAGACCCTGCTGTATCAGCATCTCAGCCGTCTCATCACGGAGGGCCGACGCTAAAATATAAAAGATGACGTGGGCTAAAATGAATCGTTTCATATCACTTTTATTTCAATTAAAGTACCCCTTAAAATGGAGTGCAAAACAAAGCGTAACAGAAAAATTAGCAGACGGCAAGAAATAATAAATTATCTTAATTTAAGCTATCCGTCAGACATGATGGCAGACACTATTTTAAAATAAAAATTCTTCTCATTTTTTAACGACATTAGTAGGGAATGATGGAGTCCGAAAAAGTTTTTCATTTCATATGGTTTACATAATCAATGAATTTTTTTTAGTTTTTTTCTATTCTAGCATTTTTCAAATTAGAGAAAGGTATAATTAGGCTACAGAATCAAACGAAAACTTTTTCTTCTTAAATTGCTATTTTTGTGGCTTATATATCTTCAATTCCAAGTTTTACTGTTTTTAAATAATCCAATATGCTGTCCTTAAGGCAAAAAAGGATAGTTTTTCAATGTTTATTCAAGATATTCTGCTTGTTATTATTATAGTTCGACAATGATAGCCTATATAACCAGAAACCAGACATGTGAATTAAATGTTCAAATATCACTTCATTTCGCATGTTATGCACTTTTTAAATCTACATTAATCCATTAGCTTTATCTAAATAAATATATTTATTTAACAGTTATACATTTAAAGAAAAATTTAACACTTGTACGTAGAAGGTCAATACTTTTCATTACCAATACCAGAATCGTAAAAGGTTTGACCGACTGACTTACGCGCACCACCTGGGCTTCCTGTTCATTGTTAAACAAATTCTAAAATATTTGTTTAGTAAATATATTAATATGGCTGTTTGGCTTAATAAAGGTTCATTTGATTGCTTTTAACACTTTATAGAAGATTTAAACGCTTCCAGATGGAAGAACTTAACACGATGAAATTCTAAAACAAACTTTTATGGCTTTCAGTTTTGGAACTGTCAATTTCAGGGATATAAAGATGAAAATTTGAAACTGGTCATTCAACAGTTAAAGAGCCTGGCTAAACTGCACAGATGTGCACACTGCCCTCAGACAGGCTCTTTTACAAGTGGCAATAGCTTATCACTTTCAGTCCTAGATGAGCAAAATTAAGATTTGGAACAAACAGTGTTTTCATGCTTTACTTTAAAATATCAGTCTTTTTAAAACATCAGGCTTGTATTATGACTGGCTGAATACAACCATTCATAGTCAAGCCTGCACATCCAAATAGACTGAGGATTTTATTAAGTATTTAAAAATCACATTAAGGTTGGGGTTTTTTTTCTAATTGCAGCAAACAAATCTCAAAGAGCAAGATTAGTATTTGTTGCAAACTAGAAAAATATGTTCAGTTGTAAATATTTTTTTCTTCTTAATACTTTCCTAAAGTTACTTCTTTTTTCATACTTCATAATTCATTTTTTTTTTTCAAATTGGTGATAATCAACAAGACTCAGACTTTGGTTCTAATAAAAGATGGTAAAAGACACAAGGTATTTGTTAGCACCTTTACAAAATGTAATTCAAAGTCTAAGATTTAAAATAAAACTACTAATCACATGTAATTATCTTACTAAAAACAGTTTTACCTTGTTTTCAAGCATTATTCCAAATTTTCAATAATTACCATTAATATATCAAAATCACTTTCAATCATTTAAAATCCAAAGTGAAACAGAAAAACGAAACTAAAACACAACTTTGAAACAAATTATCTTTTTTATTTTTGGTTTCCCTCTTTTTTTTCAGTTAACGTCTGCTGCAATAACCGTATGCATTAATTAATCCCTACAATGAACCACTGATCAGCTGTATCCAGGAGGACAACTGGTTATAACACACATACAACCGGCAGGTACGATCGTTCAATAATCGCCTATCAATCCTCCCTATTATGATCATCCATTTAACAATTTAACGCCAAAATGACAATTGTTCAGCTTTTTGTATATTACCTACTCTTTAAACCCTTTATAAACTATTTGGCTTGATTTCTTCTTATCAGACGTAATTATTTATGTTTTACATACGCCAGAAATTTGGCCGTTACAAAAGACATACAGGATATGGCTAAATATAGATTGATCTTTTTTCTTCATAGTTTAAACAGCAATATAGAACCTATCTGGTCAAAAACATAATGATATACTTCAAAACAAAACACTTTAAACTTAACAAATATAGAAAACTATAACAGAAATGAATGAAAAAATGGATGCCATTTCACCATGCTAAATATCTTAAATGGACTGGTCCATCTTTTAATCAGGAAAAGACCATCAATAAATTATTTCAAAGAAATTAAAAAACAAAACAAACTGACTAAATAGCAAACAGTGCAGATAAAGACCAAGGTCACAGATGTGGGGGTCGATCTTGGTCTGCACTGCTTGCATGGCTAAAATGATTTGTTGCCAGAAGGCTACAGGATAATGAACAACAAAAGTTGCCAAACAAAGGTGTCTAAAAACAGTCTGGTTAGCTAAATAGGTAGAGCGTTAGACAGTGCATTGCGTGACCCTAAGGTTTGATTCTCGAAAGGACCAGGTCACTTTTGTTGTAATTGATCATGAAATCCTTTCTATGGTCATTTGCACTGTATCCCTGCTCTGGCATGTAAAGAAGTAATCAGTTCCTTGCAAAAGTGAAGGTAACTGGTACTGGTAAACTGCTTGACAGCCTTCCAGGAGGCAGGAAGTTGTGGTGGCTAAACTGTGCTCTGGTAAATTCAATGTGGTTCACTGCCGTGATCAGGAAGGTAAACTACCATTACCACCACCATTATCACCAAAGCTTTCTCAAGTATCAAACTTTGCAAAGTTATAATGGTCACTTTTTAATACTGGATTTTAGCCATTTTAAACCAACGACTCCATGTAGGAAACCTCAACCGCTTAGTCACATTTTAAGGCCCATACTTCTATAAATAGTTTTATTATAATTTCTGTTTCAAAATTTATACTTTTAACATTGCAGTACCTGCTAGCTAAGTGTCTCTTGTGAAATACAGTATAGGGTGCACCAGGTGCATACCCTATTATACAACTCCTGCAATTCTGCACCTGTCATGTACCAGGCTTACCAAATGATATATCAAAGCCTTTACATCAATTAAAACGCTTTTCATAGAAAAAGTCTATGAAAATGGCCATAGCAAAGTGATAATTTTTAAAGCATTTAATAATACGACAATAAAACTTGAGATCGTCTTTTTTGTTCCTTCGCAAGTCTCCTGGTGCAGTCAGAATAAAACAGACATAAAAACCTCAAACTGGTATTAAACGGTTTATTTTACTATTATTCTATGAATGGCAGCTATTTAATTCGATCAAATATGGTGATACAAAAGGATTCAAATATTGCGATAATAATATCATTCAGAAAAATTTAAATAACACTATTCCGTGTAAACGATCGCCCATTGTGACCTTTTTATCTCTTTATTAAAATCCTGATCAAGCAAAATATCATTACAATTGGATCCAATATTTTTACTTCCCTTAATACCAAAACCACATAACACGATTATTCTTTACATTAGAAATACCTCCTTTGGGTTAATTTCCAATAACTTGGCTCCAATTATTAGGGCGGTTAAATAGTCGTCATAATTATTTGCCAAATTGCAATCAAGACGCAAGTATATCGATATTGAGCTGCGGAAATCTGATGGCGTAACAATGATTAAGTGTTTCATGTCAAATAAATTTACAACATGGACGAGATAAAATCATGAAATTTTGATACCCCATCAGTCTGTAGCAATTGAAACTATTGTCAAGTGTCCATGACAAGGTACTTTTTTTAAAAAGAACTTGAAATCATATTGTTATTTTTTCTATATAAATCGTATAAATGCAACAATTAGAAGATTACAAAAATAATCAGACTTATAATGCTAGGGAGTATACATTTTGACAAATTCATCATTATTTAGTCAATCATGATATAAACATTAAAACGATAATTCTAATCACTATTCTAAAATATAAGTCACCGGAATTTGTTTACAGATAGGATACACTGGAAAATATCACCAAAATATGATATTACCAAAATAAGATCTATATATATGACCCATTTTTAGCCTTAAGCTGAGGCTATAAATGCAGATAATTCTAAAAAGGACATTAAAATTTTAAGTTTATTTTTTGGGGTTTGGTTTTAGAGTACACCAACACAATTTAAGTAATGATGGCGCCGAAACAGGAAAGATGAATTTGGCTTACCTCAGGTGTTGTGGAACACCAGGAGTCAAAACCACCTCACCTGCTGGGACTAAGAGATGCATATATACCAGTAATTCAAACCTAATTAGTTGCCTCTTACAATGATGCAATTCTGATGCCTCAACCCTTTAAGGCAACCCCTCAGCCATATGATAAGAGGGGTGGGGAGGCATGATAAAAATTGTTATGTGAGAACATTTTTAAGAAAATGGCAATGAAGAAACTTGGCAGTTTGTAAGAACAGTGGCATACAACAAAACAGTACAATATGCTTGCTTTTCCTTTGAAACCTTTTTACTTTATTGAACAAAAACGACTTAATTTTATTTTCATTTGTAGTGTTAATTTTAGGTCCCATTACCTGTTCAAAAATTGTATGCAATTTTCTCCACTTCTGCTACAACTTCTCCTCCAATAGATAACATACTCCAATACTGATGTAATCTTTAACGAAGATAACCTTCTAGGATCTTAAATGATTAGCCTTTGCAATCAGTATAGAGCCAGGCCAGCCTGAATATCCATGCAGTCTGGCCACGCTCTATACTGTTGGTAGCTCAATTTTTGTACTCCCTTAATCTTTCAACGGACTGTTCCAAATTGAAAGAAAGGCAAATTCATTACAGAGATTCAGTAGGTTATGTGTTGAGCAGTTTAAGCCTAAAAAATATTGCATTTAAAGTGTGAAAAAGAACTACTTTCTTCAGTTTTTTTTTTATAAAAATGACCCACCACTAAAATTTAAACCCCCAAAGATTAATAATGCAACAAAAATCTTTTTTCACATAATTATATGCATTATATGTTTTTGTCGTTTTATGCTACTTTGAGATCTTTAAACCTTTAGAAATATGCACTAATGATTTCAACAGATATTAAATCTCCAAAATTAATGGTCTTTCAACAGGAAAAATCTTTAAAATTTTCATATGCTAATTTATTTTTCAATTTCACCAAATCATAAGATTTTTATCAGGTCAGTATTTAAATACATTCTATAATAATGCATAACTACAAAGTAGATTTTTAAAATACATTTAATAGGTGTAATTTAGTGATCAATTTTGATGACAAATTGATTTTAAACAGGAATTCCAACAGGTGCATGACTTTTATAATATATAAACTTTATATATCTATCTTCGAAACCTCGTTATATTGACAAATCAAATATAAGTAAAAATAAAGAAAAGAAAAGTTATTTTCATCTCAAATGAGCACATATAAACACATTTTTTTCAGAAAGAGAGCTTGTTTTGGGACAGCCAAATAATGCTTATTTTATTAAGCCAAAGAAGATAATTGGTTTACAATTAACAGAAAGATTAGGACAGATTGTCTCCCTTTGAACTGTTCAAACAAATTAAGATAGTGTGATCAATATTTGCTTTATATATTTTTACAGCTGTCGATTTATGTATTTTGTTCGACAGAGTTCAAAATCATGATTGGCATTGTTGTGGTCATAAATATTTAGACATTCCACCTTTGATTACGGCGGGAAAACCTCAGGTGTCCCAAAAGTAAAACATATCAGGTAAGGTATAGGAATTACAGCACTTTGGTAGGACCATGGACAATTATAATAATAATTGAGCCGCATCACGACAAAACAAACATAACGGGTTTGCGACCAGAATGGATCCAGACCAACCTGCACATCTGCGCAGTCTGATCAGGATCCATGCTGTTTGCTGTCAGTCTCTCTACTTGTTATAGGGTTTGTAAGCGAACACTGCTGCATCGATCCTGATCAGACTGCACAGATGCGCAGGCTGGTCTGGATCCATGCTGGTCGAAAACCCACTATGTTGGTTTTGTCGTAACGCGGCTCAATTGTTCTATAGGCTAACTGCCAGCCTCCTGACTCACCATTAACACAATGCAAACCCAGTCACATCAGAATGATCTTCTTATTTTTTAATCACAAATAACATTTCAGGTATTCAAAATCAGTTAAATCTTTTCCAGAAGTTATTTGATCAAAATCAAATACATTGTATTAATTTATTTTTGTCTATAATAAAAAATAGCCAAATAGGAACAAAATGTTCAAATAAGATAAAGAAAGTGACAATGTCCTTCATAGTTCTCGTTTAGGGCACATTAAGTATTTTTTTACTTGGGGACCATATGCAGCTTTTCATGGAATGGCACTAAATACGTGTCACTTGAAGGTTCCATGACAAAGCTTCTTTATGTTCAAAATCAATTTATGGATGCATTAGCAATGCATTAAAATTAAACACAATTGAATTCTTGTGTATCACTGATAGTTATTTGCAATAAAGCAAACAAAACTGTCGCAAACTGCAATCAATATTTTCTCTTTCTTTATCAAAAACAAAGAGTTTCTTGTGTGCAGAAAATGTCACTTTGGTTTCAATTTAAATGTTTGAGTTAAATGCTTTATCAGTTATACAGTGCTGACATTGATCTTAGTATGTTCATAGAATGTAAAGGCATGCTAAATAAATTACTTGTAAATAACTATATTTCTTATTAAACATGAAGATATCCTCAAATTCTTATGCCATTTTTCACCAAAAAGTTTGTGTCTTAAATCCTTGGCTATCTTGAAGAGGTGCAACAATATATATTTGGTCAAATCTATATTTTTAAACATCATAAAAAAGCTGTTAAGTGATATAAAATTTGGTTGTTTGGTCAAGTGGTCAGCACCTGACTAAATATTACTAGCTTGTTTGTTAAAACAAACTAGGAAAGAACAGAATTACAAATAATTATAAAGGGAATTTTAATTTAAATACTTGACTAAGTATACAATGTTTGTTTGTTTGTTTTTCTGAATTTTATGCCGATTTTCACACATTTTTGGTTATTTCAGCGGTCGATTCACCTAACCAATTTCCATGATCGCCTGAGAAACATTATTTAGCAAAAACAGTTAAACCAATGTTTTTTTAATAAGAGGTGCTCATTAATAACAAGGTATGCTTAAGAGACCTAATACTTTACTTAAAAGATACTTTAAAGGGACTCCACTGAGGTTTTTTGACCACTGAGGTTTTTTGGCATGAAGGGACTTGAACTATCTTTCCGTTTGTGTACAATTTTATGTAGGTCTGAACCTTATGTGCAAACTTTCAGATACTCCCCTCACACTGATTTTCTAGAATAATCATGGTAATTGTGTAAAATTGCCAAAATATGAAAAACAAGCAATTATCATAGTATTGCAAGCAATCCATAAGTCCCCTACCGGTCAGAACCCCAGCAACATTCTGATGGGCCATTGGCAATTCAATTTTACCAGTGGATGAATGACATGAATGAACTTAAATCTTTTGAGTTCTAAGTTTGTCTATATCACAGTAATGTGTTAAGTTTCCCTGCCTAGTAAGGAAATTCTGTTTATACAACTTTGTAATATCATTATGATGTGGGATTTTAAAGTAAATCCTATAAGGAATGAAGAAGTTGGAGTGAAAAATACCAATTTCTCGAAAAAAATCTTAAGTTCAAGGGGGAGATAATTCTGGAAATAGTCTTGCTAGAGTATTTAACCTTCTCAAAAATGTTGAGTGATAATAAGAAACATATATATGAAGTTTGAAGCAGATACATTAGAAAATAAAGAAGTTATTTAAAAAAGACAACATTTTTTTTCATAGAAATTCTAAGTTCAAGGGAGGTAATACTGATAATTTTTGTGCTAGAGTTGTAAACCTTGTCACATATGATGTGGTTGATGGCCAGAAACTTATATTTAAAGTTTGAAGTAAACACCTTAAGAAATAAAGAACTTATAGTGAAAAAGCTGAAAAATTTACATCAGAAATCTTGAAATTCAGGCTATTTGTTGCCATAGCAACCAGAATTTTCGACATAGGAAGAAAAGAAAAAGATGTGCATAATCTCCAGACTGCCATCAACCCATATTTCAAGTTTCATAAATATATTTTCAGTACTTTTTGAGTTATCACTGGATCCAGTTTATGTGTTAAATTTGCCATATTTTCAGACTATTTGTTGCCATAGCAACCAGAATTTTCAACATAGGAAGAAAAAAAAAAGACGTGCATAATGTCCATACTGCCATCTATCCATATATCAAGTTTCATAAAAATATTTTCAGTACTTTTTGCGTTATCGCGGGATCCAGTTTTGTGGACGGACGGACTGACAGACGGACAGACAGACAGACGGACGGACAGACGGAGGGTAAACCTAAAGTCCCCTCCGGTTAAACCGGTAGGGGACTAAAAATAGCATTGTAATGCTTTTCCATCTAAAGTGCTTAGTAACTCTTGATTTACATACAAATTTCAAGATCTATGTTTTTAGGCCTTATATTTTGAGTGGAGCTCCTTTAAGTACATCACTCCTATTCTAGAATAAAAACCTGCTCTCCTCTGAATGGAAAATTTCTAAACCATTATCCTGCTTTATTTATGTAACAGGCATGTCCTGATTGAGCCATAGAAACAAAATGAATGCACAAGGGCATCTAAAACAGGTATATATTTTAGTGCTGGCTAAATCTGATTTGACTTATTCTAAAGTATTTCTTAACTTGTCTATATGATATTTATATAGTAAATTCTTGAAAATTCCCACAGGCAGTGGGACAACCTGGGCAAAATGAACAATTGATTTTGCCACCCCTACTTTTTTGTGAGGTCATCTTGTTTTATGTTTCCTTCAAGATACGTCAATCTTACAGACACAAAATCAATGTCACTGACAGTCCCCGCATGTTGTTATCAAGAATTAAATACATACCATTTTGTTCTTGGCGAAATCTTTCAATCTCTTGTTTCAGCTGATCATTCTCTGTTTCAAGTTCTTGAATTAGTGCTTCGCGTTCGTCTGACAGGTGTCGTATATGCTCGACGTAATTCTCCACTTCCTGCATCTCCTCCGCCTGTGAACGTTTAAGCTGCTCTTGCTTCTCCGTTGCCGACAACAAGTCATTCTAAAATAAAACAATAGGCCATTGAAAAAACAATTTAGTTTGTTGGTTTTCTTTGATATTTTTTTATTGAAATCGTTTAACTTCATTATTTAATTTTATTTGATAAAAGCAGAGGTTTTATTTTTATCATAATTATGGTCTTATATACAAGAAGTGAAAATATATTCTATATGTTGCAGTTAATTCTTGAAATTTTTCAAAAAGTCCTAGGCATATTTACTATTATTATACAAATATACTTCACCAGGGGCACTTAAGATTTGCAAAAAATGATTAAAAAATGTACCAAGAAAGATATTGAAAATTATGCGTTTGTATTACTCTTATTTGAGTGAAAAGAAGTTTGGGCCATTTTTTTTCACATTATAATAATCATTCTGGAAAAAAAGGAGTAAGTGAATGATCTGAAATTGTGCACATATGCTTTTAGTCTAGACCTACATAAAATGAAACATTAATCTTGAAAATTTATTTCCAGTCCTGTTATGTCATAAAACCTCAGAGGAGTCCCTTTCAAATATGATTCTTTCATAATGAGAGTCATGAAATAGGGCTAACTTAAAGAACACAAACCTCAGCATTTTGATAGAGCCTCCATATATAAAACAACTTCTCCTCATCTGTACATTGTGGGTTCAATCCATCCTCCTCCAGACGCTTGTCAATCTCTACATGTAATACAGACGGACTTTCCTGAAAATATAAAAATAACTGAAAACTCGTCTACAATAATTACTTGTACAATAATAAAACAAGAGAGATAATCATTAAAATTGACAAGTGTCTTTTATTCCTTTCCGAAACAGGAATATTGGTGATACAGATGTACAGATTACAGATGTTGCCTGTGAAATTAGTCTTGCTGTGAAGGAAAATATACATAATATATATATGTATGATAGGCACATGAAAGATATCAGTCTACTTATGAAGATCTTTAGATAAGAATGGATGGATGGATGGTGTGGTCTCTACTGGACTATAGACTGGATAAACATTTTAATATCAGTAACACTATAAATATGCTCCATTGAAAAACAAACTATAAATAGTACTTAATTAACACCTGATGTTTAAAATAAAAAGTTATATACTTCAAACATATGCACAGGAATCCAATGCATTCTTAAAAGAAGTGATACTACAATCAACCCTAGTTCAAACTACAGCTGCCAAAGTCTTTTCCTTTATTTCATAAGTAGGTATTCGTAATAATCAAATTATTGTTAAGGGCAAACAGAGAGACTGATGGGACAAAATATAACCCCCTCCAAGACCTTTAATGTGCTAAATTTCAGCTTTCTCATTGTAAACCATTGAATTAACAATGCCTTTGGCATAAAAAAACACATTTAAAGTCAGGCAGACTGATTATTAAAAATTTGAGGTATAATGATAAAATATTATCAAAACACTCATCTTTAAAAAAGTAAAATCTGATTTGTCAAATCAAGTGGTAACAGAATGTTTCAAATATTTAAAAACCTCTCGACTGAAAGTAAGCCTTATGAATAGAAAACTATAGCCATAAAATCTTCAAACTGCGGGAGGGTTTTGTGACGGAAAATTGTCATTCTCTACAACAAATCACGGAGCAAATTTACGACTACCCCACTTCAACTCTTTACCAATTTACTAAAGATTTATCTTCAGAAATTTTTACGCAATTATTAGGTGAAAAATCTCTGGCATGATTACAAAAGAAAATTTTTACCGATAAATATTACGACCGTGAAAAGAAATAAAACAAAATGTTTCGAGAGTGGGAATTAAAGCCCTGTCTTCCTCAAGTGTGTAGAAATACTTACCATTTTGTCAATAGGTTTACCCTGTCTTTGTTCAAATATCAAGAACAAACAAACAGCCTTTTCAAGTTAGTAAAAATAAAAGTTTGTCTCACTTGAGAAAGAAATTTATAGACAATCCTATCTCAAAGTAAACTTGATATATAAAGAATGTGAAAATTAATAGAAACATGTATGGGGCATTTGTATAATTATTTATCAATGTTAAATTCAAAGTTCAAAGTTAAATAATTTCCAATTTATGACTTTAAAATTTTTTTTTATCAAATGTGCTTATATTTATAATTAAGAAAACCATGATTGCATTTCTTTCAGCATTTCCACCTAAACTATTCTATGAAATAAGAGATAATTTTGCATCTATTGAATGTACATGTATTTCATTATATAATATACAGTATAAAGAGAATTTTGAAACTTATAAAATTTCACAGACTTATTTCATAAATCTAATGGCAACCATTATGAAGCTAGATATCTTAAATGAACTATTAATGGCTTACTCCATCTCAAATTATTGACCAACGATTGTACATAATGAATCAATGAGACCAAATGTCCTCAAAATCAATAATGGGTCAACTCTACTGACCATGGAAACTGTCCCTATTGAGTTACAAAAACCACTGCTAATGCCCCCTTAAGACATTGATTGGGCACGGATAATTAAAGAATGTACAAACATAGGGACAGACTTACCATCACATCCCAATATGCACCCAATTAATTACAAAAACAAGAATCACAACAAAAATGCCAAAACAATGATGTTTTTCTTTTCAAATCATTTATGTCAAAAAGTACAAAAGACCAAATTGTACATAATTTATTATACCGGTAGTAATGTAACTGAAAGACAAAGAGGACTCAATAAGTCCTCTTAAACTCAATCAATAGTAAGGTAAGAACAAGCAAATTCGTTGAATTTATATCCCCCGCCGAGTACTGGTTATTATTAACACAACAACTGAAGACATAAGGCTTTATTTATATATTAATCATGGCATAAACTGTAATATTCTTTGATCTTGAAGCCTTGTACCTTCAAACAAGAAGAATTTTTAAGTTTTCACTATATACATATAAGGAAAATCTATGACCTCCTGGAGTGGGGCCAATTTTGACCCCAGGGCTAAAATTTGAACAATTTTGGTAGAGGACCTATAGGTTATATCATATACCAAATATCAAAGCTCTAGGCCTTGTACTTTCAGACAAGATTTTTTAATTTTGCATTTTTGAAACTCCTTTTCTGGCCCTGTGACCTACTTATGCAACAGACCGGAACCATTTGATCAACTTTGGCAGGGGACCACCCTAGGATCATTCCTGTAAAGTTTGGTTGCTGTGCAGTCATTTGTTTCTGAGGAGATGTTGTTTAAAGAAATTGCTGACGACGCACGACGACGGACGGTAGGGGATCACAATAGCTCACCTAGATGTAAAAACATCTTAATCTCCAGACTTCATTGCCATTTTCAAGGCATCAAGAAGGGATCTCACAATTTTCAAATATTTTTAAATGTTATTGTAACAAATCATTTTAATTCTTCTTTAATAAAAACTAGAAATGTGTCCATAGGACACGGGTGCCACCACCGCGCCACTGTTCTGTCAATCTTATGACTCTAGGTCAAATATTTTTTGAAAACTAAAAATCTTTTTACTAAGTAAAGGGCAAGAACTTTACAAATACTGAATAAATCCCCAAGCAAACCCCAAGTTGAAAATTGCAAATTTATACTACTGTAATTCAAGGGCAATAACTCTAACAAAACTGAAAAAAATCCACATGCAAAGTCCCAGGTTCATAGCTTCACAGTGAGGTGAATCATTATTCCTGTAATTTAGTGATGTTGATCATTATTCCTGTTAAGTTGGTCGATTCTAACTCAAGCACTCAAGGATCAAATAACAACATAATGAAACAGTTTTTACTAAGTCAAGGGAAATAACTCTTCAATACTGGATAAATCCACAAGCGAAACCCCAGGAACAAACTAAATATGCTGAGCAACTTTCCAATAAGGTTTAATGACTCTATGTCAAATCCTTTTTGAGTTACATGTGACACATGTTGAAAATTGCAAACATTTTCTAAGTCAAGGGCAATAACTCTAAAAATACTAAATAAATCCAGACGAAAATACCAAGGTGCACAACTACACATACTGATCAACATTCCTGTAAAGTTTCATGACTCTAGGTCAAATACTTTTTGAGTTACATGCGACACAAGTTGAAAATGACAAAATTTTACTAAGTCAAGGGCAATAACTCTAAAAATACTAAAAATATCCAGACGAAAATACCCAGGTGCACAACTACACATACTGATCAACATTCCTGTAAAGTTTCATGACTCTAGGTCAAATACTTTTTGAGTTACATGCGACACAAGTTGAAAATGACAAAATTTTACTAAGTCAAGGGCAATAACTCTAAAAATACTAAAAATATCCAGACGAAAATACCCAGGTGCACAACTACACATACTGATCAACATTCCTGTAAAGTTTCATGACTCTAGGTCAAATACTTTTTGAGTTACATGCGACACAAGTTGAAAATTACAAAATTTTACTAAGTCAAGGGCAATAACTCTAAAAATACTTAAAATATCCAGACGAAAATACCCAGGTGCACAACTTCACATGCTGATCAACATTCCCATAAAGTTTCGTTGAATTCCAGCCATTAGTTGCAGAGAACTACTCCGGAAACGAAATTCTAAGTCAAGGGCAATAACTCTAAAAATACTAAAAATATCCAGACTAAAATACCCAGGTGCACAACTTCACATGCTGATCAACATTCCCATAAAGTTTCGTTGAATTCCAGCCTTTAGTTGCAGAGAACTACTCCGGAAACAAAATTCGGACGGACGGATGGACGGACGGACGGACAACGCCAAAACTATATCCCCCTCCCGATTCCATCGGCGGGGGATAATAACAGAATCAGTGTGACTAAGCATCAGCAGAGTAAACATGTTTCCCTATACTCAATCGTAGTGTTGTAATGTACTGATTTCTTTCTTTCTTTCTTTCTCACTAGTTTTCTGAGTTGAATACTGAAATAAGTGCTTTTAAGGCCAGTGCTAGGGGAAAAGATCATCACCTCAGTGCAATAACTGATTATTCCTATTAAATTCTGAAGGATTTCACCCGTTACTGTACTAAGGTGTCGAGATGATGCAGTTTTAATTATCTCTAAAATCTGAACATAATCAGAGCAATAACTGGTTAATACTATCAAATTCTTAAGGACTTAACTTGTTACTTTACTTAAGTGATGCAGTTTTAATCGTCTCTTTTGAACATAATTAAATAGAATGTGTAATTTTCACATATCTTTATTTTTGGTCATTGCTCTTGCTCGTGTTTTCCATTTCCTTGAATTCTACATCGATAAAAATGATGATTAAAGCACTACAAAAATTGAAATATGACGAAAACAAAGTTATATTTCCGACATTAAGTTGTCGAAACCCTTTCGTCCAATCAGTTATTATCAAACACTAGAGGATATCAGAAACATATTCAAACACAGTTATCTAAAGCGACTTTTAAATACAGGCAGAACACCTTCAGGTCAATGATAACGAAATCCAAATTTGTACCAATACGTGATAACGAAACAGTCGAACAAATCCCCAAGATGTCCACTTGAAATAATGACCAAATCTTACGAACTCAGCATTTTGGAAAAATTAAGTTTGGATTGTATTTCTATATGGTTCCCTGAGTTAAACCACTTGCAAGGTCAGACTTTTACAAAGTTGTTATGTGTGCTTTATTTGTAAGTTATTGATACAACTACGGTTATTTGACATGTGACATGGATTCCACACTCGATAGTAAACAAATATTCCAAGTTACAACGATC